GCTCCCCCTGCGCACAGGCAAGGAAAGCACAGGTTCCGACACTCGGATGGGCTTGAACTGGAACTTGCAGCCGAAGCAGAGCGCGGAGTCGCTAAAGAAGGACACAGACACGATCGGGCGCTCGAAGATGTGGATGGGGTCCACGTGGGACACGATGCAGCCCCCCGGCTGGTAGTCGTTGATGACGGCGCTGTTAACGAAGCCCTCGGGGATGACGCGGTGCTCTACCAGCTTCTGGATCACCAGTTGGTGGACCCACTCAGGGATCTCGTCCACGTCGCCCGGCGGGTAGAGGCGCTCCTGGCCCGGCCCGCGCTTCTGCAGCTGGGCGCCATACGTGTAGCCCTCGCCGAAGAAGTACTTGTTGCGCAGCGGCGCCCGGTCCACTGTGTGCTCGTTGTACAGGCCCTTCTCGGCGCGGGACACCACCTCGTCGATGCGGGCCTCGATCTTGGCGCACTCGTCCTGGCTGAAGAGGCGCATCTGGCGGATGCCGCTCTTCACCTTGCGCGCCTCCTCCTCCTTCTGCAGCTGCTGCTCCTCGTAGTCGCTGCGTTCGGGGTCCGAGTCTTCCTGGTATTTGCGTTTGGCCCCGGACGGCGGGTAAGGCTCGGCGGCGGCGGCAGCGGCAGCGGCGGCGGCCACGGCGGCGGCAGCAGCCGCCGCTGCCTCCCGACTGCCCGCCTTATAGTTGTCCCGGGACGTCATGGACTTAAGCTTTTCACGCAGGTCCGTGTAACCGCTGGCGGCCGCCATGGCCCCGCGACGCTGCTCTAGGGTCCTTCGGGGCGGCCGGGCATGGCTCTCGAAGGACGCGGCCCGGGGACCCCGGAGGGCAGGGTCTCCTCAGCGCCAGGTCCCCATACGAAGACCCGGCTGCGAGAGTTGAGGGCCAGGCGCTGGGTCGAACCTCAGGGGCGGCGAGTCATGCAGCGGTGGGCTACGAAGCTTCCTCCTCCTCCACCTTCTCCACGTCCCGGGGGGCAGGGGCGCCAGCAGCGCCTCATGCCGCGGAGAGCGGCTGCGGAGAATCGGCTCGACTCCCGGCTGGACCCTCAGACGCCCGGCCCAGCCCGCACTTTAAAGCGCTCCTCACGACGTCACGCGCCGCTCGCCCGACGTCCGCCAGCGCCGCTCCTCAACAAGCTCTCCAATGCGCACGCGCAGTGCCGCAGGCCACCGCGGCTCCGCGCGCAGCGGGCTTGCGCGAGCTCGCGGGCCGGGTCAGCAGAGGTGCAGGCGCAAGCGCAGACGGGGAACCGCCGGCCGGCCGCCACCCCTCCCCCACGCTAGGACGCCGAGGGAGCACTCTCCAAGAACACCGAAGGGCTCCCTCCACAGGGGTGTGCTCACACTGCCAACGCTATCGCTGTGCTGCGTCACGGCATCGTTCGACTGTCCGAAAAACGCCTCAGCCCCCAGCGCGCAATCACCGGGAAATCGCCAACAACCTAGGTTGTCGGGTTACCGTCCCTTTTGGTTCTTTCACTTCTTTCATGGGCCCCCCCCCACCCCCAAGCCACGCGCCGGGCGGACCCAGAGCGGAGCTTCCGGAAGTTGGTTGGTAATCCTGCTTGTCAATCAGGCAGTCGCCTTGGCTACTGTATCCGTCAATTAGTGGCTGGGAGGGCTATGAGGACCCCTCAAAAATGAATGGGTGTCTTAGTAGGTGCCTGAATGAGGACCCTACCAGAAGAAAAAGCCCTCAGACGCTAAAGGAAACTTCTGAACTGCCCGGCTAAGAGCACCGACTCCCATCTCTGACCCGAACCACGATGTTCGCAGAATCTGGACGCATTGGCGGGGCACCTCACTGCCCCTCTCTCCCTCACTGCCACCGCTGCCTCCCGCAGCGGACGTTCCCCGAGTCACGTACGTGTGGCTTCGGTGCGTGCGCAGCCGCGGGACGCTCCGGGATTGGCTCAGCTTTTCCTGGGCGCTGAAGGCGGGTGTGAGGGCGGCTCTTCCGGGGACGACACAAGAAACCTCTGAGGACGGGAAGGCTCGCGGAGAAGGCAAACTTTACTACTAGAGAGATTAAAAAGTTTTGAAGCACTGTGGTCTGGCCGGGCTCCGCGTGCGCAGGGGCGTGGCGACTGGGCGTGCGCCGGGGCGTGCCCACGGTGGCGGCTGCTGCTCTCCCTCCCGGATCAGTTCGTCCGCTGGGCTCGGCGCTCAGGGCCCCTGTCCGTGACCCCTGAGCCCAGCCTCCCCCTGACGCTGCCAGGTCTGCAGACACCCTTGCGTTGGCCTGTACGCAAGCGGTTTCAAGGCTCGGTTCACGTCCTCTTAGTGCACATGTGTCAAACACAAGGCCCGCGGGCCAAATCCATCCCGCCAGGCCTTGCAATGTGGCCTGCAACGCGCTGTCATCACTGCACTCCACTGCGTTTCCATCACAATGACAGTTTATGACTGTTCAGTAAACCATCCGGCCCGCGATTTAGGCTGGATTTTAGATTTTGGCCCCTTCTCTGATTGAGTTCGACACCCCTATCTTAGTGCCTCAATGAAATGCTTCTGCATCTGCCTTCAACCTCAACTCTGGTCATTTTGCTTCCCGCCAGTGTGCTTGTCAGGGCGAACACTGGACTCTGAATTTGTTTATTTGTTATTTTTTAATCCTCACCGAGGATATTTTCCCATTGTTTTGTTTTGTTTTAGAGAGAGGAAAAGACAGAGAAACATCAATGTGAGAAAAACACATCTATTTGTTGCCTACTGTGCGGCTGGGGCCAGGGAGGAGCCTACAACTGCGGTCTATGCCCTTGACTGGAATCGAACCGGGACCCTTTGGTCCTCAGGCCAACTCTATCTATTGAGCTAAATTGGCTAGGGCTGGATTTGAATTTTGACCTGGCAGGCTGTATGACCCTGGGCAAGTGACTTTTCTTTCTGAATCTCAGTCTTCTGGTCTGTGAAATGGGAATAACATTAGTGCCCACCTCACATGGTAGTTGCGAGGATGAAGTGAAGTCATGTATGTTAAGCAGAGGGTATTGCTGACTTTGAGTCTACACTTCAGTTTCTATAAACTGAGGATCCTACCAATCCCCCTGTAGGGAGCTGGAGGCTGTGTAGTGACTTAAGGCCAGGACAGCAGGATCTGTGTAATGGGGAATTCTGGGACCCTGGGCATTGTTCTTAAGCTCCCTGCCAGATCACTTGCAAAAGGCCACACAGCTAGCCAGCATACAGATGTGGAATTTGAACACAGGCCTTTCTGGGTCCGCAGCCTGGGCCTTTAAGTACCAAACCAAGATCTGAAGAATCTTGTGGGTCCGGGCTGGGGAAGACCAGAGTGGTGACTGTGTGGACATTGGAACCTGGCCACGTCCACCCCCCTGTCCCACACAGGGGCAACAATAAGGTCATTTTGGTTACTGTTCAGCACGCAGATATGGTGCATCCTGCTACACCCATTTGTGATCCCCAACCTTCACCAGTTGACTGTCTCAGGCTCCCATGCCAGACAGACATTTTTCTTGTATTATTCTCACTCCATGGTAGGCTGTGGGGTTTGGTCCTTTCTGCTCTGGATCTTCTCACATCTACCTGGAGTTCCTATCTTTCTGGGTCTTGGAACAGGTAGGGGGGCCCAGTGTGGTACCCATAGGGTATCTGGGAACACAGCAGGGTCTGACTCTCCTACCACCTCTGACTTTCCAGTCTGCCTCATGGAGGTTGTTCCTCCTCTTAAGAGGACTCGACTCCCTAATGCCACCAGAGCAGCTGTTAAGGCGCAGGTCCTGAAATCAAAGGCCCAAGTGTGTTCCTTACCCAGTGCTCTGTAACAAAGCACCCAAAACAGACCTCAGTCAGTCATCCAGCTCACAGATTTGCAGTCTGGTCAGGGTGCAGCCAGGCGGCTTACTCTGAGCTCATGTGCATCAGCTGGGATGGCTCAACCTGGAGGAGCCACTTCCCAGTGGCAATCATCTGACCTACTCGTATTCTGAAGCCCAAAGGCCTCTCAGCTCACACCTGGTAGACCTGCAGCAGGGCTAGCTCTTTGTGGGGCTCTTTCCTCACTTCTCTCACTGGGCTCTTTATCTCGGGGCTGCTTCTGAAAGAAACCAACCTAAGGCATTGGCGAAAGTGGGGCATCCCTGGATGGCCTGATTGATCCCTCAGTCCTCCCCATTGGACCTAAATCTCTCCCAGTTTAACTTCTACACGACCGCCATTATCCACACCACCACTGCCACACCACAGCGTCTCCCCGCTGACATTGCAGCAGCCTCCTCCCTGCACTCTGCTTTGTGATCAGAATGACCTTTTCAGAATACAATCTGAGCAGACTGCCACACCTCCGTTGAAAAAACTTTGAAAGCTCCTGATGGCTTTGGGGATGAAATCCCACATGGTCTGCAAAGCCTACCGAACCACCCTGTGAGCCTCCAGTCTCAAGTCCTGCCACTAGGAATGTCCACCCCTAGGAATCTCCACTTCAGGGTTTCTGCATGCTGTTTCCTCCCCTCCTCACCAGCTAATGCCCATTTGCAGGTCTTGTCTTGCTCTATATTTTAATTATGAGCAACTTACGGTGCCTGGCATTTGCATAGTACACAATAGTGCTTAATAGGTAATGCATAAATCCTTCCTCTGATCCCGTGGCTTCAGCCAATTATGCCCCCACATACCTATTCAGACTTCCTCTCCCAAGTCTGCTGCTCCCCTCTCCCCCCACCAGGTTCCCCAAAGCACCAGCACTTTCCTGTAATATTCATTTATTATTTTATTCATGTTACCAGTATTTTTGATTTATTTTTTAAAATATATTTTATTGACTTTTTACAGAGAGGAAGGGAGAGTGATAGAGAGCTACAAACATTGATGAAAGAGAATCATCGATCAGCTGCATCTTGCACACCCCCTACTGGGGATGTGCCCGCAACCAAGATACATGCCCTTGACTGGAATCGAACCTGGGACCCGTCAGTCCCCAGGCCGATGCTTTATCCACTGAGCCAAACCGGTTTCGGCAACCAGTATTTTTAAAGTGCCTAATTTGTGTTAGGCATTGTCGTAGGCTCTGGAGAATATAGTAGGGAACAAAGACCATTTTCTCTGGAACGTTTACTCCCCTCTGCTCCATCTAGTCCTAACAAACTCCTACTCAGCCTTCAAAACCCAATAACAAAGTCCTATTCCTTGGGAAGCTCTCAGACTTCTCCCTCCCCAGCCCCTAACATGGAATTTCTTTCTCCACTCTACTCTCTTGAACCTTATGTGGCCCATCCAATGATGGGGCCCAGGGTTGGGGTTACCCAAGGAGTGAGACACAGAGGTCTACAGGGAGAGGTAGAGGTAGACCTCTGCTGGAAGTTCTGTTCATAGGCAGTGAGTCAGGGGCACAGCTAGGCCTCCAGCTCCTGCTTCCTCCCTCAGATTTGTTTTCCAGCCACTCAGCAGCCATGGAGGACTAGCTGCCAGGTGCACCTTTTATTTGTATTGAAATAACCAAGGGTCATGAATCCAAGTTGCACGCCAGTACGGGGGCCCAAGGAGGACATGTGAGAGGTTGAGAAGTGGAGCAGATCTGGACTTTGGAGCAGAACATCAGACCCATCAAACTAAAGGCAAAGTCCAGTTCATCCAGGCCACTGGTTTGGGGCTTCCCTGCCACAGGTGGGAGTCAGGGCCAGGGCCTGCAGTGTACTTGGCAGGAGGCTCGTGGGCAGCCTTTGGGGGTTCCTCCTGCGTTCTGGGTCAAGATTGCATGTCTTGACTCCATCCCAACTCTGGATAGGTCTTGGGTTCCTGGGGACTTGGGTCATTCCTCCTCCTCCATTTTGGTCTCCCCTCAGGTTCTGGTCCGTGTGGAGGTCATTAGCTCAGCAAACCCGGTAGCTCCCCCGGGCCACAGAGCAAGCCTCCTGGCAGAGTGCAGTTGCAGGGCTGGAGGCCGGGTCAGAGCAGCGTGATCTCACTGGGGGGCAGCGTGAGCTGCTTCTCCCGGGCACTGAGCAGGTTCTCCACGTGCACAGCCACCACTCGACACAGTTCCAGGCCCTGTGGGAGAGACCAGAGTCGCGGCCATCCAGCACTTCCCCAGCTCTCAGCGGGGGTAAGTGGATGGGAGGCAGTCTCCCCAGCTCCCCCAGGCCCTGGAGGAGCACGATAAGCTGGAGGGGGGATGCTGGGCTGTAGGCTGGAAGGGGTAAGCAAGCAAGAGACCAAGGGCATCTGCCAGCCTTATCGCATGTGAACGGGTGGCCTAGGGCCAGTTACTGCACCTCTCTGAGCCTCAGTGCCTCATGTAGGATCTCCGTTTACCAGGGTCTGCCTCATGGAGCTGTGGTGAGGATTCCATGTGTACATTCTTTAGATTTTAAAAAATATTAGTCCAGCCAATAACTGGCAAGTTTCTAACTGCATTGCCACTGTTAGCACCTGGCACTCACAGCCCAGAATAAGCTGTGTCTCAGCCTCAGGGCTCCCATTGGGGACAGAGGGGGACGGGAGGTGGGGAGCTGTGGAAAAGCCCCCTGAGAGTATGGTTCCCGACCACAGGCAGTTGGAATGCCCTGAGGGCCAGCAGAAGCTGCTCTGGAAAGAGAATAGAAACAATGAGGGCAATACTGACTGAGTGGCAGGCATGGTCCTGTGTCCTACCCCTGCTAGTCCCCAGGGTCCCTCTGAGGCACACACTCTGAGATCCCATTCCACAGGTGAGAAAACAGGCCCAGACCTCACAGCTGGTGGGTGGCGGAGACTTGAACCCAGGCGGGAGGAGGCCAACACTCTGAACTGCCTTTTGCAGAGGTTCGCTGTGCCAGTCCCACCCTGGGGCACCTCAGCTAATTTGATCTGAGTGAGCGCACAATGGGGTCTCCTCCCAGCCAGTTCTCCCACCTGCCTGCCGCAGGGCGCAGGCCTCACTGGGATCACTGCCCCTGACCGGGGTGGAAACGGGCTCCGTGAGAAGCAGGGGAGCCTGATTCCCTCACACAGTCTGTCGGGCGGACAGGAGAGGGGCCTGGGTCTGTTGGCTGAATCATGCTGCACTCAGACGTCACTGCCTCCTGGAAGCCTTCCCTGATGCCTTCCCAGAGAGCCCAAGGAAACCCTCAGCACCGATCGCCATGCTTTATTGGAGAAATTCTTTGATATCTGTTTCCCCCATGAGACTTGGGCTCTGCGAGAGCCAGTGCTAAGGGGTTTCAGTCACTTCAGTGTCCCTGCAGCCAGGGCAGAGCCTGCGACCTAGGGATGCTCAGTGGTTATGTGTTGAATGAATGTGTCCCTGGTACACATACATGCAAGAGGCAGAAGTGGACAAGCCAAAAAGATCTCTACCAGTTCATCCAGCCACGGCTGCGCATCTGCTGTGCTGGCACTGTGTGTGAACATAGTGCTAGACACACTGCCCTTTGTCTGACAGTCCAGTGGGGGGGACACAGAACACATAAACAAATAACTAAATGGTTTGCCAGCCATAGTGTGGCTACCGAAATAGAAGGAGATGAGTATCAGGAAGGAGGGTCAGGAAGCCTTGTAGGAGGAGGTGAGGTTTGTACTGAAACTATAATAAAGGGAGGGAGGGAGCCCTGTGGTTAACAGGCGAAGGGGGCAAGCATTCTAGGAAGAGGGACAGTGAGTACAAGGGTCTGGGCAAGAGGGGGAGGGCAGTCTTGTCATTAGGGAGCAGGGAGAGGCCAGGATAGCTGGGGCGAGGGCCGAGAGCAGAGGGTCATGGAGAAAATGAGAGGAGGGCACAGGGAGGGAAAGGGCTCTTAGGAGGATAGGGAGGGAAAGTGGAGAGACCTGCTGATCCCCAAGGGAGATGCTGAGTGGGTCATGCAGGAGACAAGAATATGACGTCTGAGTGCAGCATGACTCAGCCAACACTCCCAGGCCCCTCTCCTGTCTGCCCGACAGACTGTGTGAGGGAATCAGGGGCTCTCACAACAAATGGTTTGGGGAGCCTCAGTGCTCAGAGGGTACTGGGTGGGCAGGGAGGTCCAAACTCAGCAACATTCAGAGGCAGTCCGGGAGGAGGCACCAGGAAAGGAGCCCAAGAAAGAGTGGGTAGTTGGCAGGTATAAGGAAGGAGTCCACTGGCAGGAGCTGAGAGAAGAGGATTCTGGGAAGCAGACTGGGCCAGAGGGTAAGGCCAGAATTGGGGTGACCTCGGCAGAAACAAAATTGGGGTACAGTAGGAAGTAAACTGGGGAGCCTCGTCCTGAGTTGCAGGCTGTTCAAGGGCCACAAAGAGCCAAAGGGGCTCTGCTCTGGGCAGTGGGAGACCCTCTCTCCTGCCTTGGGAAGTCAGCTCCTTCCAGGTGGGCCCGGATGGCATTGTCCTGGGCCCAGATCTTGAGGAGGGATGCGGCAGGCTGGCAGAGGCAGATATGTGGGTCCCAACCCCCATTCTGCCCCATCTGTGAGCCTCAATCCTCTTTCAATTGGGTGAAAACTCTGGTTTTGCGTCCCACCCCCCACCCCCAGGGCTGAGATACTTGGACAGGAGCCCAGAGGTCTTTCAAGGAACAGCCACAGTGGCTGCAGATAAGGAACAGGCAGGTGGGCCTATGTCCCTGTATCTCACATGGGGACCCCACTATCCCTCCTTAATCCCAGTCCCCACATCCACCTTCGAAGCCCAGCTTCTGTGTCAGGGCCTTTCACTGACCTTCTAGTGCCCCCAGAGGAAAGCCCCCCTCTCAGCGTGGCCCTCACAGACCTCCAAGACCTCTCCTGTCCTAGCTGCCTCCCGGTTCCCCACAAACTCCTCACGATTCTGCAAACAACCTGGCTCTTTCCCAATCTCATCACCAAGACCTCGCGGGGAGACCGCTGTAAAGGCTGCAGTTCTGTGCAGTTCTGGGGTAGTTCTGTCCCTGCACTGGCTGGATGTTCCCTGTGGCCTGGCCAGAACATGAGAGGAGGGGACAGGGGTGAGTCCCCTTGGAGCCTGGTGAGTGAAATAGGGAGTGAGGGTGGGTGACAAGGTCTGGGTGCTGGGCGAGGGCCCACCTGCTCCAGCTGCAGCTGCATGGTGCGCTGGGCTGCCACGTCCCCCAGCACGATCTCCACGTAGGGGTAGCTGGAGCTGGCTGTGGGCCGCTGGGTCCATGTCGACTGGATCTCCTTCAGGGGGAACTTCACCATCAGCTCCTTGGGGCAGGGGCAGACAGGCCTATGGGTGGGACAGTCTCACCCACCTTTATCCCTCCCCCGCAGACCTGACCAACAGGAGGCAGGACACCCCGGTCGAGTTCCAGCTCGCCAGTGACTTGCTGTGTGACCTGCAGCAAGTCATCGCTTTACCTCTCTGGACCTCACCTGTAAACTGGTTCACAATGCTAATGCCCACCTCTGCAGTGTGCCAGGCCCTCTTCCAAGTGCTCGGGATCCAGGGGTGTGTAGATGCTGGGGTGCCCTGACCTTAACATCAAGCCTGCTTCTTAACACCTGCACTCCTGAGGAGCTTCTTTCCAGCTCCAGGGGCACTCAGAGCACGTGAGCGTGGATGCCTCCATTAATGACAGATGGGACGTGGGGGGCAGGCACCTTGACTCCCTTGGCCCCAGGCCAGAGGGCATCTCTGTGGGGTGTGTTCCATGCTGCCTCCCAGAGAGCCCGCTGACTCATGCCACTTGCATGGCGGCAATTTGCTTGCTAACCTACACTTCCCACAAAGTGAGGCTGTCCCTTCCCGATCTCACTTCTTCACTCCCCCTGCTTCCCAGATCACCTCCCAATAAACCACCTGCCCTGTCCTCGTGTGAGGTCCACTTCTGGAGGAACTAAAGAAGGGGCAGCGTGTCCTATTTGTTATGTACTTAATCGTGTCCCCCCAAATCCATAGGTTGAAGCCCTAACACTCTATACTCAGAATATGGCTGTATTTGGAGATTGGGCCTTTAAAGAGGTGATTAAGTTAAATTGCGGCCATTAGAGGGGCCCTAACTCAATCTGACAGTGTCCTCATGCAATGAGGAAATTTGGACAACAGACACAGGAACACACATGCAGAGAATAGGCCACATGCGGACCCCGGAGAGGGGAGGGGCCTCAGGAAACCAGCCCTGCCGGCACCTGGGTCTTGGACGTCCAGCCTCCAAAACGGAGAGACGATTTCAGTCCATCTCTATTGCCGAAGCCCCAGGCTGTGGCAGCCTATGCTGACTAAGACACAGTTTGAATGTTTAGCGGGTTTTACTGTCACAGCTTCCTGGGTGGGTTCTATCATCCCTGTGTTCCAGACGAGGAAATGGGGCTTAGTGAGGTGCGGGACTGCCCCCGGTCTCACAGGGGTAAGTGGTGGGGCTGGCTCAGTCCCTCTGAGGGTGGGTCCGAGAAGAGGGGTGGGGTCTGAGGAGAGGGGTGGGCTCCGCGGAGAGGGGAGGGCAGGGCGCAGGCTGAGGCCACTCACGTGGGTCTCAGTGCTGAGGAAGTTGAGGCCATTCTGGTTGACGGCAAGGATGCTGGGGGCCGGCACAGCAAGGTTGCTGCAGCTCTGGATGAAGAAGAAGGAGGAGCCAAACATGGGTGAGGCGCTGAGGAGGCCTGGGGCAGGAGAGAGACGGTCAGAATGAGGGGCTCATCGGTGGCACACGACCTTCAACTGCATGTTGCCTACCGCCCTCATCCTCCCCACTGCGGCCAGACAGGTGCTCCCTCTGAGCCTCCTGCTGCGCACCGCCCTGCCCTCCCACTGCTTGCAGCTCCGAGCCCTGGCACCTGCTCTCTCTGCCAAGAACCACCAGACTCTAGGTGGTGCCTTGGTGAAAGCCTTAGAAAGGTGTTCTCTAGCCGAAACCAGTTTGGCTCAGTGGATAGAGCATCGGCCTGCGGACTGAAGGTCCCAGGTTCGATTCCTGTCAAGGGCATGTACCTTGGTCGCAGGCACATCCCCAGTAGGGGGTGTGCAGGAGGCAGCTGATCGATGTTTCTAACTCACTATCCCTCTCTCTTCCTCTCTGTAAAAACTCAATAAAATATATTTAAGAAAGAAAGAAAGAAAGAGAGAGAGAGAGAGAGAGAGAGAGAGAGAGAGAGAGAGAGAGAAAGGGAGGGAGGGAGGGAGGGAGGGAGGGAGGGAGGGAGGGAGGGAGGAAGAAAGAAAAGAAAGAAAGAAAGAAAGAAAGAAAGAAAGAAAGAAAGAAAGAAAGAAAGAAAGAAAGAAAGAAAGAAAGAAAGAAAGAAAGAAAGGTAGGTGTTCTCTGCAGGCAGCTCAGCTGGACTCACGCTGAAATGCCTTTGTGCAAAGAACAAGGTGCCTTCGTCTCCACCCTCCAAACCCCTCCCCAGCAAAGCCGCCGGGACCAGCTCCCTCAGCCCCGGACTCTCACCCAGAAACTGGGCGCGGGCCTGGTGGGGGCTGAGCGCTTGTGTCTGCTGCCGGTGCTGACTGACCAGGCTGAGCCAGGTGGAGCCGGCCGTGGAGTGGTAGAGCTGGGCCGGGATGTACTGCTGGACCTCCCGTCTGCATGGGAGGGAAGGTGTCCTGAGCACCTGTCTCCTGCCATCCTCCCTGCAGGCTTACGCAGAGCAATGTGCTCCTTGCTCCTCCCCGCAGACTGACCCCTGGGAGTGTGGAGGGTTTGGGGGCATGAAGTGCTCCCAGCGCCCTGGCACACAGCAGGTGCTCAGTAACTGCTGGCAGCACCACTAGACTTCCTGTTTGAAGAGGAGGGAACTGAGGCTCTGAAGAGCTCACTGACTAGCCCAGGGCCACACAACAACCAAGTGAGCCTGAGTGGGGGCTGAGACTTGAATCCAAGGTGGGTTCATACTTTGTAGTGCCTGCCCCCAAGGAGACCCCAGGCCAGAGGGCTAAGCACAAGGTGGTGGCAGGTGTGGAAATAGCAGAGCCGCAGAGCCGCCACCAGAGGCAGAGTTTGGGGTAGGGGAAAGCGGCAAGACCCCCCTCTCCACTCCAGCCCCTTCTCTAACAGGCTGGCTTCCTCAGGGCGGCGCCCGGGCCCCTCAACCGCAGTTCCAGTCATCCCAGGACCCTGAGCTGCAGGCTGGGGAAAAGCTGGGAGAAAATCACGGGCATCCCTTTCCCCAGGACACCCCTTCTTTGCAGGGCTGGGGTACAGGCCTGGCGTCTGGACCTGGCCTCCCAGGGTTGTATTCTTGTCTCTCCCCCCCCCCATCTCCCACGCACAGCTAGGTTTCAGTCAGCCATGTGACCTCTCTGGCCTCAGTTTCCTCATCTGTATAAAGGGAAAATAAAGTGGATACAGAGTGCTTTGCAGAAAGTCAGAACTCAATGATTCTTTCTACCCAGGATTAGATTACAGTATACTTTTGTGTGTTTCCCTGTTTTTTGCTTAAAACAGTAACATAAAAGAGCTTTACGAATTGAGCCCTTGCTGAATTACGGCACCCGGACATGCACTGTAGATACATTATCTTACCATTATTCACACAGGGGTTTTCAAATTGGGGCTGAGGCTCTGGGGGGCGGGGGAGGGTCAAAGACACTTCCATGTTAACACTAAGCCGTTACTTGGGTTTTCCCCTCTCGCTCTCTAACAAGTACAGGGGCGCCTGCCGGAGGCTACACGGCAGGTGAGACCAGCGCAGGCTGGCTGCAGAAGCGGCACGAGGATGCAGTGTCTCCTGTTCAGCCACGCGGTGAAGAAATCCCCAGCCCCAGCCCGTGTGGCTTAGTGGGCTCAAGCAGCATCCCGTCCGCCAAAAGGTAGTGGGTTTGATTCCCAGGCAGGGCATGTTTTGGGAGGCAACCCATAGATGTTTATCTCCTAGATCACTGTTTCTCTCTCCTGCCCCTTGTTCTAAAATAAATAAAATAAAATAGATTTACGAAATGTAAAAACAGTGCCACTCTTCTAAAACTTTTTTGAAAATACATTTTTATGTTGTTTACATTAACATGTACTGTTAATTTATATTATCTTTATATAAAAGCCTAAGCGACGACCGCCTAGCTGGTAGCCATGACATGCACTGACCACCAGGGACAGACGCTCAATGCAGGAGCAGAAAACACAGTGTCATGGGCCTGGTGGGGGCTGAGCCCTTGTGTCTGCTGCTGGTGCTGACATGCAGTTGAAGGCCGCGGGCCCCTCTCCCCTCCCCTCTGAGATTCACCAGTCTATTCCATGTTTCCATGCCTGTGTTGAACGTCTGCCCCCTGGTGGTCAGTGCACGTCATAGCCCCAGTTGAACTGTTGAACAGTTGCTTAGGCCTTTATATAGAGAGATATAATATATTATTATCCTTGTTTTTAAGTTAATTAATCAATGTCTTAAATTGTTCCTTAGTTTTAATTTTGACTATGGTAAATATATATTAGTAGATACAGGCTGCATAAACAAAAGCTCTTTGGGGCCCTATTCCTGAGTCCAAGTCTGAGAAGGACTGATTTGTCACCCCCGTGAGGACACAGCCCCCAGGAAGGCCTGGCTGGGTGCCACACCCTGGTGGCCATTTCTGCATGGCCACGTGTATTCCCCGGCTGATGGCTGTGTGTCCTGAAAGCTTTTTATCATTAAACTTACTCTGAGCTGTTAATACCAGCTGGAAGCAACCTGTTGTGGGAGGAGGGGGGGCCCGCTCTTAGGGCGAGTTGGAGGATGTTAGCCCATCGCCAGATCAGCCCTTCCCGGAGAATCTGCTGGTGTGAGCGGGCGCACAGGGCCTGGGGTGTCCACCTCAGAGAACGCGGGGGCTGGCGGGTGGGCAGGTGCTCACATGCTGGGCAGGTAGAAGTGGTCCTTGGCCCGGTGCTGCAGGGACGCCAGCTTGGACACCTGCTGCAGCTGTTGCTCGCGGGGCTGGCCTGCTGGCATGCTGCTGAAGAGGCCCTTCAGGTAGTCGGGCAGGACCTGCAGGGCAGCAGGTGTGCAGGGCGTTCAGGCACGTGGGGCATGGAGTCCCCCAGTGAGGTGGGACTGCAGTGTGTGGGTGTCTGCTGGGCTGGGGTTACTGAAAATGGAACATGCCTGAGTCACTAAAAACAGATTCCTGGGCTGTACCCCCAGACTCTGATTCACTAGCTCTGGGGCTAGACTTAAGGGTTTGCACTTTAACAAGTTCCCAAGGAACGCTGCTGGCCTATAGGCCACGCCTAGACCAGCACCGGACTGGACTGCGTGGAGCAGTTGGCAACAGTCATACCATGTGGCCATAAAAGCCAAGTAAGCTTATTTTGTACTTGGAATTGGGGAGAATTTGGCACCAGTTCCACCCAAAAAACACACTCTCTGTCCAAGCACTTGCACAAATGTTAGCAGAGGGAGCCAGGTCTACAAAGCCCAGGACCCTGGCTTAGGGGACCGGATTCCACAGGGAGCAACACAAAGGTAAAAGCAACACTGGCAGCCAGTCCTCCTAGGCTCCGAGAGGGACAGGCTATGCTCTCTGTGGAGGGGAGAAGGGGAAGAGTGCTGTTTGGGGCAGCCTTGCTAGGGAGGACTTAGAAAAGCAGAGACATGCCCGGCCAGTGTGGCTCAGTGGTTGAGCATTGACCTATAAACGAGGAGTCAGGGTGGGATTCCCGTTCAGGGCACATGCCCTGTTTGCAGTCTTGATCCCCAGTAGGGGGTGTGCAAGAGGCAGCCAATCAATGAGTCTCTCATCACTGATATTAGGTAGTGAGGGTCACGTCACTGACTGCTCCGAGGAAGCCACGCAGAGAGCAGGGCACCAGGGCTAGAAACGTCAGGGGGATCACCCGAATCATGAAGGCCTCACACGAACGGCCTCACAGTCCTGGGGGAGCCAGGAAGGTTCCAGAACATGAGTGGCCCACACGTGCTGACCTGGTTATAGTGCATGGTCACGTATAGCTCATTCTCAAACTTCAGTGGCTGATCCCAGAGCACACGCCGGAACCAGAGCATGTAGCTGCTGTCCACCTGCTCCATCTCCGAGGCCACGTCCAGGATGTAGGTGCAGCGGCTGAGTGGGCACACGTGCTGGCCTGTGGAGAGCCAGAGGCAGCTGGGGGCACGGGCATACACCCCAACCTGCCACCCAGGCGAGCATCACCTGGGCAAGCCCCTCGCTGGGACATGCTCTGGACCAGGGCGCCCTGCTTGTGGGATGCTGATGGCTGCCAACGGGAATGCCTCTCTACGGCCCTGGGTCTGGGAGAGTGATCTGGGTCGCGCTCAGACACAGCCCAGTTCGTTTCCGGAGGAGGTGGGAACAAGGAGAGGCACAATGGTGCCTATAGGCAGAACCCCTTCAGAGGGCGCTGCTGGGCTCCTGAGTGGGGGTGGGGAGGACGCAGCCGGACCCCCAGAGGGCCAGAGCTGTGGCGAGGCTGAAGGCAGGCTTCTCTATTTCCTGCAGACACTTCTGCTCCCGCCCCACAGCGCCCACAGTTTTACCACGGAGTGGGCCGTGTCGTGATGATAAAGTCCAGACTCTTGAGCCCAGATAACCTGGGTTCAAAGCCCAAATATGTGACCTGAGGCAAGTCCTTTGGCCTCCAAGGCAGGCTGATTACTGGCCCCTTCTCAAAGACACCCATGTCCCAACCCTGGAACCTGAGAGTATGTTACCTTCATGGCAAAAGGGACTTTACAAATGTGATTAAGTTAAAGATCTTGGGATGAAGACATTATCCTATCAGTGTTTCCCAAAGTGTGGTACGCGTACCCCCAGGGGTACGGGAAGAGTTTGGTGGGGTACGCATTGCACCGGAGTTTGGTGGGGATATGCACTGCACCATGCTTAGCTGTGCCTAATTCTATGTTCTCATGAGTATGAGGGGTACTCAGCATTGGGGTACACATATGTCAAAAGTTTGGGAAACACTGTTAGGTCATCCAGATAGACCGAATGTAATCTCAAGGATCCTTAAAAGAAGAAAAGAGAGGGAGGGAGAGGGAGAGAGATGCTGCCTTGCTGGCTTTGGGGATGGAGGAAGGGCAAGAGCCACGGGATGTGGGTGGTCTCAGCAAGCTGGAAAAGACAAGAAGAGAGTGTCTCCCCTGGAGGCTCCAGCGGAACAAGCCCCAGGACTGGCTTCAGGACCTGCAGAGCCATAAAAACATAAGCCCCCGGTATGTGGTGATTTGTTACAGCAGCAACAAGAGACTACTACACCCTCGTGGGCCTCGGTTTCCCCGTCTGTAAAAGGGGTGGTAATGGCTCCACGTACAGGGCTGTTGTGAGGACTGAAGGAGGTGATGGAATTCAATGTTTGAATTTAATTCCACCACCTCCTTTTTCCACTACGCCTGGGCGTAGTCTGTGTCAGTCACAGGACTGCCTGTCACTGCCTTCCCCTCCTGCCAGGCCTTGGCTGGACTCCGGGCACGGGCTGAGGACGGACACGTGGTCAGGGATGAGGTGGCAGCGGGAGAGCTGGGAGGAGAGGGTGCAGCAGGCCAGCTGGCGTCTCCGTGGATGAACAGCAGAGGGCAGGGTGGGGCCACGGGAGGAGGGCCTGTGAGACCCGGGGAGGGCCTCGATGGCTATGGTAAGGCATGCGTGGCGGGAGAGCTCGCCTGTGTGGGTTCCAGGAGCTGGGGCCTGTTAAGGGAAACCTTCCTAGGATGGGCTCCTTGCAGGCAGGGTCCCTGGGCGGCCCCGAGGGGCAGCGGAGGGGACAGGGGCCCCTCTTCCGGCCTGACGGGCGAGACAAACGTACACACAACGGAGCAGAGAGGGACAGACCAAGGGCTGGGGTGCTCGGTGCACAGAATGGATCCTTAGAAGAAGAAAAGAGAGGGAGGGAGAGGGAGAGAGAGGGAAGCCGTGTGGAGCGGCTTCTGGGAGATAGTGGCATCTGTCCTGAAGGAGGAGGCCACGTAGGGCGTGAGCCCAGCGTGCTGGATCCTCTGGCAGCTCACCTCGGCTGGTGACGAGGAAGATGACGTATTCATCGAAGGCCTCGGGGCGGGTCAAGGCCATCTCCGCACAGATCTCCTTCACCACGTCCAGGGCCACCTGCGGGGAGGGGGGAAGACGAGTGAGACCGCCCGCCGCGCCCACCCCCGTCCTCCAGACTGCCCGGCCCTGCACCGAGGCGGCTGGGCCCCAGAACCGCCGCACAGGCAGGGAGACAGCTGGTCTGAGAGGCCCAGGCAGTGTGACCTGAGCTGGAGGCTCCACCTCCCCAGGCTCAGCCTGCTCTTCAGCGGAGTGTCCTGCCTTGTGGACTATGTGAGAGAGCCTGGAGGGGCTCAGCACCCTTGGGGGCCACTCTGGAGACTGGGGCACCCTTGTCCCCCCTTCCCCCCAGGGGCTGCTTGCTGGAAACGCCCCTCACTCACGGTGCAGGTTTTGATTTTGAGATGGCGTTCGAGGCCCCCCGGGAGGAAGAAGAGCTGCCTCTTGGAGCTGCGGCCCGCCTGGACAGGAGGGTGAGGAGACAGGGCAGGCTGGGTGGTGGGATCCGGGCCGGCCGTCGGCCCTGCCACGGGAGTCCCTGTGCCGGGCCAGAGGCCTCTGAGCCCAGCAGGCCTCTGTGCTTGCCCTGACCCCACCCCCGCGCTCACCAACAGAGCCCGGAGCTCCATGCTGCTGGGCAGCTCCAGGCGGCCGCCGCAGCGCAGGGTTTTCTGCAGGTTCTGCTCACAGGCCTTGGCGATTCCTGCAGAGACAGAGCCAAGGCCTTGCCCAGGTCGGCAGTGAGAGGCAGGCTCCTCTGGCCAACAGCCGACAGCCCACGGGGTTCTCTGCACAGCCGGCAGGACGAGCTTTTACTCTCAGTCCAGAGCAGGGCAGTGATTTGCCCAAAGTCAAAGGCTGGTGTGCAAGTGCCTCATTCAAACCCACCCCCCGCAGGCTCAGGCCTTTTGTTAAGTCCACAGTCCCCTTGGCTACCCTATGAGCCCTGGAAACAGCTGTCACCTTGAACTGCTGGCGGGAACTTGACCCTAAGAGGCTGTGTGACTATGGGGATGCAGCTTGCCCTGCCTGGCAGGAGGGCCTGCTTCTGTGTCTCTGACTAGGCAGTGCCGCTCCCTGCTGGGGAGGGCGAGCCCAGGAACCGCTGGGAGCCCTGGGGCTGGGCCTCCACCTTGAGCATGCGCTAAGCAAAGCCGAGGAGGACTCGGAGGCGGGGAGGGAGGTCCCCCATCTTTCACTGCTGCTGTGGTGACCGCAGGCCCTGGCTCTTTCTTAGGGGGACCAGGGAGTTGCTATGGAAACAAGGCTGGAAATGAGGTTAAAGAATGGCCCCTTTCCTCTACGCTCCAAGGGGGAAGGCCAAGCCCCTGCCCCAGCTTTGGGACCATCCCTGTCTGGACCGCTCAAGACCCTGTTGGTTCCCAAAGACCCAAGGAGCAGAGCCTGCCCAACAGCCATGCCTTGCACCCCTCTCCCCTCCCCCATGCCACTCTGCCCACCTCCAGGCTTGGCTCCTGCCACTCAGGGCAGAGAACCCCCCAGAGCCACTCCTCCTCTGGGAAGCCCATCGCATCCCCTCTGACAGGCCTCCCTCCCCTGACCAGATAGCCAGCGCCTCCACAGCACCGGGAGGGGGAGTCAGCGAGCATGGCCGGCACCGTGCAGGGCCAGGCTCTCCGGATCCCCCTCTTGCTGGCTGCCTGGCCGGGGCCCTGACAGACCCTCAGCCCTGGGCCCCCTCGCTGTGCCCCTCACCCTGGAAGGGCAGGCCTGGGCTCTGGCTCACGTCCTGGAGGAAGCGGACGAGGGGTGGCCGGAGGACCTCCGAGCAGCTGTGATAGGCGGTCAGGATGTACAGCAGCCTCCAGCCCCGCAGGCAGCTGTCCCTGTGGGGCACGTGCATAGGACCACATCACATGGCCACGGCAGGTCTGCCAGGCCCGAGTCTCCTGGCGGGGCTGGAGGGCCCCAGTTCCCAGGCAGCTTTGGTCGGGGTGTGCTTCCTGCCTGGGAGGGCGGGGTAGTGGCCCCAGCGCCAGGCAGGAGGTAGTTCTGCTTGGAGGCAGGGAGGGAAGGCCGGAGACCCGGGCATGCACCAGGGGAGACTCTCCGAGAGGCTTCCAGGCAAAGGTCCATGAGGGGGAGCCGGGGAAGTGGGGGGGCTGTGGGAAGGCAGTGGCAGGGGAGGCCTGGTGGGCAGGGACAGGAGCATGAGCTGAATGGCTCTAAAATTCCCAGGAAGTTGGGAGGAAGGGGGAAGGGGGGAGACAGGGACAGGACAGAGAGCCAGTGGCAATGAGAGCAGCACACGCGTGGGCACTTGCTGTGTGCTGCTCCCTGCGGGAGGGTTCCGTCTGCGGGGCCGTAGTGCCTGGGGAGCTTCCCTGGCCCTCCCCACCCTCACATCCATGGGCACGTGCTGGGCCATGGCGGAGAGCCAGGTCTGGCCAGGTTAGAGCCCAGTCCCCCCCCATGCGGTGACTGCTTTAGGGACAGGAATGTGACCAGGTAGAGCCCGTCACAGCTCTGCACCCCCAGCCGCCGTGTTCGGTTGGGGATAAACGTGTGTGACTGTCAGGCCAGTGAGACTGGCTGGGCTTTGCTGCAGAGAGTGGTCCGTGCTGCTTCCTCTGGGGCTGCTGAGCGGGCCATGTCTTTCCAGAGCGGCCACCGTGCAAACAGAGGGGTGGTGCTGGGGACGACATCACCCCAGGAAGCCGCCAGGACAAGCCTGCTTCCCGGCAATGCCCGGAGCTAGCCAGGCCCGAACTCCTTCCCGGGCAGCTGGGCGCTCTTGCTTAAACCAGCTTGAACTGAATTTCGGGCACCTGCCACCACGCCTGGACTCACACGTGACTGCTACCATCCACAGGGAGGGCACGGAGGCGCCGAGAGCAGGTCTCAGACCGCGCAATTCCAGACCCGCACGCTTTGTCTACTGAGTGAGGAGGGCGGGGGGCGGGGCAGGCCTGGCAGCAGGAGGGGGCTGTGCTCCTGGAGGGACAGGGACGGGGACAGGGACAAGGGGGGGCACGCACTGCTCGCTGCTGGCGCGGTCTGTGAGCTGCTTCACCACCTGGCAGTAGCACTCGTCCCGCAGGGCCTCCTGCTCGGTGCACAGCTGCGGGCGGCCAGGTCACGCCGCGGGCGGCACAGAACAGAGCGGGCGTGAGACAGGCTCGTGTCCCTCTCCCCCCCTCCCCTCCTCGGGCCACGCTAGAAGCCGCCCACCCCAAAGTCCTGCAACTCTGGTTGCCGAGGGGAAACTGAGTCACAGGACGGGGGAGAGAGCACGGCACAGCGGGCGAACTGACCTTCAGGAGGGTGCAGAGCACATCCCGCTCGCGCTGGCCCTTCAGCGGGGCGTCCCCCATGAACCGCATCACGGCTGCAGGGAACACCCCGCTCAGCCGGACCCAGGCTGCCCGCCCTCGGGGACCGGGGCCCCCGAGAGGCTGTGGCGGGGCAGCCGGGGCGTCTCTTTCTTAGGGGAGCCCCCTGTCTGAGCGGGCGGGAGGTCTGAGGAGCAGAGGGGTGAGGAGCAGGGGCAGGTGGTGCCGCCCCAGGGTCGGGCCCACCCCACACCTAGGAACATGTCGGCGGCCATCTTGCTGAGGTCGGCGTCGCTGAGCTCGATGAGGGATTCCTGGAGCGGGCTCTGTCAGGGAGGAGGTGCGTCAGGACGGGGGGCGAACAGAAGGGCCACGTGGATGTCCTGTCTCGGACACGCAAAGGGAGCCGGGGACACTGGGAGAGGCTCGCAGGCCCTCAGGGGCTGAGGTGGGTCACTCTGAGGACGAGGCTGTTTCCTCCCAGGCCTGCACCGCCATTTTACAGTTGGGGGAACTGAGGCCTGGGCTGGCACCTTGGTGAAGCGGAGCATGTCCTCCAAGGTTCTGGACTCCCGGCCCTCCTTGGATTTGAGCCTGAGGCCGTCCCTGGGGCAGGAGCAGAGGGGAGACCATGTCTCGGCCTGCGGTTCCCGCCCCCCGCATCCCCCTCCACAGGCTCCGCAGTGGGTGCAGGGGCCTCACGCCGGAGGGCTCTCCCCTCACAGGGGCCGGCCTTGCCCTTGGATGCTGACGAAGCCCCGGGAGGAACCCCGCAGGTGGGGACGGGGTGGGGTCATCACTCACTGGGGTCTCCTCTGAGGGTCTCGGAAATACTTCTGGGCGAACGCCAGCATTGTGCGCGGTGGGGGAGCCAGGCCATCCTCCCCAGGACCAGCCGGGCCGGTCCTGAGGGGGGAACCCTGTAGGGGCAGGAGCAGGAGGGCCTGTCCAACCGCCCCCACCCGACCCCATCACACCCGACTCAACTCAACCCCCGGTGAATGCCCCCAACTCCCCTTCAGCCAGGCCTCTGCCACCACGTGCCCAGGGGCCACCCCCTGACCCACTTGGCCGTGCCCACGGCTGGAATCTCCAGATGCCTGGTTGAGCTGGCCTGGCCCTTACAATTGCCTCTACCCCACTCCACCTCTCACTACCACCACCCCCATGCGCGACCCTGCCCCCCAGGGCCCCGTCCTGCCACCTGGCCTGGCCACAGTCCCGCGGACCCCCCCTTCTCTACCCGTCTGGCCACATCCCCAACATCGCTGTCACCTGCCACAGCCCACAGGCCGGCCTCGCCCCCACCCCCTCCAGTCCGATGACCCCTGCGGCCCGGCCCCCCGGCCTCACCTCTCTCCTGCGGCCCACCTCCCACGCGGCGGCCGTGGCGCCCACGGCGGCGGCCACGGCGGCGGCACGGCCCCGGCTGGGCTCCGCGGGCAGCTGCAGGAAGTCGGGGGCGGCCACGGGCTGCACCAGCTCGGAGGGGAAGCGCCCCACGCGCCCGTGGACGGTGCCGAGCCTCCAGCCTGGGGGGTGGGGAGGACGTGAGGGGAGCAGGGCTCCCCTCGGGGACTGAGGGCTCAGGCACTCCCTGGAGCTCCCGGTGGAGGGCCGGCTTGGGAAGGGAGGCAGGCGGCACGTGTGGCACAGAGGGGTCCCCCACACACGGAGACGCCGACGCCCACAGACTTCCGCCAGGTTAGCGGGCAGAGGGCTGGGAGGGCCTGGGAGGCCTGGGTCGCCGGGGGCCTGGGTCGCCGGGGGCCTGGTTACTGGGTCACTGGAGGCCTGGGTCACCGGGGGCCTGGTTACTGGGGGGCCTGGGTTACTGGGGGGCCTGGGTCACTGGAGGCCTGGTTACTGGGTCACTGGGAGGCCTGGGGTACCGGGGGGCCTAGGTCACTGAGTCACCGGGGGCCTGGGTTACTGGGGGGCCTGGGTCACCGGGGGCCTGGGTCACTGGGGAGCCTGGGTTGCTGGGGGGCCTGGGTCACCGGGGGGCCTGGGTCGCTGGGTCACTGGAGGTCTGGTTACTGGGTCACTGGGAGGCCTGGGTTACCGGGGGGCCTAGGTCACTGTGTCACCGGGGGCCTGGGTTACTGGGGGGCCTGGGTCACCAAGGGCCTGGGTCACTGGGGGGCCTGGGTTACTGGGGGGCCTGGATCACCGGGAGCCTGGGTCACCGGGTCACCGGGGGGCCTGGGTCACCGGGGGCCTGGGTCACCGGGGGGCCTGGGTCGCTGGGGGCCTGGGTCGCTGGAGGGCCTGGGTCACCGGGGGGCCTGGGTCGCCAGGGGGCCTGGCCGGAGCACTCGGGCCTGAGGACCCGCCTGCTGGCGGTGCGATGCAGGGAGGGGAGCTGGGTGGCTCTGGGGTTGGAATATGGAAGCGAGCAGTGGACCCCGGACCCACCGAAGTCAGGGCCTCTCCGCTGCAGCTCCTCCAGGTACACCACCTTTTTGCGGACGACACAGCCGGCGCTGTAGCCTGTGGCCGGGCGAACGTCAGCCACTGCCAGGGAGACCCCGCGCCCGGACTCCCGCCAGTGCCCCCCCCAGGTGCCCAGACTCCCGCCAGTGCCCCCTTCCACCACCCTCCGAGGCACCCGGACTCCCGCCAGTGCCCCCTTCCGCCCCCCAGGCGCCTGGACTCCCGCCAGTGCCCTCCCCCCCCCCCCCCGAGGCACACTGACTCCCGCCAGCGCCCCCCCCCAGGCGCCCGGACTCCCCCCAGTTCCACCCCGCAGGTGCCCAGACTCCCACCAGTGCCCCCTTCCCCCCCCCCCCAGGCACCGACCCAGGCGGGGCGGCTCCGGCGGCTGCAGGTGGATGATGTCGCCCTTGTGGAAGGCCAGCAGCGCCGGGTCCTCGGGCAGGAAGTTCCTCACGGCCACTACGTAGTCCGAGTCCTGGAGGCCAGGCGGGTGAGGCCCAGCCCTGCCCGCCCGGAGGCAGGGCCACCCCCTTCACCCATCCACAGGCGTCCCCCCACTCCCTCAGAGGGCTTTCCTAAGTGAGAGGGGAAGGGCACGGGAGAAGGCTGAGGGCAGGAGGCCCGGCCTGAAGGCGGCAGATGGTGCTGGGCACAGGGACACACCGCCCGCGCCTGCCGCGGCGTCCCACTGCGGCCTGCGGCGTGGCGGCCCGGGGCGTGGCCTGCGTGTGGCGGGCGCCGTGGGGCGCTGCCGGGGCCGGGGCCGGGGCCGGGGGCACGTCGCCCGGAGTGAGGAGCACAGCCTGGAGCTCAGGGAGGCGCTGCTGAGGAGCGGGCAGAGGTGAAGGGCAATCCAGCGCCAGGCGGAGCCGCCACTGGGTCACTGGCCACCACACGCCCCGCTTCCCAGGCGGGTGGTGGGGTGGCTGCGCTGGGGCTCAGCTCTGGGGGCTCCAGGGGCTCCGGGGGAGGGCCCTGACCTTCTTCAGCTCCAGGATGAAGTCGTCCACCAGGGTCTTGACCTGCCGAGCGCGGGCTGAGAAGAGGATGACCTTCTCGCTGGCCAGGTTGAACTCCAGCATGTTCCGGGAGGGGATGGTCACAAACAGGATGTCCGCAAAGCTGGGACAGGAGCCACGTGAGGGAGGGCGTGTGGCCAGAGGGACGCCTGTGCCACCAGCCCCGCGGCCAGGCGCTTCCCCAGCCTCCCTCCCTGTCTCTGCAGCGCCCGCCCGCTGCCCACAGCCCCGAAGCCCCATCCCTCCCACTCTGCCCTCCCTCCTGTCCTCCTCCCTCCCTCCCTCTTCCTTCCCTTCTTCCTGCCTTCCTTCCTTCCGGCCCCTCTTGGTCCAGCCTCCGCATAGACTGAATGATCGCCATCTTTCAAGGCGAGGCTGTGGATGCTGCTGGTGGGCCAGCCCCTCCCCGCCCTGAGCTGTGCGGACCGGCCCGGGGCAGGGAGGAGAGGACGCGGCTGGCCTCTCCCTGGGCCCTCCCCGCTCCCAGGCATGTGGCGACCACAGTGAGCTCCGTGGCAGGGCTGGGTGTGGTCTGGGGCAGGATGGCGGGTTCCCAGCTCATCTGCTTCTAGCTGTGCCTGAGCCAAGCGCCTCGCTGCGCCCAGGTCCCGTCTCTGAACGGGCTGGAGTTGAGGGCGGGCACCATGCTGGTGCTCCGTGAGCGGCTGGGGAGAGCCGGTGAGGAAGGCGGAGGCCTGTCCGTGCCCGTGCCCAGCGAGCCCGTCCCCGCCGCCCGCACCTGTACGTGCGCAGGACACGCAGCCGCCCGCTGGCCTCCCGGCTGCCCCTGGCCATCTGCAGGAGCTTGATGCCCGTGTGGGCCACAGCGAGGATCTGCACGCCCGTGCCCACGCTGCCCTGCGGGGACAAGGCCCGTCAGCTTCGCCCTAAGCCCGGGGGGGGCAGGGTGGGACGGACTGGCAGGGCTGGGGGCGGGCGGGCTGGCACAGGGCTGGGGGCGGGGTGGGCTGGCAGGGCTGGGGGCTGGCGGGCTGGCAGGGCTAGGGGCGGGGCGGGCTGGCAGGGCTGGGGGCTGAGCAGGCTGGCACAGGGCTGGGGGCGGGGCAGGCTGGCACAGGGCTGGGGGCGGGGTGGGCTGGCAGGGCTGGGGGCTGGGCAGGCTGGCACAGGGCTGGGGGCAGGGTGGGCTGGCAGGGCTGGGGGCGGGCGGGCTGGCAGGGCTCGCACCGTGGCCGGGAAGAGGCGGGAGAAGTAGACCTCCCAGCTGTCGCGTGCGGTGTTGACCACGGCCCGCTTCACGCTCTCCGTCACCAGGGGCCTCTGTGTGTCCAGCTGGTTCTGGGCTGAAGGGGCAGGTGGGTCAGGACCCTCCCCCACCCTGCAGGCCCCACTGCAGGGAGGGAGACCCCAGCTCTCAGTGCCGACTGGGAAGCCAGGATGCCAGGCCGGCAGACGGCCCAGGCCCCCAGCCGGTCAGGCAGAGCTGCCCTCAGACTGGTCGCCTGGCCACGGGAGAGCCCAGAGCTGAGCAAGGAGGGGTGCCGGGAGGTGAGGGGGGCGCATCCCTCCCTGGCGCCTGAGGTACCAAACAGGGCCTTCATCTTGAGCCTCTCGTCCTCGGAGATGCGCAGGCAGGCCTCGGACTGCGTGTCATGCAGGATCTGCGGGAAGGAGCTGAGCTGGGTGTAGGCGGCCCTAGGGACTTCCCTCGCTGGGACCCAGGCTGGGCTGTTCTAGGCCGAGCGGGGGCTCCCTGTGTGCAGCCGTGGGTCCTCTGGGTGAGTCAGATCCTAACCCCTAGACACTCTCCTCTCGCCTTCCCGCCAAGTCAGGCCACCCCTCCCGCCTTGGTGTCCTCATCTTACATTGGATCTGTCCAGCAGAGACAAACCACGAGCCCGGTTAGATGGGCTTGTGACCCCGACAGTGGGAATAGGGTGCAGGACAGCCGCCCAGCCACACATGGTGAAGGAGCCCAGCTCCGAGTGCAGAAGCAGAGTCTGCAGACGGCTAGTCCACGTGCCACTGCCCTGCTGCGTCACCGAGGCAGAAAGGACGGAGGCCTCACCTGCCGGAACAGGAGGTCCAGCTGCACGGGGTGGCTGTAGCTGTCCTTCGGGTAAAACACCTGTGGGGGGGGGATCCCATGAGGACCACCGCGGCCCCCCACTCTGCCCCACACCTGCACTCGCTCCAGAGCAGCGGCAGGTGCCTGCTCAGCTCCCCCTGGCCTGGTTCTCAATCCGGGTGCCCCCTGCCCCAGCCAGCCCCTCCCCGGCTCCCGGCACCTCTTTGCGCAGGAAGATCTGCCAGGGGGGGTCCTGGTAGCCATAGAAACTGGGGTTGGGGAGGCGGTGCAACTGCGTCTGCACTGGGTCCTCGGCTGGCTCCAGCGACCTTGAGGGCAGTGCTGGGGGCACAGCGATCGGGTGTGAGGGGAGGCAGGGCTGTGAGGGATGGGTAGAGTGGCACCCCACACCCTTGGCCACAGTCACACCTGGTCACACGCAGGCAGAGCACTGCCACAGCCCAGCCCGCCCTCCGGCACATGCTAGGAAACAGGCACCTAGCGTGTGCGGCCTGTGCCGGGGCCGAGGGTGTCCCGCAGAAGAGGCAAGGCGCTTGACTTTAGGGTCTCCTGGCAAATGTGGGCGAGACAGAGGATTTGAAATGACAGAGCCCTCAGTCTGAGAGCTACGGGTGGAGTAAAACTGGTGGTTCAGAGAGGGGTGAGAAGAGGGGGCAGCAGGCGAAGCGCTTTTGGAAACGAGCACTCAGGCAGGAGCGGCGAGGGCAAGGAGCAGGCCTCCGGGAGCACCGAGGGACAGAGGGCCCGGGCCGGCGGGAGGAGGCCAGGCTGGGAGGGGCAGAGCTCAGGCCTGGGAGGACATGGAGTTCCTCCCAGGAGCCACGGGGCGGCTGCCAGGAGCTCGGTGTGAGTGGATTTATATCTCGTGAGGTCACTGTGGCCACCTGAGGCAAACGATGTCGAGTTAGGGCTCCAATTGTGATGCCAGAAGGCCTGGACTTCGATCCCTGGTCTAACACCTTTAAGCTGTGTGGTCTTGGCAAGTTGTGTAACCTCTCTGTGCCTGTGCCTCTGTTTCCCCATCTGTGACACTGCAGGTACGAGTGGCACTGTGTCTGGGGCGTAGTGAAGACTGAATGAGGCCCGGGTGGGCCTGGCTTGAAATCAGTGTTGTTTAAGCGCTGACCTAACTGTACAAATGTCCACACAGTAGGTCCACATGGGCCACGGACATGCAGACACACCTGTGCTCACACAGACTCACTTCACACGTGGACACTTCCCTCTTGTCCCTCCCTCCCTCCCTCTCTCCTGGCCCCTCACCTGGCGCAGGTCGCATGGATGGCCTTGGTGCGCTGGTCACTGGCTTCACCAGGGCCACAGCCTCCCTGGGCACCTGCCCCCAGAGAGAGAGCTCAGGGGCGCAGCGGGGAGGAGCGGCAGCGGCCGTGCCTGTTGGGGCAGCTGGTTTCTGAGGCTCCTGGAGGCCCCTCTGCTTCCCAGTCTGCCTGGGCACGGCCAGACTGCCCTCACCTGTGTGCCAGGTGCTGCCGCCGCGTGGCTCATCTGCCCTTTCAGGATCATCAGGGCTTCCTCGTGGGGGTCTGGCCGCTTGGCGAACACCCTCCCGCAGTCCTTCCTGGGGGAGGTGGGCGCTGAGTTCCTCTCCCTTTCCGTCACCAGCCCCTGGAGTAAGGACCCTCTTCCTCCCCCCCACCCCCAACCCCCACCCCCGTCCCAGAGGGGTCTCCCAGCCGCCCTCTGTGGGGGAGGGGCCGTGGGAGCATCTGCATAAACAGCCCCCCCCCACGTCGGGGGCCCAGGCCGGGGAGGAGGCGGCCTGCGGCTGGGGCAGAGCTGACCTGAGGGCCTTGGGCTGCCCGCCCTGCGGCGGCTGCTGGTACTGCCGGACGATGTTCCTGATCTGTTGCGTGGGCTGCGGGAAGTGCTCCGAGTTGAGCGTGGAGTAGCGGACCAGCTCGGGGCCCGGCAGAGCTGTGGCGGGGGGCAGAGTGAGACACGCCTCCCGTCCATCCTGGCGGCCGCCCCCAAGCCCCGCGGGGCAGGACACTCACTGGTTTCTGGAGAAGACCTGTCCTGAGGTAGAATGGGGGCAGCCACGGGCTTGGTGGGGGGCCTGGGGGCCTTGGCCGGGAGGGTGGGGGTTGAGGGCTTCGGGGCGGAGCGCAGGAGCACGGGCTTGGCCGGGGGTCCGGTGCCCACGAGCGTTGGCCGTGTCTCGGGGGCTGGGGGCTTCTGCAGAGAGCAGACGTGAGGTGAGCGTCCTGGGACACCCAGCTCGCTCTCTGGGACCCGTGCCGGCCCAGGACGGTGTGGGGTCCAGGCTCAGCGAGGTGCGAGGACGCCCTGGCAGGCAGGCTCACCTCCGCGGGGAAGGGCCTTGGGGCGGGACTCAGGGGCTGCTGCTGGAGGGCCATGGCCTGCAGGGTCATCTCTCTGGCCTGAGGAGAGGCGGGGTGTAACCAGGCAGGCCCGCTCCGGACACCTCCCCCCCCAGGCCCCTCGCACGCACCAGCAGCACGGCCTGCTTGTGGATGAAAGCTTGCTGCAGAGCCAAGGTGGAGGCGTCCAGGACTGGGACTTCGGGGAGCCGGGCAGCGGGCACAGATCCCAAGGCGTGGAGGTGAGGGAAGGGGGAATTTCCGGCCACCTCCCCCCTTGCCTCCCCTCCCCCTGCCCATGGCCGCCCTGTGTTAGCACAGAGGGAGCCCGGGGAACAGCGGCCCCGGCCTTGCCCAGCCCTAGAACCAACCTCGGGGCAGGTACTGACTTGGCTTTGGCTCTGGGGGTCTCTCGGGGGTGTCTTCGGTGCCGCCGCCGCCGCCCCCAGGCTGGCCTCCCCCTTTCATGCGATAGGCAATGGCCGTCGGCTTCTCCAGGTCCTGGGGGCAGCGGGAGGCTCGGGTGGCCGCCTTGGCGCTGGCCTCCCGCGGTCCCAAGGCAACGGGCACCCGACACCAGCCTCCTCCTCCATCCCAGGCCTCCCGCTGGCCGAGCACTGTGTGCGCCAGCCTCTGCCCTCACACACTCCTCAGTCCTCCCACCGCCTGGCAAGCTCCCGGTGACCCCCCTTTCACGGAGGAGCAAAATGAGGCTCAGAGGGGTGTGCCCTGCTCAGCGCTCCACACCGTGCCCTGAGGGCTCCTGGGAGTTGTGCGCGAGCAGGGGGCCGGAGGGGGCCGGACCCCTCAGGACACGGGAGTCTGAGCCTCTCTCCAGCGTGTCTCTAGCCGAGAGGACCCCTCCGCCTCTGCCGGGTCCCGTGGCCCGGGCTGTCCCCGGGGGTGTGTGTGACTGGGTATGAGCAGGCCGTGCCCGCGGACCCCCAGCCGTCCTACCGCATCCCCGGACAGCACGGGGTCGAAGAGGCTGTCCAGGTAGCAGTCCAGGCCCTTGTGGGACACAGCAGGCTCTCCGGGGCTGTCCAGGCCTGGCAGGGGGCACACGTCACCTTCTCTCCTGCTGATGCCCCCCCACAGCCCCAGGGCCCCCCCACCAGAGACAGCGCTCCTGCTGGTCGACCTGGGTGGGCTGTTGTACCTCTCTGGGCCTCAGTCTCCCCATCTGTACTGTCCTCATTGTGGCTGCAGTACCCATTGGAGTCCGCCACGTGCCCCTGTGGTTGAGGCTTTGTGGGCATGTCCTCATCTGAGTCCCAGCTGTTCCCAAACACCCTGTGGGTGAGGGGAACATGGAGCATCTGACCCCCAGAGAGACCCAAGGCCTCCCAGACCACCCCACTCCCACTCCCACCCCCACCCCCACCCCCACCCCCACCCCCACCCCCACCCAATCTCCTCTGCACAGGACTCCAGAATTGAATGCCTGACTCTTTAAAGGTGGAGCCCTTTGGTCAGCCCCACCTCCCTTAGTCCAGACGCAGTCAGAGGGGCCGTCTTGGCTGTGAGAGGCCGCCAGTGGGGGGGGTGGGGGGGCAACCAGCCACCTACGCTCTCGGGCTTCCTCGGCCCGCCACGGGCCCTTCTGCACCCACAATGAAGTAGGACTTCTGTCGTGGGAAGTCCCTGAGCAGCTCGAGGTCCGACACCAGGTCCAGCACGTAGTCGTGGCCAGCCAGCTCCGCCCACTGGGCCCCGTGCTTCATGGCCACCGTCCAGCCCCGCCAGCCGTCCGCCAGCCCCCTGGGCAGCACATGAGGGACGTGAAGGAGGGACGAGGCCAGGAGTGCCACGTGCGGAGACTCTGGGATAGGAGCAGACCCCAAGCATGCCCAGAGGGGACCCGGGGCTTTGGAGAGCCCGGCCTCCTGCCCCTCCCCCTCCCCCTTCTTCCCGGGTGCGTGGTGAGGGCGCAGGGCGGCGTGAGGAGCCCACCTGTGCCGCAGGATGTCTCCAGCGAGCTCCTCCCCCGTGCTCCAGGAGTGAACCGGGCAGGAGAACTGGTCGCCTGGACGGGAGCAGACGCCAGTCAGCCCGGGAGGTGGCAGCTGGCCGCCTGGCTGCTTCCTGCCTCCTTCCTCCAGCCTCTCCCTCCTGCCCAGGTCCTGGTCTGTTCTTTTCTGCCCGGCCCCTCTCCCACATTCCAGATCCCCCCGCAGGCACACCGAGACCTCCTTCCAGGCCACGCCCAGCACCCCCTTTCCGCACCCCCAGCTTCTCCCGGCCGGGGCAGAGGCCTGAGGGGCTCACCGTTGAAGCAGCCCACATCCAAAGCCATGCTGGCCTTCTCCCGCGCTGCCGTCCACTCGAGCTGGGTCGGGGGGAAGGTGCGGGCAGCCCCGGGGCCCTGCTGCTGGGCCCGGCCCATGGCCTGCATGAGGCGGTGCTGGCACACGGCCTGGAAGCCGCTCCGCCCGTAGTCAGACACAAACCTGGCAGGTGGATGGAGCGGGCTGAGCGGAGCGGAAGCTGCCCGGGTCAGGGAGGGTTCCGCAGCCTCTAAGGGAGGCCCCGGCTGGCCCAGAGCTTTGGGGTGAGCAGGAAAAGGCCCAGAGCCCCCAGGCTCGGCTACAGAAGGGGACCAGGCTAGCCCCCACTATTCCCAACCAGCAGAGTTACGCGGCCAAAGAGGACAGCCCACCTGAGCTCGTCAGAGCGAGTGTCACTGACGGGTGGGTCTGCCGCTCTGCAGGCAGGAAAGGGGGGCTCCCCCACTGTCACACCCCTCCCCAGCTGCACCGCCCTGAGCCTGCTGCCAGGTTCACCCATCCTGAGACGGCTGTGGCGTTTCAACCTGGCGCAGGACCCCTGAGCCGTCCCCTGCCGGCGGCAGGCATCCCGCATTCCTGGCTGCTCCACTCCCAGCCGCGAGGGCCTGGCCAGGAGCCGCGGGGGCGCGGGTCCACAGCGGCCTCAAGAGGGAACCTGGAGCTGTGCCCACAGGAAGCCCTGGCCAGGCAGCGGCCCGTCCCATCGCTACAGGTCCATACGCTGACTAGTGGGCTGCCCACGCTGCACGCGGCCCTGCCCCTCTACACACCCTGAGCTTACAGCCCCCAGAAGGCAGTCCGGGGGCCACCCCTAGTTTATAGGTAAGGGAAGAGGTTCAGAGAGGAGCCTGCGTGTCCGGGGTCCTACAGCAGGTGATGTCACAGCTACAGGGGACGGCACCCAGGGCCTTGCCCCCTTCCTGACCCCCGGGGTGACGGGGACCCTCCTCCGCTGGAGGCTGACGCGGCCTGTCCTCACACAGCGCTCACCCTGCTCTGTCCTAGGCATCCCACGTGACCCTCTCAGAGCCTAGGAAGCCACATTCCCACCATCCTCGCTTTACGCTGAAGAGACGGAGCTCAGGAGGGTGCAGTGACTTGCCCAGTCACACAGCTCTGATACGGCTGAGGTGGGACCCGACACAGACTGTCAGAGGCTGTGCTTCTAACCACTCACTCCACCCAAGGATGTGAGAAGTCAGGGCCAACATCCCAAATGCCCGCACCCTGGTTTCCACCCGCTGTGCCCTGCAAGTCTCTTCTCCAACCTCACTGGACCCCGACCCTTCACAGCAGCCCAGCTTCCCCGCACAAACCCTCACTCCTGCCAGACCTCTAACACCGCACCCGGCCTGGGCCGGTCCGCGTCCAGCCAGGTGCCACTCACTTGAGCAGGTACTTGTTGAGGCGCGAGGAAGGTGCAAAGCCACTGAGGCAGGCAGCCAGCAAGAGCCAGCCCCGCTCGGCATTGTGGGTCCTGGTGTTGCGCCACACCTGGTTGGCCAGCTGAGCCAGGATCTCGTCCCGGAGCTCGGGCACTGCCAGCCCTTTCTGCACAATGTAGTTCCCGAAGACGTGCTCCTGGGCGCCGTGCAGGTGGGGGTCGCCCATGAAACGCAGGACCTGCGCACAGACACTGCCCTGGCCTCGGAGCCTGCCCTGCCGGGTCCCCACCCCCATGCATCCCTCTCACGTCCTTCCCGAGCCCGTCTATATAAAGTCCCCATCCTATGTAATAAGAGAGGAGCATGCTAATTATCCGTTATGCTAATTATCCGGGCAGAACGGTCTACCACATAACGACGGGACCACAGATCTGCAGGGGGGGGGGGGCAGTGAACTACTAGCGGGCGTCAGAGAGCTACAGGAGGGCGGCGGTGACCTACTGGTGACCTACTGGATTCGTGTGCAAGGCTACTAGTCACAATGTAACTGTATCCTACACCAAATGACCAGGCAGTGCCCTCCAGCCATGGGGAAAAGCCAGGAGCCAACAGCCATGCTGGCTTTCTCTCCTGCCCGTGAACCTTCTGTAGCTCCCATACAGTCCCACCCGCCCAGCACCCCAGGCCCCAACTCCATTCAGACTCCAGGGGCCCTATATCCAACCGCACGCCTCCATGGAAGCGTACTCCTTGGCTCCATCGGCCTTGGGATAAAACCCGAGCTCCATCCCTCTCTTGCCTTTGCTCTCCGGAGCCTCTGTTCTAACCACATGGATTTCCACGTCTCTCTGTGCCTCCTCCACAGCTGGGAGAGTCTGACTACTCTCTGACTCTGGCTCAAATGCCCCTCCTCCCACAAGCTCTCAGCCGTGTCTGGGGCTGGAGCAGGGGCCCCTCTGGCCTTGCCAGCCTCCACGCTCACTGTGCACGCTGGTAGCCACCAGCCAGATGTGCCGTGCCTCCTCTCTCAGACTAGGGAGCCCTTGAGGAGAGAGCCCGACCTGTTCTCGTCCCTGGGAACGGCCTTGTTGCCAGGAAGACGGCCGGGAGAGGAAAAGCCCCAGCCCAGCTCCCCATGCAGAGTGGCCAGACCCCTGACAGAAACTCTCCCCCTGGAATGGCTCGGGGCTTCGGCCAGGGGGTGCGTCAGGAGGATGGACGCCCAGAGCCTGCCCTCAAGCAGGAGCTCCCCAAGGTGCCCAGACAGACTCGTACCAGCTTGAAGATGCTCACGGCTTCTGCGTGGTGCTCTGCTGGCAGCCCAGTGAGGGGCATCCTCAGGGGCACTGTCAGCATCCCGAAGGCAGGCTCCTGGGGGCACAGGCAGACACATGGGCACAGAGCCAGCACTGACGGCACATCTGGATCCATTGCTCTGTGCCAGGTGAGAGCACAAATGCCCAGAAGGCAAGAGCCCCTGTCCCCAGTGTGCAGATGGGGAAACTGAGGCCTGGAGGGGGCAGACACCAGCCTTCAGCAAGTCGGTGGTAGTCAGCCCGAGCCCATCTGGGCCCTCTCTGTGGGATAACGAGCCGGGGCTCCACTGCCGGTTACATTTCTGACATCTTCCCAGCCTGGCTGCCAAACGGCCGCTTCCCAAGCCCCTGGGGACCCCTGCTACCCAGGCCCCCGTGGGCCCCAGGCTGCTCCCGACCCAGCAGCTGTAGGGAGAGCTTGCACCCACCTCAGGGCAAGGGCAGAAGCTGCGCTGGGCTGAGGTCAGTATCAGTTCTAACTGATCTGTGCCCACTGGCTGGGCTGCTGGGCCCATGCCAGCCCTCACCTTGAAGTGGCACCGGACAAACTTGGCCATGGGGTAGTTGTTGATATCCAGGGGCAGCGTGACGCGGGGCTCAGCCTGGAGCCGGGGAGTCCGGACAGGTGCCACCCGGGGCGTCTGTGCTGGCCGGAGGCCTGTGGCAGGAAGAAGGCCGAGGTGCTGGCTCCCCTGCCCGCCCGTGCCCACTCCCACCGCACGGCCGCACCAGTGTACCTGCCGCCGCTCGCAGGAGCCCAGCCAGCTCTGCCGGCACCTCCAGGTGCCCCACGGCTACCACCTCCCGCTTGCTCAGCTCCTGGAGGGACAGCGTGGTGAGGGAGGGCCTGCCACACCCCCACCTGCCGCCCGCCCTCCCCTCCTGGCCCCTGCTGCCACCCAGACCCCGCACCCACCTCCTGCTCCCGCAGCCGCACCTCCTCCACCCGGAGCCTCCGCTCTGCCCTCAGCTGCAGGAGAGCAGGTGGTCAGGGCAGGGAATGGTGGGCAGAGGCCCTGGCGGGCCGAGCCGGCTCACGCAGGATGGCCAGCAAGGGAAGCAAGGGGTCAGCTTGCCTGATTTCTGGAGGCGACTCCATCTCACAGATGGAGGGAGCAGAGGGGTGGCCAGAGACAGAGGAGGGCGAGGGAGAAAGAGCAGGAGAGAGACAGGCAGCGGCAGAGGAGGAGCCCTGGGGGAGAAAGACGCCTGTCCCGCAGGCCGTCAGGAGCAGCGTGAGCCTGTGGTTCCCGGTGTGACACGTGTCTGCTGCTGGTGTACGGACAACAGGCCCAGACTGGCATCTGGTACGAGCAGACCCGGGGAGCCCAGCACCAGGACACCCTTCACGTTGAATATTCATTCCACCCTTTCTGCAGCCTTGGGGGGGAGACGGGGGGCCAGGCCGGAGAGGGGCTGAGGTCACATAGCTAGTGAGGGGCAGAGAGGGGATTCGAACCCAAGACAGTCTCCTCCTGGGAGCTAAGTGCCTCCTCCCCAGCTCTGCCACTCCCTGGACCGAGCCGGGACAGGCCTGGCTCTGGGGGGAGGACAAGGGGAAGGCCGCACCTTGAGGCGGTGCCGGTGGCTCACGTATGTGTTCACTAAGGACCGGAACTTCACCAGACTCCTCCTCATCTGCTGATACCGCTGCCTGCGGGAGGGAGGAGAGACGTGTCTGGGGGGCGGGGCAGGGGGTCATGGATAACCGGGGCAGCGAACCTGTGCCAGCCTGGCCTTGGTGCCACACCTCACTCTGGGCCCTTTGGCACTAAGGAAAGGAGCTCCATGGGGGCAGGAACGTGGCTAAGATCACAAGCCCGGAGCCAACCACTGGGACCCCACAGATCCCACTGGGTTGGAACCCCAGGGTCCCCTCCTTGGCTGGATGGTTCCCACCACCAGTGACAAGGGCCAGGGGGTGGGACGGGAGGGCATCCACAAGCAGAAGCACAGAGAATGCGATCATTCTTCCAGCAGAGGCTCCCTCTCGGCTCGCATTCCTCCAGGAACAGGGAGCTCACCACCTAAGTTCAGCCTCTCCCAAGCCTCGCCCAGGGCCCCGGGCGGTCCTGCCCGAGATGGCTGCACCTGGCCAGGAAGCCCCGGGCCCGGCTCTGCAGCAGGACGATCTTGCGGCGCAGGGAGCGGAAGCGGCGCCGGATGAAGAAGCCACGCAGGCAGCGCTGCAGGGTGAGGGCCGCCAGGTTGCGGACGTGCTCCCGCATGCTCTCCAAGAGCTGGTGGAGGTGCTCCTTGAGAAAGAGCTGGCAGAGGAGGCAGTGCTGAGGCCGGGAGGGCCAGGGACTAGACTCAGGACCCGCCTTCTGCCTAAGTCTATGGAGACAGCAGCCAGGGCCACCGAGGGCTGGGTGTGGAGCACGGAAGCAGGGTGAGGGCATTAGGCGGTGGGATGGCCTGGGCAGGGTCTGAAGGAGGCTGGCATTCTGCTCACCAAGCTCCCTGGGCTGCCTTTGGGACAGGTCTGAGCCCACAGGCTCGGTTCTGAAGCCCCTGAGCCCGAGCGTCCGGCACTGAGTGTGGGTGGGACTCACCTTGCTGACGCCAACGCGGTACATGTTTGGCATGACTGTGCACAGGCGGCTCAGCACCGACACACACATGTCCCCGCTGGCTGGCAGGTTGTGCTCCAGGGCCACCAGACAGCGGTACCTGCGGGGCCAAATGCAGCCTGAGCCATGGGGCTGCTGCCGTCACCACCCTCTTCTCCTCAGAAGGCACCCCTCCCTGCTTCTCCTGCCAGGAAACGGTGGACCCCTTACTGCCATCTGCTGGAAGCTGGTCATAATCACAATTAAAACGGTTTCTCTTTGGAATCAACACAATAGAACTGTGAAAAACGGCAAAACAATATCTCTGCCAGACACCAGCGGGCCCGTGGCGCAGGCGGCGTCTGACTACCTGTCGACGAAGGCCTGGAACGGCAGCCGCACCGGGAAGCCCTCCTTGCGGATGCGCACGGTCTCCAGCACCCCCGAGTAGCGCAGCTGGGCCATCACCACGTCCGCCTCAAAGAGGCCCGGCTCCTGCGGGGGGACCCGCGTGGGCAAGGGCGCCGGGCACGCGGCAGCGACATGGCGGCCGGCGGCCGCGGGCGTGGGGAGAGGGCTCTCCCGGAGGCCTCGGCGGTCACGCACCTTCTTGTGATTGGGCTTCAGGCAGCGCACGAACAAGGGGTTACACCTGCCAGGGCGGGAGGCAGGTGAGGCCTGAGAGGAAAGGGCTTCCCCCGGGGCTGCCGAGGCGGTCCCGCCCGCCTCACCCACCTCTCCATCTTTTCTATCAGGTCCAGGAGCGACTGCTGGAACTTGGCGGCCACGGTGTGGGCCTTGTGGAGGCGGGTGACGGAGCTGCTCTTGCCCAGGCGCTGAGGGGCGGCCTGGGGGGCGTGGCTGGAGAAGAGGCGTGCCACCACCTGGGCAGGCATGGGCAGCAGCCAGGGCAGCCGTCAAAGCACGAGAGGCAGAGCGAGGAGCCGAGAGACAGACAAGGAGAGAGATGGGGGGCGAGAGAAAGCGAGGGAACAAAAGGAGCCGAGTCTCCAGACCAAGAAGCACAGAAAACTACCCCAAGGTACCGCCCTGGGTCCGCGGACTCCTTTTTCTTCGGTCTGGGGGACACGGGCACTAAGGGGGGCATGGTCACCAACCCTAGGATGACCTCGGGAGGAGGTGCCATTTGACAGACAAGGAAATCGGTCCCAGACGGGGAGGTGGCAGAGAACACGGACAGGAGAGCCAAGCAGATGGAGGTGGGGGCGGGGCGGGCTGACCAGGATGAGCAGGGAGAGACCCAGCGAGCCAGGGCCAGCCAGGGCCTAGCCCTCTAGGGCGGGGCCAGGAAGGGAGAAAGTACAGACCGGAGCAAGCCTGCGGGTGGGGTCAGGGTTGGGATGGAACTGGGACCCCCCTTTCTCGGAGGAGCATGCCTGGCTGTGGGCTGTGCTCTGGGCCGACCAGGACGGGGAGGGAGGCCTGCTCACCCGCGTCCGGCTCCGAACGAAGAGGTCCAGCACGTCCTGCCGCACCTGGTCGTGGTTCTTGTCCAGGAACTTGTGCACCTGGGGAGGGGGGGCAGGGCTGGGGCTGGAGCCTTCCCATGCAGCCCGGTGCATCAGTCTGCCTGCTGCTGTCCTGCTTCCTCCCTGAGCCCTTGGGGGACCCGGCCCTGCACCTCCAGGCCACTGTCACCGTCTGTCTTAGGAGGGACCGGACCCCTCCCCCTGGAGGTCCCCACCGCCCTCCCACTCCCAGGACTGGCCCCGGTCTTGGCCCCACCCTCAGTGGAGGACACTGTTCTGTGTGCGGCCTGCAGGTGCGGAAAGAGCGGCCCGGATGGGGACAGAAGCTTAGGATCCCGGCCCAGACAAAGCCAGGGCAGGAATGTGCCTGAGACAACAGCGAAGAGACTTCCCTCGAGACACTGCTGCTGCTAACAGCCCCCCTTTGTCAAGCCCACCCTCGCCCTGGGCTCCTCACACCCGTGAGACCGACCCCGTTATTATCCCCCCTTTCCAGGTGAGGACACGAGGCTCTGAGCAGCGAAGGGCCTGGCCCAGGGTCATACAGCCGAGGGTCAGCAGGGCCGGAGCGGGAACCGGGTGGAGTGTCTGGAGCCCGTGTTGTGCCTCCGACCTCAGGCGCGGGCCTCACCTGGTAGGTGACTTTGCCCGCGTAGTGCCTGATGGTGAACTCGGGCAGCGGCATCTTGGGTTTGGAGTACAGAGGGTTGGCGCCGTGGTGGTAGTGGCACTTCTGCAGGAACGTGTGGTCTGTGGCCTGGGGGAGGCGGGGTTCGGTGGGTGGGCAGGGGCCGGGGCACCCTGTTCCTGGCCTCGGGGCAGATTCTCCAGCCCCGGCTGATCCCCAGTGATCACAGCTTCCCCTGCTGCCCACTGCCCTGGCGGGAGCCTGAGGAGGCCCCTCAGATGGTGTGTCTGGTCAGCTCCCAGCCGCCTCCCCTCCGGCCCAGCTGACTCTGCACTCTCTTGTCCACTGCCCAGAACACCATCCCACCCTTGTGTTCTCCAGTCAGTATGTGAGGCCCAGCCCCGAGGCCACCCCCTCCAGGAAGCCCTCTATGATTCCCATGGCTGGTGCGGCCCCTCAGGACACCTGCACCCCCACCCAGGCTGTGGTGGCAGGCTGGGTGTCCTGAGCCCCCGCCCGCGCCAGAGCAGAGAGGAAGGTGGGCCTCAGGCCTGAGGAGGACCCGGGGCTCAGAGACGGGAGCCGCCTGAGCAGCTCACCTGGGGGAAGCAGCACTGGTCGTCGAGGATGCGCAGGATGCCGTAGGGCTTCAGGGAGATGAGGTTGATGCAGGGCTGGTTGTCAGCGAAGGCGACCTCCCGCCAGCCGATCTGCTCGCGGAGGTACTCCTCCTGCAGTCAGCCCGGGCTCAGCGCCCACCCCCCCACCCACCCCCCGCCGCCGCCCCCTCAGAGCCGTCCCCCAGGAGGAGCCGCCTGAGGAGGCCTTGCCCGGGCGCCTCTGCCTGCACACCTCCTAGCACGGGGCTCACTTCCTAGCAGGGCCACTTCCTCCCTCCACCAGGACAGCTCTCCGGGGCGGAAAAAAACCCCAGCTGGCTCGGCCCTGGGCTCATCCCCCACACCTGCCCCGCAGAACACAGGCCTCACGTGCTGCCCAGCTTCCCGCCTTCCCTCCCTGGGCCTCCGACAACCTCCCATCCGCCCTAACGACCCCGAGGCCCTCCTGGCCCCGAGGCCCCGGGCCGAGGACCGAGGGGGCGTCCGGCGCCCGCTCACCTGCTCCTCCTGGAAGACGATCTTGTTGAAAAGGTACTGAAGGTTCTCGTTCGCGTAGTTGATGCACAGCTGCTCGAAGCTGTTGAAGCTCAGGTCCTGTGAGGCAGGGATGAGGGGCCTCAGCCATCTGTCCCTCCCAGGGCCCTGCCCCCCAACCCCCCCCAGCTCAGGCGCAGGGCCCTCCTCGCCATCCACGGTCACTGCTTCGGGAAGCGGGAGCCTGACCACAGGCCCTGCTCAGCACCCGCTGTGGCTCCGCTATGCACAGGCGGAGGGAAGCCTGGCAGGCCGGGCCCAGGGAGGCAGCTTAGGCCGTGGCTAAAGGCCCAGGCCCTGCGCCCTAGCCCATCTGGCCCTTCTAGGAAGTCCTCTCTGGCCCCTGCCCGGCTAAGATTTTCTTCAGCTCCACCAGTGCCAGGCTGCCTGTTACGGCTCTGACCACATGGTTTGTCCATTTCTGCCCCCCACGCCCACCCAGTGCCCAGGTCTGGTCCTTTCTGGGCCCCTTGTGTTGCCCGCTCAGAGCTGGCACCGGAGGCCTCAGGGCGGGCCTGAGGGTGAGGGAGGGACATGGGAGAAGACCAGGGAGATGATAATAAGGGAGGGGCCTGTGCTCCAGGCCGAGAGCTGAGACGTGAAGCCGAATGCCCCCCACCCGCTCAGGAGCCCCACCTCGAAGCCATAGATGTCCAAGATGGCGATGGACAGTGCCTCCTGCGGCGGGGAGACCAGCGCGTTGACCCTGGCGATGAGCCACCCGAACAGCAGCGCATACAAGACCTTGGCGATGGCATCCCTGGAGCAGAGTCGGTGACGGGGGTGGGCACGGGGGTGGGCACAGGGGTGGAGCTAGCCATCGGGAGGCTCAGGGAGAGAGGGCGCAGCCTCACCTGGCATCCACGGCACTCTCCACAGTCAGGGGGGTGAAGATCTTCTCTCGGATGGTCTCCTAGGGAGAACATGGCCCTGAGCGACAGCAGGCTGGCCACCACCTCCAGGAAGTCCTCCGAGGATTGGGGGTTGGGTGGGGAATGGACATGGAGTGACTGGTCTTAGGTCGACAGTAGGCCGGGGTTGAACATATGGCCCTCGTCCGCCCTCCTGCCTGGCTGTGCTGGTCAGGGTGGGGCTACTGGCCCAGTGGGAGAGGCAGGGGCATGAGCAAACAGGACGCAGCGAGACGGGCCTTGGGAGGGGAAAGAGGGCCAGGGCTGGGAGGCCACGGAGGCACTGGCTCAGCTGGGGGTCAGGATCAGCTCCCCGGAGGTGCCAGCTGTGCTGGGGCTCAGCATTCCAGGCAAAGGCCTGGAGCCTGGGCACCGAACGCCTGGGTCTGAGGTTAACCCCTCCGGGCCTGACTCAGAAGGTGGATGGACAGGGAGGAGAGGGAAGGGGGAGAGGGCCCTCAGGGTGAGGCGCACAGCAGTGGTGGCCAGCGCTGGCCGGAGGCTTTGACAGACCCCCAGGCCCGGACTCACGGTCACTTTGAAGGTGATGGCCTTCTGCAGCCCCTCAGGGGAGATCTGCAGCAGCTCGGCCACGGCCTGGATCTCCCGGGCGCTCACCACCGAGGCCACCTCCTGTGCGTCTGTCTGCAAAATACCACCCAACTGTGCTTTGCGCTGAGGAAGTACATTTAAAGTTCATATAAAAAACATAAACAAACTGGAAGAACCAGGAAAATTCTGAAATAGGAGTGCAGGGGGATCTTGGAGATGGTTGAATGTATTTCAAAGTTACAATAATTAAAACAAATAGACATATAGTACGTAAGCAGATTAATGAAGCACAATAGGAAGTCTGGAATTAGGCATAAGTACACATAGGAAGTTAGTATATGACAAGTATATATATACTTCTCAAGTGGTGGAATTACTATAAGTAACTGCCTGGGGGAAAAAGAAGTTGAGTCCTTGCCACATACCTTACCAAGATAAATTCCTGATGGACCAAAGATTCACACGTTAAAACAACAAGCCATGAGAGCCATACGAGATCTTGAAAAAAGTATTGGCGAAACTGTTATAATGTAAGAGACAGGTCTCTTTAAAAATGCTTAGAAAACTCTAAAATTTATACAAGATTGATTAAATTCCTGGAAATAATTTTTAAAATCTGAAAGGCCAAAGCAAACAACCACCATGAAAAACGAAACAAAAAAAACCAACACCAAGATACCTGTAAATAAAGTCAAAATATATATATGATAAACCAGAAGACATATTTACAATTCACATCAAAGACAAATTCACATCAAAGACAAGGGCTTATTTCCTTCACATAGAGAAAGAGCTCTCATACATCAATAATAGAAGGCTGGTCTGGCTGCTGTGGCTCAGTGGTTGAGCACTGACCTATGAACCAGGAGGTCACTGTTTGATTCCTGGTCAGGGCAATGCCCGGCGTGTGGCTTGATCCCCAGTAGGGGGCGTGCAGGAGGCAGCCAATCAATGATTCTCATCATTGATGTTTCTATCTCTCCCTCTCTCTTCCTCTCTCTGAAGTCAATAACAATCTATTTAAAAAAATAACAATAAAAAGATGAACAACCTCAAAGTGGAGGGAAAAGAGCGATTGAGCTATGCTGGTGCAGCCTGAGAGCCAGACACAGAGCACTGCTCCGGAGAGACGCCGGTGCCCACGGGAGCCGGGCCCCGGGAGCCGGCCGTGGCGCTGCGACCCCTCACCTCGTACTTCTCGAAGTAGACGTTGCCCAGGTGCAGGATGGAGGCCAGGATGCGAAAGATGCTGTCCTGGTCCTCCCCGCTGAAGCCCAGCACCTCCATGGCGGCGAGCAGCCGGCGGAAGTCGTCCGCGTCACTCTTCCCCGCGATCTCGCAGTTCCCGCCCTGGGTGAGGGCAGGCCGGGGTCAGGCACCCAGGAGGCGCCGGGAGCCCGGACATCCCTGCAGCACGGCCGGGCCGTCACTCAGCACCTCCGTTCCATGGCCGGAGTCTGAGCAGGCACCGTGCCCAGTGCTTTGCACACATTTCCTTCCTTAAATCCTCACCACGTCCCTGGCAGTGATACTGTTCGATCCCATTTTACAGGTGAGGAAACTGAGGCACTAGAGGGGAAGTATAGTAGCTCCAGGCTAGTACTTATTTCTGTTGTGGTTTCCAGAACAACGGAGAATCCTGTAGGCCTCCTGTGCCCTGTCCACCTGCCACCATGAGGCACTCACATCCAGACGTGCCCTCCCAGCCCTCCATCCTCTTTGCTGGACACACGGCTCGGCTCTTTCGGCCCCTCGGGCTGCGGGTGCTCACCTGGTTCAGGTAGTAGTAGGTCTCCGCCTCCTGCAGGCTGAAGGCCTGCCGCAGCGGGGCGGGCAGCCCAGCCAGCAGCTCGTAGAAGATGTGGTAGTTCCTCTCGTTTTTGGCCTGCAGAGCGGGGGTGTGAGTGCCGAGAGGGAGCCGCCCCCGAGGCGGCCCCCACACACATACAGGCCCAGGTGCTCCCACAAACACAAACACACTCCCAGGCCTGCAGGTGGGCCTGACCCTCTGTGCTGAGTGAGCTCCCTGCCTCTCGGGTGGAGAAGCCGGGGGTGGCGGTGGGGCGGGCATTGGGCAGAACTCAATCAGAGGAAGGCGCTGCTCTGGCCTGTGTGCTGGCCACACACGGCCATGCACGCCTCTGCCCAGGGAGCAGACACGGGCCTCCGATGGCTCATTTAGCCAGCGTGGCTCACACCCGACTCCAGGCCCAGGACACAGAGGGGAACAGGCAGACAGGAGTCCCTGCCTCATGGACCACCTGCCAGCTGGGAGGCAGATACTCAGCAAACCACTGGCTAAAACACATGTGTCAAACACAAGGCCCGCGGGCCAAATCCGTCCCGCCAGGCCTTGCAATGTGGCCCGCACCGCGCTGTCATCACTGCACTCCGCTGCGTTTCCATCACAATGACAGTTTATGACTGTTCAGTAAACCATTCGGCCCGCGATTTAGGCTGGATTTTAGATTTTGGCCCCTTCTCTGATTGAGTTCGACACCCCTAGGCTAAAACATAACACAGGTCAGGTGGTGAGGGTGCTCTGGGGAGGCAGAGGCAGTGAGGGCGTGGGAGTCCACTCTGAAACGGGACGGCTCCCGCAGGGCTGGCGTTTCGGGCGGATGGAGGGGGCAGGGGTGGCTTCTGGAAAAGAATGCTCCGGGAGAAGGAGTGTCAGTGCCCAGGCCTGGGCAGGTGGGGCCTGTGTGCTCAGAGACAGGGAAGAGCCATGTGGCTGCAGGGCATGATGGGAGGGGGTGGGGGAGGCTCAGTCACATGCCACACACACATACATTGGTTCATTAATTCACCCTTTACCCAGCCAGGCCAGGTGCCAGGCTCTGAGCATCTGCACACACACACACACACACACACACACACTCACTCACACATGCACACACACACAAACACACACGCATGCACACACACTCACACTCTCACACGCACACACACTCACACAAACACACTCACGTGCACACACACACTACACACACTCACACATGCACACACACACTCTCTCACACACACTCACACACACACACACTCACACACGCACACAGACTCTCACACATACACACACACACAGACTCACACACACACAGACTCTCACACACTCACACACACACTCACACACACACAGACACACACATACTCTCACACATGCACACACACACACACTCACACACACACTCACACGCGCGCACACACACATGCACACACACGCACACACAGACTCACACACTCACACACACACACACATGCACACACAGAGACTCTCACACACACACACACACGCACTCAGAGAGACATTCACACACACACACTCTCACACACACACACACTCACACGCACACTCACACGCGCACACACACTCTCACACATGCACACACACACTCTCACACACAGACTCTCACACACACAGTGGAGGCCGGCCCACCTGAAACACAATCCTGGACTTCTCGAGCAGGTACTGGGAGGTTATGGCACCGGAGATCCCGCCCCTGTGGGGAGGCTCAGCTCAGGCCCGGGCTGTGTGGACTCCGCGGGCTGTGCCAGGACACGGGGTGCACCGCGGGGTTTTGGGGGGTTCCTCCACTGTCCCACTCACCCTTCCAGAAAGATCTCCACAAACTTCCCGAAGCGGCTGGAGTTGTCATTCCTGACAGTTTTGGCGTTTCCGAAGGACTCCAGGAGGGGTGTGGCCTCCAGGATCTAGAGCCCAGAAGAGTGGACGTTATCCGGGCTGCCCCCCGCCCCCGGTTTCCCAGACACAGAGCTCCCCGAACTCCCGTTTGTGGGGCGTGGTAGAGGTGGGCTTCCTAGAGCCCCGGGTCTTTCTCGTCTCCCTCATCGCTCCGCCTCATGCTCCCTCAACGCCCACACCCTGCACACAGACCCCAGCTCCCGCTCCCAGCCCGGCCTCCCACCAGGGCCTGGCCAGGTGTGAGACACTGCTGCTGGCCAATCCTGCTATTGCACACGAGTGCGCACACATGCACACCCTCAGAGGCAGGAGCACGCACACACGCTCACATACCTTGATCTTCAGGAGCAGTCGGTAGGAGGAGGAGGCAAAAGGAACAAGAACAGAAGGTCACTGTCGGACTGACCACCACTCCCCCCAAGCACCGGGGCCTCAGCCAGAGGGGCAGCAGAACCACCAGAGAAGACTACAGTCATGAACCCCAGACACTCCCAGGGCTCCGGGCTTGGGGACTGCAGTGTAGCACCAGATGTGGGTGTCTGCTGGGCCTACCAGCCAGAAGGTTCTGGAGTGTCCTCTTCCCCTGCCCTCACAGCCATGGGTCACCTGGGCTCCTGGAAGGGTCTCCTCCCTGATCCTGCCTGTGCTCCCTCCAGGGGTCCTTGGAAAGCTGCATAGTCCCCTTCTCCCTCCGGCTCCAAGCCTAGTCCTCCAGTGAGCTCCAGGACCCTACACAGCCCGGCCTCCGCTGGCCTCCCCGCCCCTCCCTTCCCGCCCAGCACCTGCCCTCCGACTGTGTCCTCAGCACTCAGGCGCACTCCCGCCTCTGAGCACGAATTCTCCCTGTAGCGCTTAGCACCACTGGCAACTTCTCCCATTCCTTTGTCTCTTGTCTCCTACACCAAAATTTCAGCTTCCACACCCAGGAATCTGTCTTTTTTGCACACCTCTGTGGCCCCAGTGTCTATGTAGGACTCAGTGCATAGGAGGCCCTCAACAAATCTGCTAAATAGATGAAATGAGCAACAGTATCCTGTGAGAGCAGAGCCACCCAGGGCACACAGCTAATCACACCTCCCACTTAGTAAGCACCTACTGTGCGCTGGACCCTTTGATCTAATTAACGAGCCTATAAGTAGGCCCTGACATCGCTTCCGTTTTGTAGATCAGGAACCGGAGATGTGGAGAGGTGATATAATGTGTCTGTGAGAGTGAGAGCCCAGCAGCATGATGGGTGTGCACAGAGCTGTGTTTATGGCGTTCTCTGGCTGACTCATCTTCTCAGGATAAATCTTAAGGGGGAAGCAGGGGATTCCCAGGCTCTGCAGAAATAATACCTTGGGGAAAGTGTGAGTTCCTCCATCTGGTCACTCCCATAGACCCGCTTAGTCTAAGAAATATTGTGCCCATTGTACAGAGGAGTAGACTGAGGCCCAGAGAAGAGCAGGGGCCAGCCTGGGGTTGCTCAGTGCGTCAGGGTCTGCCTTGACTGTGGCCTGTGCTACCCCTTAGTTTGGGAGTTCCCTGAGGGCAGCTGAGGGTGGGTCAGCTGCTTTTCTGTCTCTAGTGCCCACTGCAGGGTTGGGGCACATAGCCAGCAGATAGGAGCCAGGGGCAAGGACAGGTAAGTCAGGTGGGTAAACATCTGGCCATGTGGTGCCATCAGCCCAGCCCCCAGGTGGGTGGTGCCTGTGGTTTGGGGTGCAGAGGATCCAGAGAGTGCCCATCTTGGGGGACCCATGTCATATTCTCAGCCCTGCGGCCTGCGGTCCAGCATGACGAGGTCCAGTAAAAACACATGGCAAACCTGCCAACAAGAGAAAGGCCAAGACTTTTTCTGGCTTGCTGGGAGGTATGGGCTGAGGTTCACGGCACCATCATGCTGCCCAATGGGAGACTGGTTGAGGATGGCCCCATAACTGGGGCAGGGGAGCCAGGACAAAGGACATTGGTTAAGACCGTGGATTCTGTATACTTGAAGAAATAATGGCAGAAAACTTCCCTAGCTGGGTGAAGGAAAAAGTCACACAAGTTCACGAGGCACAGAATGTCCCAAGCAAGAAGAACCCAAATAGGCCCATGCCCAGACACATCATAATTAAAATGCCAAAAATTAAAGACAGAGAATCTTAAGGCAGCAAGAGAAAACTGCTACCTACAAAGGGGCTCCCATAAGGCTGACACCTGATTTCTCATCAGAAACTCTCCAGGCCAGAGGGAATGGTATGAAGTACTCAGGGTAACGGAAAGCAAGGATCTGAGACCAAGATTACTATATTCAGTAAGGCCATCATAGGCGGTCAAATAAAGAGCTTCCCAGACAAAAAAAAAAAAAGACTAAAGGAGTTCATTACCACCAAACCAGCATTACAAGAAATGCTAAAGGGACTGCTGTAATAATAAGAAGAAACAGAGATAGAAACCTAGCCATACAGAATTGAAGTGGCAATATATAAGTACCTCTCAATAATAACCCTAAATGTAAATGGATTAAATGCTCCAGTCAAAAGGCATAGGGTAGATGGATGAATATAAAAACATGACCCAATTATATGCTATCTACAAGAGACCCACCTCAGAACAAAAGACTCATACAGGAAGAGAGGAAGGGATGGAAAAAATTGTCCACGCAAATGGAAATTTAAAAAAAAGTTAGAGTAGCAATACTTATATCCGATAAAATACTTCAAAATGAAGGCCACTGCCAAAACCGGTTTGGCTCAGTGGATAGAGCATCGGCCTATGGACTCAAGGGTCCCGGGTTTGATTCTGGTCAAGAGCATGTACCTTGGTTGTGGGCACATCCCCTATGGGGGGGGGGGGGGTGTGTGCAGGAGGCAGCTGATCGATGTTTCTCTCTCATTGATGTTTCTAGCTATCTATCCCTCTCCCTTCCTCTCTATAAAAAATCAATAGAACATATATATATTTTTAAAAAGCTGTGGTACATTTACACCATGGAATACTATGCAGCAGTAAAAAAGAAGGATCTCTTATCCTTTGAGACAGCATGGAGGGACCTGGGGAGTATCATGCTGAGTGAAATAAGCCAGAGAAAGACAAGTATCACATGATCTCACTCAGATGTGGAATATAATGAACAAAATAAACTGATGAATGGAGTGGATCCAGAGCCACGGGAGCATGGAACAGAGTGCGGAATCTCGGAGGGAAGGCAGGGAGGGTGGGTGGTGGGAGTAATCAGTCTTTGTAGGCACTAAGCATGGCCATGGACAGGACATCAGCGTGGTGAAGGTGTGGGGTGGGGGCCAGGGTGGGTTGAGGAATCAATGGGGGGAAAAGGGGAACATATGTAATACTTCCAACAATTAAGTTTTTTAATAAGGCCATCAAAATTTTTGGTTGCACCCCCCCAAAAAAAAAAAAAAATTGGGGAGAGATCACAACACAACAATAAAGATTAAAAAAAAAAAAAAAAAAGCTACAAAAAATAAAATAAAGTAAATAAATAATAAAGTAGGTATTTGCCTAAAATGGACCCAGACAGGCCTGTGCGATGCCAGCAGCAGGGTGAGAGTGGCTGGGAAGGAAGCCCACAGGCGTCCGGCTGGCAGACTCAGGCCAGCACAGAGAGGCGCAGGCCTGCCTGCCCACAGCGCCAAGCACACACCGGAGCCTGCCGGCAGCGCTTGGCCGGGACTCCCATCCAGCCCCTCCGCCCTCACGGTCATCTCCCTCCTGCGGGAGGGGCTCCATGCGCACCCTGGCCTGCCTACCCGGGAGTCTGACCTTAGAGGCTTGGAAAACCCTGCCTGGAGCAGAGGGAAGGTCTACTTAGCCACCAGGGGACTTAGGCTGATAGGAGGGGCTGCCAAGGCCAAGGTCAGCAGCAGAGGGGCCCCGCCAGGAAGTACCCTTTGGACCTGCTACCCCCAGAGGGCTGAGCAGCCCCTGCCTGATGCCCCTAAAACCACCTGCTGGATTGCCATTGGCTGCGTCACTGTGGCCAGTTAGAAACCTTCAAGGGCCCAGAGTGGGTTCTAAGCTGGTGGGTATTTGCCTCCAGCCCCACCTTCCAGGGCTCCAGGTCATGGGGCAGCACCTCCGCCCACGCCATGTCTGTGTGGATGCCCAGCAGACACCTCCCGGCACCCTTGTCCTCTCTGCAGCCCTGCTCGGCCAGCTGGCAGCCCTGTGCTGCCCGTGGCTCAGGCCAAATGCCTGGGGTTGCCCTTAGACAGTCCCCCTCTGTTACAACCTTGTCTGTGGCCTGTGCTGTCCCTTAGTCCGGGGGTCAGGAAGTCACTGGCTGACTGAACTGCCCTGGGGTCTACTTCCTTGGCCTGAGCCACCGTCCTGCCTCAGCCGGACTCCATGCTGCCGCTCGGTGTCCTGCACACCCCAGACCTGTTTACCCGGGGCCTTTGCACTTGCTTCTCTGCCTGCCTGCTCCCCCCCCAGACATCCTCAGGGCCCGCTCCCTCCTCTCTGATCACCTTTCCAAACCACAGCCCCACAGTCCCCTTCCTCCTCCCTCGTTTTCTCCACACTTAGCACCTTGTGCGCTATTTCTTCTGTCTCCTCCACTAGAATGACATCCCACGAAGGTGGGCACATGAGTCAGTCTGTGCTGCTGCTGCTGCCTCCCCAGAGCCCAGCGCAGGCCCCGCACACAGTAGGTCCTCGGGAAACCTCCAACATCCTCAGGTCCCGAGGACTTGCACTCTGAGCGGACCTCCAGCCCTGCAGACTCTGGCCTGGCTTCCTCAGCATCCCAGCACCTGCCAGCCCCACCCCCAGGGCCTCCCCCAAGGTGCTCCTGGGAGGAAAGAGCGGGCCCCAGGTCCTAAGAGAACTCTCTGTGCAATCCTGGGCTCATTCTCCAAGCCTCCAAGTGGAGCCAAGAAATCTCATCTCCGGGAGCACGCCGGCCTCAGCTGAGGCCCCGGGAAGGCAGACGCTCACCTGCTGCAGGAAGCCCTGCTTCTGGTTCACGGAGGCCAGGTAGCGCAGGATCAGCTTCGTGGCCTCGGTTTTCCCAGAGCCGCTCTCGCCACTGGCCAGGCAAAGGGGCAAAGTGAGCCCCAGAGGCTCAGTGCCTCCAGCTCCCGTGACCCCACCAGGGCACCGAGGACATGGGCAGGCTGGCAGCTCAGAGACGCTGAGCGACCCCGGCCCATCCACACCCGCACAGAGGCCCTCAGCCCGGGCGCTCACCTGGTAACTACATGCTCACCTGATAATTATGCACTGGTTCTGTTTGGCATCGAGCATTTTGGCGAAGGCGAGATTTGCGATTGCAAAGAGATGCCTGGAGAGATGGGGCGGGTGCTGCCGTGGCCATCCTCTGAGCTTCCAAACCTCCCAGAGGGCAGGGGGTGGCCTCTGTCCAGCCAAGCCTGCTCCACCCCCTCCTTGGGGAAATACCCCCGATCCCTCCCATGGTCTGAGCCACAGTAGCCTCCAGCCCAGCAGGGCACGGCCAGGCTCGGGGAAGCAGTGTTGGGCTGAGCAGGTGGACTGCCGCCGCCGCCATCCCTGACCGCCGGCTGAGGGGCAGCCCGAGGCTCAGCGAGCTCGGAGAGAGACCAGGAGAGGCCAGTCCAGGGGGTACTCACGGGGGGTTCTCTCCCAGGGCCCGCCCTCTGTACTGGTGCACCTGCTCCAGCCCGTAGATCCCGAACATCCGGTAAGGGTTCACTGACACCAGGATGCTGCCGATGTAGGTCTGCGGTGCGGACAGCGGCCTCAGCCCACGGTCCTCGCAGCCCCGGGGCCCCCCTAGCCCCGGGGCCTGGGCCCGAGTCCGTGGGGACAGTGGGGCTGCCTGAGCTCCGTGTTCGGACCTCGGGCCCTCTGAAAGCTCCATGGGTCCTCCGTCCGGCAGTGGGGCTCCTGGCACCGCCCCAGGCGGAGGCTGGGAGGGCCGAGCGTAAAGCCCGGTCATGGTTCTGACCGCAGGCTGTACGCTGAGGCCTCCCTCCCGAGCCCGGTCGGAGCCAGGGTTCCGGTGCTGCGCCTCGCCTAACGCCCAGCCTGCACCACCGGGCGAGGCAGGGCGGGAGTGCAGGGCTCTCACAGGAATCAGCCTCCCGGGGACCCCGATGCCTGCGCTGTGGTCAGGGCTCCGTTCTGCTATTCTGCTCCCGTCTGCCCCTCGGCAGCCTGTTCTGGGACCCAGGTCTGTGGACTCCAGGACTCTGGGAGCCTGCCATTGGGCTTCCGGTCTCCAGGCCGCTCCCCCAGCGCCCACCACTCTAACACCGTATGCGCAGGCCCTCGGATGTCAGAGCCCCTGGCTCCAGTAGGCGTTCTCAAATAGCGGACACCTCAGAGGTGAAGCGGGGGCCGCTATTCTGGGCCCAGCAGATCTTTGCTTCCCACCAGGCCCCAGCGACAAGGCGTCAGCGACGGCCAGACGCAAGCCCAAGGCAGAGCCACCCACAACTCACGTAAATGAGGTTCCGTTCAAATCTGGTCTTGAGGTTGGACAGCACGGTGGTCTCCTGGAGGTCTCTGGGAAAGCAGGCAGGAGGGCAGTCAGGGTCCACTTTCCCCCAGGGCAGAGCCTTGGCCAGAAAGCCTTCTCTCTGGCACTAACCAACCATGAGGCCTTGGGAAGTGACTTAACCTCTGTGCCTCAGTTTCTTCATCTGTCCAATGGGTATGATTAGCAGCACCCGCTGGGCTGGCGATGCTCTGAAGCAGCAGATGTGAGGGCTGAGTCACCATCATGGATAACAATACGGACCAGCACAGCCTCACATTTTGGGCACCTTCAACGTGCCAGCACGCTCATACCATAGCCACCCCGCCCGCCCGCCCGATCTCACAGGTGAGAAACTGAGGCACAGAGCGTGAAGCGACTTGCCCACGGCCCTGTGGTTGCTAAGTGGTGGGTGGGATTGAGCCCAGGCCCATCCGATGGCAGAGCGGAGCTGGCATCTGGCTTTTGTGACCTGTATGGCCCTCACTTTGCAGACGAGAAAACAGGCTCTGACCACGTTCCAGGAGATGAGAGGCACCCCTGGTGAGAGGGGGTGCTCCCGCTGGGAGTGTGGCGACCCCCCCACACCCCCTCGCCGGCTGCCACCCCACCACTCACTCCAGCTGTGTCATGTCCTCCACACCGTCCTCCCGCTGCTGCTCCGGGAACCGCGCGGACGGCAGGTTGCGGATGGAGTGCATCTGTGAGAGAGCCCCCGGTCACCGGCCTCAGCCAGGACCCGCTCCTTCTGTGAGGAGGGAGCCCCAAACGCAGCCGGCTGGGTCCTGGGGCCCTTGTCCTGGGATGCCAGGGGCTGTGCAGCCTGTCAGGGCCACACGGCTGCCCTCTACCCGCGAGGCCCCAGGGGCCCCAAGCCCTGCCCATGGGCGCTGCTCCCTCTGCCTTGCCAGGAGCCCTCCGACCTCCCCCTCCCAGCCCTTTCCAGGTTGGAGCCAAGTCTTTGCTCTTGAACATTTGTATCTTGGTGCATGGGGCCTCTGGTCTGCATCGACTGGCATCACTGCTGCCCCTGCATGTGCCCGGTGCCAGGCTGGGCAAACAGGAAAGCCCACACGCACAGACCTACACGCAACGGCATTTACAGGTCAGACAACTCCCATGCACACCTGTTGAGATATGTGAAGGCCCGTGATGCCAGGCTGGAGGCATGTGCTCTCAGTGTCCACGTTCTCATGTGCATGGACACCTAGGGCTGCCCCCACATCTGGGGTCTTGAGACAAAAGTCCCAAAGCCATCTTTGGGCTGCGAGGTCCACTGTGCCTGGCTATGTGCATGCGCAAGACCCCAGAATGCCACAGCTGCTCAGACCTTGATGGACGCACACGAGCACACACGCACACTTTCCTTGTTTGGCTGTGGTACACCCATGCACACACCCCAGGCACACAAGCATGCATGTGACCCACGTGACCGAGAGCACACATGTGCACCTTGCCTTCCCACACCTCCCTGCGCAGGGGAGGAAAGGGGACACCAGGAGGGGCCTGTGCTAAGTAGGCCACGGGGAGGATCACCCCGGCCTGGCCTCCCGCCCACTGGCCTGCCCGTGTGTGCCAGTGGCCGCGAACCCTGAATAATTCAGCCACTCACGTATTCGAGGGTGAGGAGGGCCCAGGCATCCTTGCCCCGCACCCCAGGGCGCCCCGTGGCCCGCTCCCGCAACGCTGTGGCCCACACGGCCCTGGGCACCCGCCGCCGGGGCCACGGTCCCCCTAGCAGCCAGGCCGCCCCCGTTGCCATGGCCGGGCTCGCTGGCCGCCCGCTCCCCGGGCACCGGTCTGCATAGGCTGAAAACCGCCTGCTGCCCCTGCGTGTCCGCCCGCCCAGGAGTCCCGGGGGAGGCTCCGGTGACCACCCCCCTCCGCTGACAGCCACGGGCTCACATTCCAGCATGAGCATGGCAGCCAGGCCTGGGCTTGGCACCCCTCAGAAAACGGCTGCCCTCACCTTGCAGGGGCCCAGGCTGGAGAGGCCTGCTGGCTCTGCCAGCCCTGACCCACTGTGTGACCACTGTGTGACCCACTGTGCGACCCACTGTGCGACCACTGTGTGACCACTGTGCGACCCACTGTGCGACCACTGTGTGACCACTGTGTGACCCACTGTGCGACCACTGTGTGACCACTGTGTGACCACTGTGTGACCCACTGTGTGACCACTGTGTGACCACTGTGCGACCCACTGTGCGACCACTGTGTGACCACTGTGTGACCCACTGTGCGACCACTGTGTGACCACTGTGTGACCCACTGTGCGACCACTGTGTGACCACTGTGTGACCCACTGTGCGACCACTGTGTGACCACTGTGTGACCACTGTGTGACCCACTGTGTGACCACTGTGCGACCACTGTGTGACCACTGTGCGACCACTGTGTGACCACTGTGCGACCACTGTGCGACCACTGTGCGACCACTGTGTGACCACTGTGTGACCCACTGTGCGACCACTGTGTGACCACTGTGTGACCCACTGTGCGACCACTGTGTGACCACTGTGTGACCACTGTGTGACCCACTGTGTGACCACTGTGTGACCCACTGTGCGACCACTGTGCGACCACTGTGTGACCACTGTGCGACCACTGTGTGACCACTGTGTGACCACTGTGCGACCCACTGTGTGACCACTGTGTGACCCACTGTGTGACCACTGTGTGACCACTGTGTGACCACTGTGCGACCACTGTGTGACCACTGTGCGACCACTGTGTGACCACTGTGCGACCCACTGTGTGACCACTGTGCGACCCACTGTGTGACCACTGTGTGACCACTGTGTGACCCACTGTGTGACCACTGTGTGACCACTGTGTGACCCACTGTGCAACCACTGTGTGACCCACTGTGCGACCACTGTGTGACCCACTGTGTGACCACTGTGCGACCCACTGTGTGACCCACTGTGCGACCACTGTGTGACCCACTGTGCGACCACTGTGTGACCACTGTGCGACCCACTGTGTGACCCACTGTGTGACCACTGTGTGACCACTGTGCGACCCACTGTGCGACCACTGTGCGACCCACTGTGTGACCACTGTGTGACCACTGTGCGACCCACTGTGCGACCACTGTGCGACCACTGTGCGACCACTGTGTGACCACTGTGTGACCACTGTGTGACCCACTGTGCGACCACTGTGTGACCCACTGTGCGACCACTGTGTGACCCACTGTGCGACCCACTGTGCGACCACTGTGCGATGAAGGGGCTGGACGTCTCGCTCCTGAGCCCTCACCTCAGTTTGTCCAGAATCCGTAGCCCAGAAACTGCCCTATGCAGGAACCCCAGAGAGAGAGGACCCCATCGCGGGAGTCAGGAGGAGGCCAGAGGAACAGTGTGGGTGGGAATGTGGTGGGTCAGGTGGCAGACAAGTCCTGCAGTTTTGTCCTCAGCCCAGCTCTCTGGGGGCAGCTGGGGGTGGCGAAGACAAGATCCCTTCCCCACAGGGACCTGGAAGAGCTCCCGTGCCTGTCTGTGCTGGGCTTCCCTTGTCCAAGCCTCCAGGGGCTTGGGAAGCCCGGGCCGTTCTCCCCCAGTTACAGCCGGGTCCTGCGGCTGTCTCCTGCCCGGTTCCCCGGGACAGAATCCCACGCCTCTCTGTCCTGTGCCCCCATACCTTGTTCCGCCAGCGTTTGAGGCTAACCTCTTCCCAGGGGCCCCTGTGGGGCAGAACGGCAGCTTCGGGGCCCAGGCGGCAGGAACGGGGGCAGGCATGCACTTGTGGCCAGGGCGGGTGGGTCTTCGCTGGCAGCCAGAGCGTGGACCAGAGCACACTCCAGGCTCTGGGCTTGAGGCTGGGTTCTGGGTCCGTGGCCGGCTGGGTGGGGGGCCGCAGGGTGGCAGGACCAGGGCGCTGGGGAGAGCTCGGTTTTTGCACCTGAGGCAGGACCACAGCCAGACGCCCGGGGCCTGCGTGGTGCCGCTCAGCTGCCCTGGGCGGGGGCCCTGGGACACCAGGGGGCTGCAAGGGGGCCGGGGCCCTGGGCAGTGTTCCCCAGCGGCGCCGTGGCGGCCACGTGGCCCTCATCCTATCGCGAGCGGCCAGAGGGTGGGAGAGGCTGAGCCTTAGCGCCTTCTGCTCTGGGGGAGAGCTCTTGGGGGGCTCTGGGCTTGGGGGCTCAGGCTCTGCTGGTGGCCCAGGGCTCCCGGCGAAGGCCTCTTCTTTGGGCTTCTCAGGGCTGGGGCTGGCGGATTTGGTGAGCTCTCCAGGCCCGGGATCATGGTGTCTACCCAGGAAGACATCAGTCATGGCAGGGTCTGAGTCTTCCAGCTGGGAGTCCGGGGCCGGCCCAGGGCCGAGGTGCTGCAGAAAGGGGTTTTCGGGTATGGGCGGCGGCCTGGAGAAGCCGCGGCGGCTGCCTGCCCGGGCCGGCCAAGGCGAGGAAGGGCGCTGAGGCGGGGGCACGTCCACGTCCCAGCTGGGGACCAGCGGGGGCACCGTCCAGGGCACGTCCGAGTCCTCAGGCTCCTGCCGGCCCTCCTGGAGCTCCGCGGCGGCCGAGGCTGCAGCCACTGCCGCGGGCCACGAGCGCGGGCCCAGCGACCTCCGGAAGGGCGGCCGCACCCGGGGCTGCACGGCGCGGGTGGGCGGCTCGCTGAGGCGGCGCCACGTGTGCGGGAAGCGCGAGGGCAGGTTGAGCGAGCCACGCCGGCGGGCGCCCAGCAGCGGGGAGGGGAAGGGCGGCTGCGGGGGGCCCGGCCGCCGGGAGACGCGGCGCGGGGACAGGGGCTCCCGCAGCGACTGGGGGCGGCGGGGCAGGGGCGAGAAGGCCCGCATGGAGAGCTGGGGGGACAAGGGCCCCAGGGGGGAGCGGTAGCCCAGGCCGGGCAGGCTCCGGAGCGAGGGCTGCGGAGAGGGCAGCGGGGGCCAGGCCTGCCTCCGCGACGCCGGCGGAGAGGCCCCGGGGAAGCCGAAGGTCGCCCCGCGCCGTGAGCCCCGGAACGAAGGCCGGGGTCCAGGGAAGGCCAGCAGGTCGAGGGGCACGTCGGGGCTCACGGGCGGGGGCTCCGCGAAGGCCCACCAGGCGGCCTGCGGGGGCAGCGGCACGTGCGCCGGCGCGGCCCAGGGCGGCGGGTGGCGGCGGAGCGAGCCGTAGGGCGAGGCGGGCGCGGGCGCGGGCGCGGGGCTGGGGGCGCGGGGCGCGGGCGGGGCGAGCAGCGCGCTCCAGTGGGCGGCGGCGGGCGGGGGCGCGCGGGCCGGGGCGCCGGGGGGGCGCGCGCGGTCGTGGGCGCGGCGCAGCATGATGGGCGTGTTGGGCCGGTCGGGGTCCATGCCCGCCAGCTTGTAGCCGAAGCGCTTGTAGGCCGCCTCCCGGACGGCGGGGCCGCCACGCCGGGCCTTCTGGCTGCCGCCGAGCCGTGGGACCGGCTTCTTTTCCGACAGCGTCTTCTTGAGGAAGCGCGCCAGCGACGTGGCCGGGCGCGGGGGCGCGAACTCGGGGCCGAAGGCCATGCCGCGGGGGGCGCGGTGGGCGCCGAAGGCCGACAGCGCCCGCTGCAGGTTGCGCTGGCGCGGAGTGAGGAAGCCCCAGAGCGGGTGCGCGTAGGGCCGGGCGCGCGCGGGGGGCACCTCCTCCTCGTCCTCCTCGTCCTCCTCGTCCCCCAAGGGCAGGGGGATGTCCAAGGAGGGCGGCAGCGGCACCTCCAGCTTCTCCTTCCCGAACAGCTTCACCTGGGGCCGCGGGAAGAGGCGGAACCTGCGGATGAGGGAGAGCTTGGACCTGGCGGGCTTGTCCATGCCTTGCTGTTCGAAGAAGGTGGCGCTGGGCAGGCGGAAGGAGGTCTCCCGCCGCTCCCTGGGCGCCTCCTCCGGCTCCTCCGCGATGTCATCCATGGGGTAGGCGTAGGGGTTGTGGGGGGACAGGATGGGCGGCGGCACCCACGGGTATGCGAAGGCCGACTCCTCCGGGTAAAGATAGGGCACCTCGGGGGGGTAGATGGCCTGGTCCCCGCCGCCGTAGAAGCCTTCCGCGTAGGGGATGCCATAGGGGGCCTCATAGGGCGCCCCGTAGGGGGCTTCATAGGGCGCCCCGTAGGGGGCTTCATAGGGCGCCCCGTAGGGGTCCAGGGAGGGCACCCCGGGGGGGTAGATGGCCGGGAAGTCGTAGGGCAGGTACGGCGCATCGTAGGGGGCGAAGGGGTCCAGGTAGCTCTGCGGGTACGGCTCGGCGTCGTAGTAGCCGTAGGGAGACGCGTACCCCCCCGGGGGGGCGTAGGGGGGCTCGTGGTCCTCGTAGCCGTAGCCGTAGGCGGCCGCGGGGTGGTAGGGGCCGCCGTAGTAGTCCAGGGGGTAGTAGTCGTAGGGGCCCTCGGGCGGGTAGGCCTGAGTGTGGTCCCCGAAGGGCGGCCAGGCGGGGCTGTAGGGGCCGTAGGCGCTGTAGGGGCTGTAGGGGTCGTAGGGGCCGTAGGCGCCGTAGGGGTAGGGGCCGTAGGGCGCGTAGGGCGCCAGGCCGGGCTCCCGCTCCTCGAACTGGGACAGCGAGCGCTGGTCGTAGTAGGCGTCGCCCTCGCGGTGGTAGTCGTAGTACTCGCCCAGGTCCTGGAAGCCCTCCAGCCCGTACAGCGAGCGGCGGGAGCCCGTGTGCCGGAACGGGGCCTCGTCCTCGAAGGGCAGGAAGCCCACGGGGTCGCCGGACTCGTAGATGCTGTGGCTGCGCGGGAACCTGCGCAGGCGGCCGCCGGGCCGCAGGATCTCGGCGCCCGAGGGGAAGGGCAGCTTGCGGGAGCCCACGCGCGAGCCCGGGCGGCTGAGCCAGGCGTCCAGCACGGCCTGCTCGCTGCCCGCCTCCTCCGCCTTCTTGAGGAGGAAGCGCTTGGTGAGCCAGTTGATGGCGGTGGAGGCCTTGCTGAGCGACTGCGCGCGGGGCTTCAGGCGGCCGTAGGCGCGGCGGCCGGGGAAGCGGATGACCATGAAGGACGGCTTCTTGCCCCGCATGGCGCGCTTCTTCTTGCCCACGCGCATCTGCGTCATGAGCTTGGACGTGGACTGCAGCACGGTGCGCGCCTTGCGCTTGCGCTTGGTCTTCTGCGGGCCGGTGTGCAGCCCCCAGAAGAAGGCCGAGGCGCTGCGGAACTGGCCCTTCTTGGAAATCTTGGGGGTGCGGTCCCGGAAGCCCATGAACAGCCGGGAGGTCCCCTTCAAGCTCCGCTTGGGCTTCTCGGGCTCGCCCTTCTTCTTCTTCTTCTTGGCTTTCTTCTCTTCGTCCGCCATGGCGGCTGCCTATCCCCGCCGGCCGAGGCCGGGCTCCGCGCTCAGGGCTCGGGGGTCGGAGACGGGCCTGCGGGCCTGCGGGCTGCGGAGCGGCCTGGGCGCTGCACCGCGGACCGGACCGGCCTGTGCCTGGGAGGGAGCCTGCGCCGCTGGTCCGGCCCGGGCTGCCAAGAGGGCGGATCCATAATTCATCCGCTTCAGACGCCGCCTTGGGTTTCACCGGCAGCCGCGGTGGAAAGTGCGTGGGCGCTGTTCCCGGAGCCGGAGGCCTGCGCCGGGGACGTCCTGGCCTTCGGGGTGATGACCCTGCCGGCGGGGCGCCCCCTCCTGGGGCCCCCCAAGGGAAGGCCTGGGTGACGCCCAGCCCCGGAGAGGGGCAACGCGCCCCAACCGCCCGCACATCTGGAGCTGGCGGAGCGCAGCTGCGCCTCTGGAGCCAGGGCGGGTGTTAAGCCCCCTGGTTGCCTTGGAGAGGAGCCATGGACCTCCATGTCCTGAGGAGGGAGGAGGGGAGGCGCCGCAGGGGCCCAGGGCTTTGGTCCGTGTAACTGGAGCCGGCTGGCTTTGGGAGCATGAATAATGCACTGGGAGAGCCAGGCCGTGGGCTCGGAAGGGAGGGCAAGGTGGGCATCTCCGTGGCACTCCAGCAGAGCCTTTGAGGCACATGCCGGGGGCTGAGGAGCAGAAGCAGAAGGTGGGCCAGGCCTGGCTCTGGTCCCAGCTCGGCCGGGGACAGGTTGTGCGGCCTCTGGAAAGCCCTTGCCCTCGCTGGGCCTCATTTTCTCCATCGGGGGGGGTGGGAGGAGCAAGCTGTGCCCTGGGCCTTCACAGGAAGGGGCAAGGCCTGAGGAGCTGCTGGGGAGCGGCTGGCACCTGCTGCAGGCAACCCCCAGGGAACAGAGGGAAGCTGACAGAAACTGGAGCTTCCTGGGCGGGCCTCCTGCAGGGGGAGATTTTGAGGGGCATCCCTCCCCCTTCACCTCCTTCTATGCTGCCCATTCTGCCTCATTCTGGGCTGTGGCTGCTGCCCGCTTGAGGGAAAACAGAGGGGGGTCATTCTGTCCGAGCCCACCCCTGGCGCGCTTCCTCCCACAGCCCCCCCCCCCTGCCCCTCCTGGAGCCGGTTTTCAAACCGAGCTACTATCTATTATCTCATGCGATTAAGAACCATCATCTCCATTCTCCAGATCAGGAAATGGTCTCTGAAGGTCAAGTGACTTGTTCAAGGTCAGCCAGCTGGGGAGGGTAGAACTGGCTCGGACCCAGGCCTTGGTTCCAAAGCCACCTTCCTTGCTAGGCTCTTGGGTCCTTGGCCATCCCGGGGGAGGGCAGGTGGCTCCTCAGTTGCCCTGCCCTGACACGCAGGCCTGAGCCAGCACACGTTTGCCTGGGCACTCACTCGTTAATTAGGAGTTTATGTTGCACACCAGGCTCTGTCTTACTGGGCTTACCGCTAAGAACAAAACAGAAAGCCCAGCCCTTGTGGGGCTGACACATGTGGATGGGAGTTATCACAAACAAGGAAAATGAGCAAGAAATGTGGTTGGTCAAGGGGTGGTAAGTGCTGGGATTGGAACAAAGCAGGGGAGGGGCGTGAGGCAGTTGTGAGGAACAGAGAATAGGCGGGGTGGGGGGGGTGGGGGGAGACCACCTGCTGGGAGGTGACCCTGGAGTTGAGAGTGGCGGGAGGAGAGGGAGGAGCCAGGCCGAGGAACAGCGAGGCAGGGTGTGTGTGGCGGGGCAGGAGTGCAGTCACGTCAAAGGGGAAGGAGAAGTGGAAGCTGGGGCGGAGGTACAGGCTTTGTGGGCCCCAGCAAGGACTTGGCCTGCCTGCGAGTGAGGCTGGAGCCGAGGAGCGTCATGGAGAGAAGGGGTGCAATTGGACCTGTCTTCACAGGATCCTCGGGGCGGCCGTGGCCTGGCTGGGCGGGCGGTGGAGTGGAGAGAAGTAGATGCCAGCACCTATGCAGGCAGAGCCCATGGGGTTCACTGGGACTCACAGGGACCTCCAAGGCGTGCGTAATCGACGAGGGCGAAGACGGAGAGGCCTCAGCTAACATGAGAAGCTGCGGTGGTGCCCACGGAGGAGGAAAGACCCCTGCCAGCTTTGGGTGATTGGTTTCAGATGTCTGTTAGGCACTGCCAAGGGGGAGGGGAGTGGATTTCAGAAAGCAAGGCTGATGACATCATCAGAGAGTGGTGGGGAAGCCACAGTCTGGAGGATGGCACAGCGAAGGGTGCAGGTGGAGACGGCCCAGGAATGAGCCCTGGGCCCACACTGCTATTCAGCCTCGCTGAGGACTTACTTTCCCCTTGATTTTCAGAGAGAATGGAAGGGAGGGGAAGACAGAAAGAGAGAGCATCGATGTGAGAGAGACACATCGATTGGTTGCCTCCTGCATGCACCCGGCCAGGGCTGGGGATGGAGCCTGCAATTGAGGTGTGTGCCCTTGGCCAGAAATGAACCTGAGGCCCCTCCCTCTCCTCCTGCAGCTCTTAACTCTAGGGTCACGTCAGTATCCACGGAGCCAAACTGGCTAGGGCTGCACTGTTTGGCTCAGAGATGAGTGGCTGAAGAGGGCAGGGCAGCTGCAGCACATGGCACAGGGGTAGGTTAGCGGAGGACGGAGCTGACCCCTGGAAGCAGCTATATCAGTGATAAGGGCGGAGTGAAGGGATACCTGACAGGAGAGGGCTCAGGGAGGAAGGCCTGAGTGCTCACAGGGCATGCGTGTGCACACTCATGGCGCGTCAGGTGCTATGGGAATATCCTATATAATAAAAGCCTGGCCCTGACTGGTTTGGCTCAGTGGATAGAGCGTCAACCTTCAGACTCAAGGGTCCCAGGTTCAATTCCAGTCAAGGGCACATGCCTGTGTTGTAGGCTCCATCCCCAGTGGGGGATGTGCAGGAAATAGCCAATCAATGATTCTCTCTCATTGGTGTTTCTCTATCTCTCCCCCTCCCTTCCTCTCTGAAATAAAGATATATTCACATTTGCTCTTATTTATATGTAGAAATACTGGAAAAGATACCCAAGAAATTGATGAAAGGTTATCTTATTATAAACATTTCTGAGGCTTGATTTTTGAAACAGGACCTGCCCACATGACCCTTCCTTTTTTCTTTCTTTTTTAAAATATATTTTATTGATTTTTTACAGAGGAAGGGAGAGGGATAGAGAGCTAGAAACGATGAGAGAGAAACATCAACCAGCTGCCTCCTGCACACCCACTACCCGGTACATGCCCTTGACCAGAATCGAACCCGGGACCTTCCAGTCCACAGGCCGACGCTCAATCCACTGAGCCAAACTGGTTTCGGCCTTTCTTTTTCTTAATTTTTTTAAAATGTTTTATTGAGAGGAAGGGAGAGAGAGAGGGATAGAAACACTAATAATGAGACAATACTTGATTGGCTGCTTTCTGCATGCCTTACACTAGGAATCAAGCCTGCAACCCGGGCATGTGCCCAGACTAGAAATCGAACCATGACATGGTTCATAGGTCAGTTTTAACCAGATCCATGCCAGCTGGGCTGCCCACATGGACTCTTTCTGGTCTCTGGGGCCCAGGCTTGCCTCCAGGCAGTGCCCCCAGTCAGAGTCCGTCCTCCCTCAGGCTCCCAGCCCCCGCAGCAAGCACAGAGGGGTGACAGGGAACAAGTATAATTCATCCCTCAAGTATTGGCTGTGCACGTATGTGCCAGGCACTGCGCCAGGTGCCAGGGGGTCAGTCAAGTGGAGCTCCGTGGCACGGGGCTTGAAGCAGAGGGAGACTGCCGGCCAGGCTGCACGCAGGTGGGCAGACCCTGCGCTGGAAGCCAGGGGGTGCCCCTGGTGAGGACCCTGAGCCAGGATCTGAAGGATGAGAGGGAGCTAATCAAATGGAAAGGACGTGCCCAGCAGAGGGAACAGTCTGTGCAAAGGCCGGTGGGGAGCGGTGATGGGGCAGGAGCAGGGGAAGCAGCCAGGCTGGCAGGGAGGCCCGGCCCCTGGGGCTGTGGAGGCTGGCAGAGCCCTGGCCCAGCCCTGCAGCAGTGGGGCGTCATGGCAGAGGTTAACACTGTCAGTATTGTGTCAAGACCTGCGTTTGACAATAATAAAAATAATCAGCTGCCGAGTTTTACTGTGTGCAGGGCTCAGTTCTGACTGCTTTCTGTAGCTCGCTAGATTCTCACATTATTAACTGGGAGCTGCTGTTCCCATTGTATGGATGAAGGGCTCGTCCTTAGAGGTTCGGGCTCTCGGCCCAGAGCCCACGAGAAAGCAATGGAGCCTGTGCTGAGCACTACCAGGCCACACCCACTTATCCACCCCCAGCACGACCTCAGGAAGCAGGGGCTGTTATCCTCCCCACTTTATACATGAACAGGCCCAGAGAGGTCTAGAGAGCTGTCTGAAGCCACACAGCTGGAAGTGGAATTTGGCCCACGTTCTCAACCACGGCCTCACATTGCTTTTGGAAGGAGTTGTGGAAAAAGCTCTTGAGCTACTGCGTGGAGGGGCAGGGGCGCACAATGGAAGCAGGAGAGGATGGCTGGCCTGGGACAGTGCCATGGACGCATTCAGTGAGGGGCCGCACGGGGCTGGCGTGAGGGTGGAACCTGGGTCCCTTGGGGTCAGCTTGGGGCAGCTGAATGGACTGGGAATCATTCTCTGAGGCAAGGTGGGTAGTACGGAAGCATGACAGGAGGTTTTGGGGTAACTATGGGACATCCAGGTGGGGAGTCAAGGAGGCAGTTTGGACCCACAGATTGGGTGAGACGGAGTCTGGGGGTGCCTAAGAGGAGGCCTCAGATTTGGTCCTGAGACTACATAGGAAGAAGCTGCCAGAGAAGGGAGCTGCCACCAGAGAAACCAGCCCTGCTGACGACTTGATCTTGGACTTCACCCTCCAGAACAGCGAGGGAGCGAGGTTCTGTGCCAGACCCAATGCTGGGTGCCAGGGGAGGGGTCACAGCTGGCCCAGGACAGAGCACGGGCTGGAGGGCAGTAGGAAATCCATGGGCAACTTCTGACTCCCCAGAACTTAACCACCAATAGCCTACTCTTGACTGGAAGCTTTCTTAATGACATAAACTCAATTTACATATTTTGTATGTTATATATATTATATACTGTATTCTTACAAAGAAGTAGGCTAAAGAAAGGAAAATTTTATTAAGAAAATTATAAGGTTTGTCTGTTTTCTCAAATTGTTGCAAATCTCCAAAAAATTTTCCAACATATTTCCTGGAAAAAATTCATGACAAGTGGACCTGGGCAGTCCAAGCCTGTGCCATTCAAGGGTCAACTGCAGTCAGCAAAGCAAGAGACCGGATCCTGCCCGGCCCGCGTGGCTCAGGGGTTGAGCATCGACCTATGAACCAGGAGGTCAGTTAGATTTCCCGTCAGGGCGCATGCCCAGTTGCAGGCTCAGTCCCATCCCCTGTGGGACATGCAGGAGGCAGCCGATCAATGATTCTCTCTCATCATGGATGTTTCTCTCTCTCTCCCACACCCTGTCTCAAATCAGTAAAAAACAGGTGCAGGAAGAGGTCAAGCGTTGTGACTTTGAGGTGACACGAGGAGGTGCTGTCAAGGAGGGAGAAGGTGCAAACGGGGGTTTTCTAGCCAGGGTCCCAGGGGAGCTGAGCAGGCTTGGAAGAGCTGCTGAGGGGAACACGGGGATTGACACCGGCCCTTGGGGTGCAAGCCCCCCAGCAGCTCTCCTGGGCGGGACGGATCGAGGAGAGATGAACTTTGGGTTTCCTGCCAAAGGGTTCTGAGATGAGGCCCTGTGAGGGCCAAGCTGGAGAAGGGGCATGATGAACCGCCCGGGGCTCCTGATTGTAAGCTGCAGGGGGTCACCTGTGGGCGTGTGTGCGCGCGTGTGAGTGCTGAGTGTGCGCGTGTGGTGGGGCAAGCAGTCTGAGCAGGAAGGGGCTTCGGGTGGCCCACCAGGGCCTCCCCACACAGAAGGCCAGGGCAGGGAGGGATGGGAACAGGGTGCCAGCCAGGCCCCTGGGAGTTCACCTGGTGGGAGGTGCTGGGGGAGGGGGTAGGACGGTGAGCACAGCGAGCAGGCCTCTGGCGCTCTCAGGCTGAGGGCATGACCACGCCAGCCGCAGAGCAGGCCGAGGGCTGACGGCACGGACGGCCCTGAAGTGTGAGCACAGACCAAGCCCAGGAAACAAGAGCCCCCAGCGAGCAGCCCTGGAGCCCGTCACCGCTGCTGTGACCCTCCGAGCTCGGGCCTCTCGGCCAGCTCGGGGGACAGAATCGCTCTGCACCTGACGGCTTGTGAACCAGGGCCGTCCCTGCCTGAGAGGCAGGAAGCGGCAGCAGCCTCCACCCAGGCAGACACCCTCACTCAGGACCCATGGCCAGACCCCGTGGCAGTCGGCAGAGCGAAATCCCCGAGCTGTCTCAGCGATGCCCGCAGGAGCTGCACGGACATCATGCCCATTTCATAAACGAAGAAACTGAGCCCCAGAGAAGGACCTCACAGGCCCCCTCCCCTCCTGCAGACGAGGGTGAGGGCTAGAGGCAGACCCCAGGGGCCGGGCCGGGCTCCCTTACCTGGGTCCGGAGGCCTGCGCCGGGCCTGCATGCCGCCTGACGAGGGTCCCGAGTGCCGCCCGAGCACGGCAGCCCGAGCAGCAGCTGTGTCGTCAGGGAGGGGGAACGAGGCCCAGCCCACCGCGCCTACCGCCTGGGCCGCATGTATGTTTAATGATGCCTATTATTCCCGTTTTGTCTCTGGAAGAGGCTGAGCAGCTGACAGGACCAAGAACAGCCCCCAGAGCTGGGCAGCAGGCCTACCACTCCAGCCCGGCCCCGAGACCCCTGGGAGCTCTTACCCCTCCGCAGGCCCAGCCCTGGCAGCCTCACTAGACCTGTTACCGTTCACCCCGAGGCACACTTCCTCCAGGAAGCCTTCTCTGCGCTCAGGCATCTTAACCTGCGGTTCAAATCCCGCCTCCGCTCACAAGCTGGGCAGTGCAGGGCAGGCCACTGCCCGGGGACAGGCTGCTGGGGAGGGCTGCGCACAGGCCCTGGCACACCCAGGGCTTAGAGATCACCCGCTGCCCCTCCTTGGCACCATGCCAAGACCCTCCAGCCCGCCTTCCACAGCAACAGGCCGCTGTGTCCCCTATGGGCGGTCAGTACAGGACTTCTGGGGCTGCTGCCCACCTCAGCAGCCAGGCCTGGTCTCCAAGGCGCCACCCATCCTGGAGTCCACGTTCTCCCCAGCAGCCCAGGCTTGCGCCCGGTCTGATCGTTGGGCTCATTGCTGCCCACAGACCAAACCTGGCAAGAGTTCAGAAAACGTACAAAGTTGACCTCACTCTGAACAGGAACTGTCCTCATCCTTTATTTCAGAGCAGAGCTCAGAGGGCTTAGAGAAAATAACCCAAACCGCCGTGCCCCAGGTCTGGCAGGGCCTGGGCTGCCCTGGGAGGGTGCCCTCCAGACCTGTCAGGCTGTGGAGGGCATGAACTGGGTCTTTAAAACCACTGGCCTCTGCTTTCCATCATGGGCGGCCGGGGGACAAAACAGGGGACAGCTTTTTGCCCTGGGAGGCCCCTTCCTAGGTTCGAGAAGCTGCAGGAGCGGACGGGCGAAGTACCCCTACAGCACCACCACCTCCCGGACCCTGGAGGCCTGGCTCACGCCGCACTGAGCGGCCGGCGGCCCTGCTGGGAAGTAGGGGGCGGCGTGCTCTGTGCCCAGGGCTGGGTGTGGGTGTGGGCGCAGGGGTCCCAACCCAGAAGCCCCCCAAGGGGCTCGTCTCATGGGAATGCCTCCAGCCCAACCTAAGGCCCCGCCCTCTCCCTCAGTGCCACATACTCTTGTCCTTTATCTACTGAAGATATTTCCGGAAAAAGCAGACTTAAGAGACCCCTTCCTGGAATACATGTATTTGTACTCTTCCTGTTTGGGCTTCAGTGGGTCCCACTGGGTCCGAATGCCCAGGGAGACGGGTGGGGCCCGGCCCGGCTACTTCTTGACAATCTGGATGACGTCTTCGTGCTCCATGGTGTGGGTGAGGCCCACCCGCTGAGGGCTGTACTTGGTGCTGGTGCCCTGGGAAGAGGCAGAGGGCAGCGTCAGATTCAGTCCTGATCAAGGCCAAGCCTGGGCAGCTGCTACTAGAGGAAGGCGGGGTCTAAAGCGGGTATCCCAGCACCGGCGAGCACCGCAGGCCTCGGCCGACTCCCCTGGGGTCTAACACCTCTGGGTCCCAAAGTGGAGAGGCCTGTGTCCAGTGTGGGCAGCGTGCACGGGTGGAGCGGGACAGACACACTCGGGCCCACATGGGAGCACAGGGACGCTGCACAGGAGTGGGGGCACCGTGCTCCCTCCTGCCCCAGGGTGAAGTTGGGCATGCCACCCGCCCTCACTCACCCACACCAGCGCGTACTTGAACTGGCTGGCGAGCGACCGGTGAATGCGGTGGCACTAGTGGGAGGACAGGAGAGTCAGCGGGAGGTGAAGTTCCATCCAACCCCACCGAGCAGTTCCCAAGGCAGGTCCTCAGAGCTCTGCCTCATCAGGGACACCTGCCCCTCCACACACCAGGTCTGCCAGGGGCTGGGCCTGGCTAGCTGTCAGTGCCCTCTGCCCACCTTGCCCGACAACAGCCCTGACAGATGCTTTCAGGCCACCACGCCTCAGCCTGGAGTCACCGTGCTTGGTCACTCTCTCTCATGCCTTCGGGTACAGCTGTAACCTGGAGCCTCCCACACCACCACCCACCCTCCACCCCCAGCCTGCGGCGTCAGCATTCCCATGGGAATCCCAGCACAGTGGTGAGGCTGGAGGCGGCCTGGGAGAAGCCCTTCCCTGGGAGACGTGGGCCCCTGGGGCTGGGCGGGCAGAGGAGGCGAGCCAGGGAGCAGATGGGCCAGCACTGCTCTCCTCCCACTGAGGAGCCACAGCCTCAGGCCCTGGAGGGGACCCGCCTCGGCCAGCACTGGGACAGGGGCAGGCAGGGGCTTGCAAGAACATCTCCCAAGGAGCCACCCTGACCGGCCTTCTCCAGGCGAGTGAGGATGCTACAGCCACAGCCACACACCGCCATTCCCACACCCGCCGCTTTCCAGGCCAGAAAGCACATCGGATGGCCCAGAGGTCAGCTCTGCCTGCAAATGGCGTTAAGTTTTACTCAGTTTGCCCGACAATAGAAGCGAACCCACTGGCAGTTTGCAAAGCCACTGCACAGTCAGTCACGGGGTCCTCCTGGCGTCAGGTGCGGCAGGGGCTCTCCCTGCACCACAGGCCGTGTATCTGACACTACGGGGCTGCACGTGGCTCTTGCCCTGGGATGAGTATAAGGTCATGCAAGGTCAACTCGTCAAAATGGGAGCAGATAGCCTTTGGGATGGGAGGCTACTGCTCCTCAGAGCGCCTGCACCTCTCACTTCAGAGAGCCTACATGACGGCCAGGGCTCCTCACAGGCCAGGCATTGGTCAGCTCAGTGAAGACACAAGAGCCTGGGCTGGATTGGACTACGAAGGCCCTGGATAAGAACACCGAGGTACAGGGAGGCTGAGTATGGGAGCTGCAGTACGACCAGGGCTGCCCGGCACAGGCAGGCCTCTCGGCACTTTCGGTGGCACCTGGACGGCAGGTGTCCCAGGAGGAGACAGCGAGGAGGGGCTGACCCCTGGAGAGCAGGCCTCCACAGCCCCTCCCTACCCCACCAGCCTCGCACCTGCAGCTTTAGACTCCATGACAGCTAACAGTGAGCAGTCACACTCTCCAACTCGCTCCTGCCTCTGGGCATTCGCACCTGTTACTTCCTGCTTTTCTCCCCAGGCGTGGCTAAACCCCACACGCCTTGGGCAAGCAGCTGCGGTTCTGAGGGTAGAGGAAACTGTCCCCAAAAGGTGCAGGGTGACCCCAGGGAAGTCCAGCTCACGTGGGCACCTGTCAATGGCCGCTGGATCCCAGCAGGAGACAGTGCAGTCACAGGTTCCTCAACTCCCACACAGCACTCTGCGGAGTGATTTGAGGGACCTGGGAGTGTGATCTTGAGTTTCCTTGGCTTTGTTCTGCCTGGCAAGCGAGCTTCCAAGGCCAAACTCGACCCTGTTTGCATCAGCATCTCAGGGCAGCAAAGGCCAAAGGCTGAGCTCCCAGAATGAATGAAACACTGAGAGGCCAGATTGCAGCCCCACTGGCAACAGCTCAGATCTTGAGGAAAAATGAGCCAGACCAGCGATTTTCAACCCATGTGCTGCAGGAATGTTTAAAACACACAATACCTGACTATTTGTCAGGGGCACTGACCCCTTCCCTTCCATTTTCAAATAAAGAAATGACAGTAGCCAACACAATAGTCGTCTGGTGTGAATGAATCAAAATTATGCCCTATTACTACTAGAGGCCCGGTGCATGAAATTCGTACCTGGGAGTGTGTGTGGGGTGTGTCCCTCAGCCCAGTCTGCACCCTCCCTCTCCAGTCTGGGAACCCTCTCACAGTCCAGGACTGCTAGCTCCCCCTGCTCCCCTGCCAGCCTGATTGACACCTAACTGCTCCCCTGCTGGCCTGATTGCCCCAACAGCCCTCCCCTGCAGGCCTGGTCCCTCCCAACTGCCCTCCTCTGCTGGCCTGATAGCACACGACTGCCCTCCCCTGCTGCCACTTTGTGGTGGCCACCTTGTGTGTTGGAGTGATGGTCAATTTGCATATTACCTCTTTATTATATAGGATTATTATTTTTATTAATCCTCAGTTGAGGATATTTCAATTGGTTTTTAGGGAGAGTAAAAGAGAGAGGGAAAGACAAAGAGAAACGCACTGACTGGTTATCTCCTGCACGAGCCCTGACCAGGGCCCAGGCTGCGGAGGAGCCTGCAACCAAAATACTAGAATTGAACCTGGACCCTTTGGTCCACAAGCCAATGCTCTAGCCACTGAGGTAAACTGGCTAGGGCGATTATACTTTGGCCAGATCAGCAAACTATTTTTTGGTGTGCCACAGAATTTAGTAATTAGTTTATGTGCTATGAGACAGAAAAGGTTGAAAATTGCTGAGCTAGAGGAAAACAGAAGTCCAAGAGGACGGCTGAGTGACCTGGAGCATAGTCTGGCTCTCGGGTTAACACCTGCTCTTCCAAGTCCCAAGGTACCTTCCCTGAAAGATGGCACAAACACCCCCAGGGGAGAGGTGGCTGTGCCTCTGACAGCTCCAGACACAGAGGGCCCTTCCTCTCCGGACCCACAGGCTCGCCCGGAGCCCTGTCTCAGGGCCTTTGCAAACACACTCTCCTGCTGGAGGGCCTCTCCTATGCCCAGCTCCTCAGTCAGTCCTGTGTGGTCACCTCCTCCGAGACCTCCTGGCCTCTCTGTAGACTTGGTGCCAACCCTCCCTACTTGCTGTGTGGCTGCTTGGCTCTGAGATTGGGCATCTGGCATCTGTTGACCCCAAAGGACCCTAGTTTTGGCAGGAACTGGGTCTTCTTTGTTGATGCTCAACAGACAGTGCTGAGTGAAGAAAGCATTCAAGCCGCCTCTGGGTGAGGGCAGGCTGTGGGGGCAGGGGGGCAGGACATGCTGGGATGCATGGGGACCCAGAAATCAACAGGGGCCAAGAGCAAGGAGGTGCAACTCCGAGTCCTCGGCCTGTGTGGGGAGATATGACTTACAGTGGACACAGGAACACCAGGCAGAGCCGCAGTACAAAGCACCCTGGTGGCTCAGACTGGGAGGACCGCGTTTCCAGGACAGCTGCCACACCGCAGGCAGATGCGAGTGCTGTGCACACCATTCTGGGCCCAGCACCGGGGCCTGCCCAGGCACTTGGCACTGCAGCCTGTCCGGGCCTTCAGGCAGGACCTTCCCCCAGGGGACAGAGAGCTCCTGAACCCTCCTCCAGGCAGGTCTCAGGAACTCACCACATGCTCCACGGAGGCCCCTCTCCGGAGGATGATGGCGTCTGTGAAGTCCGGCCGCTCTGCACAGGTAGAGACGGGGTGGGTGTGAAGCAGTCATGGCCTCACGCTATGTGGTTCCTTCCCAAAGGGAACAGAGGCCCTTCCAGGCTCCAGCCGTGGGCTAGCCTCCCCCTTTTTTAGCATAACCTCATTGTAGAACCCCATGCAATCTCCTACAACCTTGACCTTAATACAGATAAAAATAAATCCAAGTCCAGGATTCAAACTGCCTGCAACCCAGTCAGCCACGAGAGCCCCAGCTGAAGCACCTGGAAAGTACTGGCAAGACTGACAGCTGCAGCATCCAGTCAGGGACAGCTACACAGCTGCCCTTGCTTACAAGGTCAAGGTCAATGAAAACTGACAAAACTCAGCAGCTAGGTCCCTGTGAGTGTAAGGGGTGGGACACGGGAAAAGCTCTGGTACACGCAGTCACCCACAGTCCTGACGAGGAGCCTGCCACTGCTGGGGCAAGTCGGAGGGGTTACTGCTGTAGCTGTGGGGACTCAAGAGCAGCTTCTATCCCACTGCCCCTCCCCCGGCCCCACCAGGGCACCCTCAAGACTAGTAGCCCCAGAATTTGGCATTCTTGGTCACGAGGGCTCAGGCTGAGGTCTCTACCAGCCTGGGGCAGAGGTCAGTGCCAGCTCTGAGAAGGGAGAAGGGTGGACACAGCTGGGCTCTGGGGGGGCCGATTCTTGGCTGAGGCTGCTCCACTCACGTCCTCTCTTCTTGGTGTAGATGCAGGTCAGAGCCAGGTATTCCCAGAGCATTTCCAGCAAATAGTCCAGGTTCAGCTTCATGCCACAGCTGCCAGGGGGGAAGGGGGCAGTCAGAAGGGCCATGGGCTGAGGCCAGGGAGCGCTCTCTCACTATGGCAAGGGACAACCTCCACCTGGCTGGGCACAGGCACCAGGGCCTGTGGCCCCCTGGAGCCTGTGAGCACCGAGCTCCAGCCGGGGGCCGCGTGATCTTCAGCCACTGCCTCTAGTCAGCAATCAGACCGCCAGCAGAGCGCAGCGTCTCCCGGGGCCACAGCTGCCCCTGCATTCGACACAGGGCCTGCTGTGTGGGACTGCGCGGGGCTGGGAAGGGATGGACAGAGGGCTATCCACAGCTTGCCTCCTCAGAGGTGGGAGGGGCTTCCAATGCCCAGGGCAGCCCTGCAGGGATTTGAGCACCAGGGGTCGGGTGGGGCTTGCTGTGGCCATTGGCGCTGTCTTAGCTGCACCGATCCTGCCTGATGAGCAGGTGACAATGCTCTCAGAGCCCAGGTGGGCTTAGGGTGCCTGGGTGTAGCAGGAGGTGGAGAGGAGCCGAGCTGTTCTAGGGAGGGAGGTGGCTTTGCTGCTCTTTGCAGCAGCTGGCAATGCCCAGGACATGGTCCTCGTAGCACTTGCAACCCACCATTTGCACAGTCACCCCCACCTGGTCGCTGAGCGTCTTCCTCCCCATAAGCTAAGCCCCACTGTGAAGCTACAGAGCACCTTGTTTGGGCTGGGAAACCAGCAACATGGAAGCCACGAGTCAGTGATGACAGGAAGTGAGTGCAGGAGGCCCCAGAACCCACCCCTCAAGGACAGGGAGCCACGGTCCAGGATGGCTGTGTCCACCTCATAACTCAGCTCCCTTCCCCTCTGCTGTGCTGAGCGCCAGGTCATCCCAAGTGTCAGGAGCACTGGCTTACTGTGGGCTGCCTGGGGGACTGAGAGTGACTTCTACATTATGGAGACTCTTGGACATTCCTAACCACTTCCCCTGATGGACAAAACACGTTTTCTTAACCAGAACCCACCCACGTTACCCACTCTGCCCCTGCCATCAGGGGGGACTGAGCCAAGGTCACCAGCAATGGGGAGGGTCTCCCCTGCCGGCTGTGCGGGGGGGGGGGGGAGGGGTGGCAGGGAGGCCTCAGGATGGGCTCACCCCCAGAAAGGATGGGCTCACCCCCAGAAAGGATGGGCTCACCCCCAGAAAGGATGGCGAGCCTCACCTGATGACCACGCTGTTGGGTTTCCGGGCCAGGCGATCCACTTCCTCCATCGAGATCTGGTCAATTTTGTTATAAACCTGGATGGAAGGCGGAGGTGGTGATGGGGACAGAAAGAGACAAGAGGACAGGAAAGGGCCCCATGTGGCCACAGCCCTGAGGCTCCTCCCTCTTCACACCACGATCAGGCTGAGGCGGAGCATCTCCCTCCCCCGGGCAATGGTGCGGAGAGCTGAAAGGAACAGGCTGGGCCAGAACCCGCCTGAGATGTGTGCGACAGAGGGGAGGAGGGCGCAGACTGCTCTGTGCCTCGCAGAAGCCGCCTGGGACCAGGCGCCCCCCACAGGGCAGGGCGGGACCGGGCACTTACATACAAGCAGGGCATGTACACCCGGTTGCCCACGATCACGTCGATGAACTCGTCCGGGGAGCAGTCCTCTCGGAAGAGCACTTCGGCATTAAAGATCTCTGAGGGGCACGGGTCAAGGGCAGTGTGCGCTAGCAGCCCTGGTGCCTAGCCAGGGAGGGCCTGAGACAGCCACCAGGGAACAGACTGGCCAAAGGGACCTGGGAGGCCCTCTCTGCTCGCACGGTTTTACAAGATTTTAAAGTCTGGGGAGCCCCTCCTGCTTTTCAAAAGAAGCCGCAATACGTAAAAGCTCCAATCACCAGTTCAAATCTTCAAGTCTGCTTGCCAGAACCCAGAGCGCCTCAGAGGGGCAGGCGTCAGTGCCAGGAGCAGCTGAGGGCCTGGCCTCTCACGGCCCCTCTCCCCTGTGCATCCTGCCTGCGTCATACCTCCAGGGAGGAGACGAGGCCGTGCCACCTCGAAGGGGCCGTTTCCTCATCAGCTTTCCGTGCTGAGCTCGCCTCTGCCTCTGCCGTCCTGTCCTCTGGTCCCCAAGCCCGCCTGCCCCCCGACAATAATTAGCGGGTGTGCGCAGGCCCCGGGTCTCCGAGGCTTCTCCAGACCGGGAGCCGTTTTCCTCGCTGTCTCATCACCGCCCAGAGGGACCGGCTGCCGCAGCACCCAGCAGCCGCCCAGCAGCCCGGAGACCGGTCCAGGCGTGGCTGCCTGCAAGCCCGGATCGTCGAGAGGGGAGGCGGAGGCAGGCGGCACCCATGCCGTGCGGCAGCTTTCTCAGGGCCCGTTCAGGGTGTCAGGCCTGGGAGTCTGCCGTGACCCTGGGCCCAGGCCTCAGGCTCCGGAGGCCCGGCATCTCCTTCGGGAAGGATACTGTACTCGTGCAGGATCAGCTGCACCAGCTTTTCCGAGCACTGGGTGAGCGTGACTGTCGAGTTAAAGGAGATGCCACCGCCTTTCTTGGGCTGGAGAAGGGAGAGCTGCTGAAGGGTCGGCTGCAACTGCCCACAGGCTCAGATCCTGCCCGATGCAGTGCACACACCACCGCCCGCCCCGCCCCGCCCCCAGCCCGCAGCGAGGGGCCTTACCTTGAAGTAGATGTTAGGCTTGTGCTTGTTGAGGCGGATGCCCACCGACTCCAGTTCCTTCTCCAGCAGAGACCTGGGCAGAGCCCCCATGCGCCTTCACAGGTGCCCAGAGGCAGGCTGCGCAGCTTCCATGGACAAAGGAAGCCCCTCCCACCCAGGCCCACACCCTCCTCTACGCGCCCCATGCAACCTGGCCTTCCTTCCCAACGACCCTGGGCTGCCGAGAGTCCTCTGGGCCCCGGCTAGTCCATGGCAGACTGGCCAGGTGTGCAGTCCCCGGGCAGAGGCGGGCATGAGCATGGGGCTGGGCTCCTGGCAGCGACTAGGCCACTGGCTTCCGCAAGCAGGAGCCAGAGCCAGGCCACGCTCCTTAGGCCGTGAACGGCCAATGTGGCCGGGACTCCGGCTACGAGCTCCAGCCCCGATGCTGGAGGCGAGCCTCCTGGAGAGGACGCACCGGGCGGAGAACACGGGGTCAGCCGTGGACAGTCCTGCCGCTACTGCCACGCAACAGGGCCCAGCACCACTCAGACCGTCCACCACGAGCTCCAGGGCCTTCCCAGACACGCCAGCCTGCCCCCCTATCCCACCCCGCGGACCTCTGCACCTCTCCCTTGGTGGCATCCAGCATCATGATGACGACGTCAGCTGTGCGTGCCACAGCAATCACCTGCCGGCCACGGCCTTTCCCTGGACAGGCAGAAGGGTCACGGTGACACAGTGACAGGCAGGACCCACGTGACCCCCACCACCCCACAGCACCCAGACTCCTGTCCTTCACAGACCTGCCATGGGGTCTGCCACCTGCCACCTCCCAGGCTAGGGTTTCTTTGGCATTTTTCTTTAATTGAGATGCGCTCTTACTGTGGAGACTTGTTTCATAAGAAAATTCAGCATCACCACCTTAGGAGGGTGACATCCTCCCCCAGGCCCTGTGCTAAGAGCTTCATTTACTCATTTGATCCTCAAAACTATCCCAAATGATTGGTGCTATCATGCCATTTTACAGATGAGAAAACTGAGGCTTGGCTTAGACACAAAGCAGCGTGGTGCCAGGACTTGACACTATCTGCCCTGTCAGGAAAACAGGGCGACAGGAGGCCCACCCGGGCGGCAGGGTCACAGACCACCCAGGAGGAGGTGCCTCAGGGGTGGCCAGGCCTCTTTAGTACCAGATGACCAAAGACGCCAGGGTCCTCACCAGGGCCAACGTTGGGGACCAAAGCTGCAAGGCTCTATGCAGTGTGGTTTCACTATGTCCTGCCCCCTCTTCTGAGAACCAGGGTGACCCACTCCCCGGCTGCCTCTTGCCTCCAGCAGGCGCACTTCCCACAGGTGGCCGGGCCACCTCAGGCCCCTCATATGCTGGCTGGGATGGCATGGGGACCACCACCACCACCACCAAACTCAAACCTGCAGGACCTCAGCGCCATGGTGACGGCAGGGCAGGGGAAGGCACTAGGAGAGATGGCACTGGACACTAGGGAGGAGGCCCACTGCCAGCCCACGCAGGCTGCTAGCAGGCAACTCCATCCCACCTGCCACTCAGCAGCTGAACAGTCAACGAGGCAGACCTCTAGCTCGCTGCCCCAGCGCCCTTCCTGGCTACGGAGAGGAAATGAGGCACTCCCTAAGCTAGGGGTGTCGAACTCAATCAGAGAAGGGGCCAAAATCTAAAATCCAGCCTAAATCGCGGGCCGAATGGTTTACTGAACAGTCATAAACTGTCATTGTGATGGAAACGCAGCGGAGTGCAGTGATGACAGCGCGGTGCGGGCCACATTGCAAGGCCTGGCGGGACGGATTTGGCCCGCGGGCCTTGTGTTTGACACATGTGCCCTAAGCCAAGGGCTGTCTGAGCATTAAGTCTGATAATGGTCAGCACAGAGCCCAGAGTTTAGCAAGTGCTGAATAGCCAGTAGCTGTAACCATCACTGCAAATACTGGATGCAGCCACCTGCCACCAGAAGCATAAGCATGTCTCCATCTCAAAAAAGACCCCCAAAACCTGAAACAACAATAACAACAACAAAAACACCCCAGGCTGAAACTGGTTTGGCTCAGTGGATAGAGCATTGGCCTGCAGACTGAAAAGCCCCAGGTTCAATTCCGGTCAAGGGCATGTACCTTGGTTGCGAGCACATTCCCAGAAAGGGGGTGTGCAAGAGGCAGCTGATTGATGTTTCTCTTATCGATGTTTCTAACTCTCTATCCCTCTCTGTGAAAAATCAATAACATATATTTAAAACAAAATAAAACAAACAAAAAAACCGAAACAACACAGGACAGAACTAGGAGCACTGGCTGAGATCACAGCTGAGAGGGTCCATCCCTCCCAGGGCAGCGGAGCACAGGGAGGGGAAGTGGGGTCAAGCCTGTCTGGTGAGCTGTGCGAGTCATTTCCCTGCCTCAGTCATTTCCCTGCCTCAGTCTCCTCGGCTTTAAGATGGGTCTCTCAGGACTGTAAGGGGCCAGAGTCCCTTAAGCACAGAGCACCGAGCACTGGCCCCATCTGCCACCCCTCAACAGCCAGCCCAACTCCCATAGTGAGGTCTGCTGCATCCTGAGCAGGAGGGCCTCTGGGAGCCCCGCTCGCACCTTGTGCTGCGCCTTCGATGATTCCAGGAAGGTCCAAGAGCTGGATGTTGGCTCCTTTGTACTAGAATGAGAAGGGAGGACGGTGAGGGGAGGAGGGCCACTGGGCAGGGCCTACTTGAACACAGGACCCTACAACAGCCTGCAGCGAGGGGCTGCTGAAACCCAGGCCAGCCTCCATGGCCATGTCTGAGCCTCCTCACCCACTGTGAGCTGAGCCACCTAGAGGAGAGCTCTACTTTACCACCCATAGCACTCCTCCCGATGGCGACAGCCCTTCACAGACAACGTGCTTCCCCGGGAGAGGCTCCAGACTGGAACCCAGCCACACGTTCCAAAGCTTCCCAGGAAACTGATCCAGCCCCGCAGAAACGAGTGACGGGCTGGGGGCGTGGCCGCGGAGATCTGCACACACTGGCCTGTCCCGGCACCAGCTGGTGTCACAGGATGGGCTGGGCATCTCTGGGGTCTCAGGAGCCAGGATCCCCGGAGGCGCCAGTGCCAGGGCACACCAGCTCAGGACAGACACACACAACTGGAAACACAAGCGCATGCCCTTCCCCTCCTGGGATTCAGCCAACTCTTACTTACTTCAATGACCCCTGGGATACACGTCAGGGTTGTGAATTCATAGGATGCAGCTTCGCTGGCTGTGGAGGTCATTAGACTCAAGAAGGTGGACTAGGAGAGAAAGCAAGTCATTGCATGAGTCTTGTCCCATCCCCCTGGAGAAGCCCATGGGCTGCAGGCAGCCGGGAGGCCCCCTCCCCCCGTTAGTGATGGGGACACGTGAGGGAGAATAGCTGGAATGCTGTCTCAGGCCCCGCCAAGGTGGAGATGGCACCGGAGGACCCTCTGCTCCTCAGTGGCCCAAGTCTCTCTCAGGTGGACACAGGGACCTTCTTCTCAGTAGGTTCTTCCTTAAATCAGGGGCCACTCACAGCTCCACAAAACCCTCACCCTGGGCCCAGAGAACTTCACACAGGTGACAGCCACGGCACTCAGAGTGGCTGCTCCCAGGAGAGGCGAGATGTGCCGGGAGATCCTGACCTTTGGGCTCAGACAGAGCCCGGCGGGAGGAAGGGGTGAGTGGAAAGAGCCTGGGTGGAACCCTTATGCCATGGTCCGCTGTGGGAACGGGGCTGCCGCTTGGCTAGGAGACAGAGAGGCCTTGGCCCCGCCTCTGCTGGGGGACCCTGGGCAAGAAACTACATCCTCTAAGCTTCAGCGTCCTCACACGTGGAGTGGGCATCCACTCCATCTCTTTCTTTTTTCTTTTTTTAAAATATATTTTATTGATTTTGTAGAGAGGAAGGGAGAGAGATAGAGAGTTAGAAACATCGATGAGAGTCATCGATCAGCTGCCTCTTGCACACCCCCTACTGGGGATATGCCCGCAACCAAGGTACATGCCCTTGTCCGGAATCAAACCCGGGACCCTTCAGTCCCCAAGCCGACGCTCTATCCATTGAGCCAAACCGAACTCGGCTCCATCTCTTTCTTGAGGTACTGCATGGGGATCAATAGAGATGATAAGGCATGTGGTCTACTGAGTCCGGGGCACAACCAGTGCTGGATGCAAGGCCCAGAACACAAGCTAAGCGGTGGGCAGTGCCGGAGAAAACCCAGCCCTGGCTGCAGGCGCCCATCTGGTCAGCACGGCACCGGAAACAAGCCTGGGACGCAGTTCCGACTGGACAGTGCTGCCTAGATCTGGAGCCGGTGCCCTCTGGACTCTGCCCCTCGCTGGCAGGCAGGCAGGAAGGCTGGGACACACCTCCCTCACACACCCTCAGACTGAAACCTAGAATGCGCCATGTGAAGGAAACGCAGGCCTCAAATCCAGAAACTCTCTGCCCTGGGGACCTCCTGAAGGAGGGGGACAGAGCAATGGAGCAATGGCCCTGAGACACCGAATGGCCCTGAACTCCTAACAGGGCGGCGGGATCTGGCCACAGGTCCCAGACTCCAAGGGCACGGACCTTGGAAACTAGAGTGACTTCTCTCAGCCTGAGCTTCTCACCTGGAAAGGAAGTCTTTGGTAGGATGGAAAGTAAAGTGGAAAGAAAAGACAAAATTAATGAGCCCATAAGAACACTGAAGAGCTGAAGCCTGGAATCCTCACGTGTCACTGGGGGCCAGCTGCGAGCCAGCAGCGGCCCTGCCTTTCCAGGTGCAACTTCCTCAGAGGAACCACGCTGCCCCGGGGAGGAGGGAGCTGCTACTTACAAGGCACGTGAGCTACCAAGTGAGGAAGGAGTGAGAGAACTGGAAACAGCTACTTCACAAACACTCCTAAGACCCCGGCAAGGACAGGCATCTGGGCCAAGCCACCAAAGGATGCTGACAGGGCGGATTTCTGCGAGCTGCGCAGCAGCGCCCTGCAGGTGACTGCCCGGTGTTCTGGCATGGGGGAACACAGCCACACGGGGGGACACAGGGTGCGATCCCCTTAGTGCAGTGGCCCTGGACACGCAGCTAGCCCTCGGGTTTCAGCCATGCCCATCACCCACTCGTGAACCTGGCCAGTTCCCGGGAAACAGCCATCGGACAAGCGGCAGTGCACCGTGAGGAAGGAAGCAAGCAGAGCCGGGACCGGTTTGGCTCAATGGATAGAGCGTCGGCTTGGGGACCGAAGGGTCCCAGGTTCGATTCCGGTCAAGGGCATGTACCTTGGTTGCGGGCATATCCCCAGTGGGGGGTGTGCAAGAGGCAGCTGATCGATGACTCTCTCTCTCATCGATGTTTCTAACTCTCTATCTCTCTCCCTTCCTCTCTGTACAAAATCAATAAAATATATAAAAAAAAAAAAAAAAAAAAAGGAAGCAAGCAGATCCCAGAGCACAAACGTCCCACCAGGCAATGGCCTGGTCTCTTTGGCGAGGCAGGGGCCTGACAAAGGGGTTGGTCTGGGTAAAGCAGCCTTCGTGACTACACCGGGCTACATGTGGCCAGAGCGGGCCCCAGTCTGGAAGACCAGCTGATTGGAATATAGTCTGGCCATTAGAGGATCACTGGGTCACTGTTCATTTTGTTTGGTATGCTATGCCAGTTTGTGGCTAAGCAGGACATTTTTCTTACTTACTGGAGATACAAGCTTAAATATTTAGAGGTGGAGGGCCATAAAGCATGACACCTGTAACTTACTCCCAAATGGTTCAGTCAAACCAACCAACCCCCCCCCCCCCCCCCCCACACACACACAGAGCAATATTGCAAAATGCCAGAGAGAGGGCAGACTGTACTTGTTTTTCCACCTCTTATACCTGTTTGACATTTCTATTATACAGAAGTGGGGGAAATAAAAAGACAGGGGCCTGGGTCGGATGCCAGGGTTGAAGCCTGTGAGGCACTGGGCCTGCGGAGGGCTCACTGGGGAGTCCCCCCTCGGGCAGCAAGGGCTCCTGCAGCGGAGCGAGGGCTGCTCCTTCGGAGGGGCTGGAGCGGGAGGCCCCTGAGCGGCTCTGTGTCTGGCTTTTGTGAAGTTGGGGAGTCAGGAACACCCCACCACTAAAGGAATTTGAGGCCCTAGTTGGTTTGGCTCTGGTGGATAGAGCCTCAGCCTGTGAAGTGAAGAGTCCCGGGTTCAATTCCAGTCATGGGCACATGCCTGGGTTGTGGGTTTGATCCCCAGAACGGGACATGCAGGAGGCAGCCAATCAATGATGCTCTCTTATCTCTGATGTTTCTATCTCTCTCCCCTCTCTCCCTTCCTCTCTGAAATCATAAAAGTATATTTAAAAAAATAAAGGAATTTGAGCGCAGGCTGGAAAGCTGCTCAGACTTTATGGAAGGAATGAACTGCCAAAGGCTTGAAGGAATAGGAGCTGCAAATAAAAGCTTCCAGTCCATTCTACCTGATTCAGATAACATGGCACTGTATTTCCCGAGCCCACACCATTGGAGGACAGGAGAAAAGGACAGTGAAATCCAGCTGGGGTATGTGCCTGAAGACTAACAAGCACTTAAATGCACCAGGAAGGAATCCTTCTGCAGCTTCTGCAGCAGCCTGGTCTTGGTCCAGCCTGCACCCGCACCAGCCCGCACATCCCAGCTCAGACACAGCCCTGTGGAGAGAGGGTACACCAGAAAGCCTAGAAAACGTTCCCATCGGTCCCCAGATGGAGTCAGCTGGAGTTTCCTTGGTGCATAATTGGCCAGGCTGATGGCTGCTTTAAACACCCTGAAGCTGGAGCTGCTGTGCCTATGCCTAGGATCGCTTCCTGCAGAAACACCTGTTCCAGCAGCAAAGCGGCGAGCAAAGAGCATTTACCACAGCACCGTGGGCTGCAAGCAAAGCCTGGGCGGCTGGCCACCACCATGGGGGGGGGGGGGGGGGAGGTGTGTTGGTGATCACATGACCATAACACGGTGTTCCAGGCAACAGTTCAGAGATGAGGGGATATACAAGATGAGCCTGAAGCATTTTGCAGTATCAGAAGTGCTGAATAAACACAACAGGAGTTTGTCAAAAAGCCAACTGAAACAGCTAGAAAAATCTGAGTAACATTAGAACCCAAGTATACAACAAATTCCCACGAGTCCACATGGATACAAATATGATTCAGCTGCAGCATGGTGGTCCCTCCTTTGGAAAACTGCTGTTTGAACTACTCTGTTATTTTTAGATGGTCTCTTATTCTATAAAATATAACTTTGTTTTTAGCTTGAATAATAGAAAAGATTAACTTAACTGTCTGAACTTGCAAGCTAGCCATCTAAAAGGGCTGATACACTGATACTGATATTAATTCACATATTCTGCCAAGTGTTTGTTCATCCAAGGTTACAGGTGTCTATATAGATATGATATGTACTCAAAGTTATGAGTTGTCTGTATAGATATGACAGGTGTTTGATTAGATATAATATGTACTCAAGTTGGCTGTATAGAGATGACAGGCGTTTGTTAGATACGATATGTATTCAAGGGTACAAGCTGTGTCACACAAAGAACTAGAAGGATATAAAGAGGAAACACTCCCTCCTGTGTTCGGAATGTGACAGGTAATCTGCTCTGAACCTGCACACAATGAAGAGGACTCCTAACCAGGGCTCATTAGGCTCTTGTCCAGCGCGCTGATTTCAGATACAAAACAAAATGGGAGAGAAGAGACAAATCTCACGTATGAACTCTGAATAATTTGTGTAGCTCAAACAGGTGGACCTAACTCCTCCCCTTAGTGGGCTGCACACAGTGCCATCCCTTCTAAGAGGACACGAGAACAAGAGAAAAAGAGTGAGTTCACAGAGGAGAAACCTGACAAACTCGCCCTCACCAGGTGGTCAGGGTCAACATCAACTGATGACGTGAGAAAAGCGGCACTTCACTCCTGCGGCATCCCTCCCGCACACCCATCTGTACACATGAAAGGCTGAGCCACAGCCTGAGCAGGAGACAAGGTCAGACAAACCCCAGCGGAGAGACATTCTACAATAGCCCACTAGCACTCCGCAAGATGGCCAGCCATCCAATCAAGGCCAGCCAAGGAGAGCCCAGAGGACAGGACCGCTGAGTGCGACGCGGGCTCCAGGCAGGAGAACAGAACTCTGCTCCAGCCGGGCGTGCGGCGTGAGGGAACTCTGTGCTGGCAATGCAGCTTCTTTGCAAATCCTTGACTCTTAAAAAGCTGGGCAGCTCAGTCCCTTTTCTGCTCAAAACCCTTCCATGAGGTTTAACTTACTCCCCACTCAAATATTAAGTATGAATTTCACACTAAACTAAGAAGCTTACAGAAGAAACCTAAAAAACTCTGCAGTGGCTCCTGCTTCACCCTATTTCACTCAAGGCCAACGTTGTATGACGGCTCCAAGGTCACCCACCTCTGTGATGTGTCTCCCACTGCGGCTCACTTAGACCTGGCTGCCTGGCTCCCTTAAACACAAGCCCCCGCATGGGCCTTTGCACCCACTGCTCGCTGTCTGGGAGGTCCCTTCGCAGGGCCCTGCAAACTTCTGCACCACCTTCAGGCCTCTGCTCAAACCCCCGCTCACCAGGGCAGCCTTCGCCAATCCCAACCAGAAACCGCAGGACCACGGTCCCCACCCGCCCTTAGCTGACGGTCTTTTCTCCTCGAGAGGGGAAGCCTGTGTGGGCAGGGACAGAACACTCTCACTCCTGCTGCATCTCCAGCAGCTGGCACGCGGTGCACTCAATGAATGTGCACAATGGATGAGTCAGAGACAGAATGCAGCTCTTTCTGCTAAAGCGGAAAGAAAGCTCTCCGTGTTAGGATGATACAGGGATGGGCCCGATTCTGGGGGATGCTGCGTCTTCTCTGTCCCTGGAGCTAATCCAGAGGGACAGGGAGAAGAGCCACAGTCACTCTGAAAGCAGACACTGTCTTCCTCCCCAAAGCCCACCATGACCATCACTGACCTTACCCACAGAGGGAAATCCGATCAGTGCCACCCGGGCGTCGCCCGACTTCATGACATCGAAGCCCTCTCCTTTGGACGAAGCCGATTTGGATGGTTCCAGGAGCTGGGCCCGATACTTGGCCAGTTTTGCTTTCAGCAAGCCCAGGTGATATTCGGTGGCTAACGGACAAAAAGCAAGACAGAAGGTAAATGTCTAAAGTATCCAAGCCCTCTGAGTCAAGTGGGGCCTCACACACCACCGAGTGCTAGCCGGGACTGTCAGACCCAACGGCAACCCATGTGAAGATCAGGAGAGAAAAACACCATCCCTGTGCTGACAATGCCTCCTGGAGCGGCTACAGGGTTAAGCCTTGGACTGACCTGTTGGCAAAGCCACAAACAAGTCCCAGTTTAGAGGGCACAGTCCTCTTAGCATAATTAAGCTTGACCATATGACATTCCCTAGATCCTTCCTGGGTCGCTAATGGGCTGTGGGGGTGCAGCAAGTGCTGCCAAAACAAGTGAAGCTCATAAGAACATGGTAACTATGGTGACCACTACTTTGTTTACTTCTGACTGTAAAATAAAGCATCAGCTTGCAATCTGGATCTTTTCTGTGGCCTTAGCCAAGCACAGAAGATCCACCTAGACCCAGCTTATTCTCTTTGTATTTTCTTCATCCTTCACCAGCCCCCCTCAGGCTTGCTGAACCCTTGGTTGTGCTGGCATGGCATACCTTGGCTGCTCACTTCATCTGTATATGTAAAAGGCTAAGTGACTGTTCGACTAGTTGCTACGATGTATACTGACCACCAGGGAGCAGACACTCATCTCAGGAGCTGCAGGGATGCGCACTGGCCATTTAAAAACAAATGGCACCATAGACCCGGTGCCAACAAACCAACACTCGGCTTCCTCCAAGTGTGACACAGGCCCTGACACCACCCCAGAATGACACCCCACCAAATCACAGCCAATGCTGCCAAGACCCCAATACTCCATGGCGCAAAATGTGGCCCACCGCCCAGCCTAGAAAACTGTCACTGTGGGCACCAGTCAATGAAGTCACATAGCAATGCCCGGCTTCTTCTCCCTAGCAACTAGCCTTCTTGGAATTTCTTTAGCCCAGGAACACAACTTGCTTTATAGCCAGGTGCACACATTTCACAGTTTGACCAAATATTTGTGAAGCATTTTCACGTGCCTCATCTCATTTGACCCTCACAGAAGTCCTGGAGGACCCTGTTTCCCCGAAAATAAGACAGTGTCTTATATTAATTTTTTTCTCCCAAAGTTGTGCTAGGTCTTATTTTCAGGGGATGTCTTATCTTTCCATGTGCTAGGTCTTATTTTCGGAGGATGTCTTATTTTCTGGGAAACACGGGTAGGTAGAAAAGAGGCTCAGTGGAATCCTATTCTCTTTTCATTAGCCAGAAAACGGAAATTTAGAAAGCTCAGAAACTTGACCCAACTGAAAAGAAGTAAGAAATGGTGGACTTGGAAAATGACTTCAGGTTTTCTCAATATATTTTTTCAGAATATAGTCAAACACTGCTGCAGTTACATATTTTACCCTTTGTTCTTCCTGTGTGATCTACAATAATAATCTGCTTCATGTTGATATTTACTGCTGTGTTGCTGACAATTACCTGAAAGAGAAGTTGGGGTGCTTCATTGGGCTGGAAAAGTTTAGCTGCATCAGAAAGCAGGTCTAATGAAGCAAGTCTGTTCTATATCTATAGGAAGCTAAGTTGACTTGCACATGTTCAATACACGAGTGTTTCGATCTGTCATTGTCGATCATGAATTTGGTTGACACTACTATTAAAAAGGGTGAATAGCAATATTAAAATAATCTTCTAATTAATTAATTTCCTTTCATTGTGCACAAATCTATTCACCGGGCCACTAGTCTTATATAATAAAACCCTAATATGCAAATCGACCAAATAGCGGAATAACCGATATCTATGAAGCACACTGACCACCAGGGGACACCAGGGGGCAGGTGCTCAACGCAGGAGCTGCCCTCTGGTGGTCAGTGTGTTCTCACAGGGGAAGAACAGCTCAACCAGAAGCTGGGCTCATGGCTGGTGAGTGCATGAGAATGAACAAACCATCTTTTCTGTCAAAGAACATTTTAGACAGCCGCCATTTTGGACTGCAGGACTAGGCAGCCACCATGTTGGCCACATGGCTTGCAGCTTCCCTGAGGGCCGCCATCTTAGAACAGCAAAGGCCAACCCCTCCCTTTGAATTAGTCAATTGCAAAAGACTGCGCCTGAGTTCCAATCAAGACTAAGGGATAGCCGAAACCAGTTTGGCTCAGTGGATAGAGCATCGATCTGTGGACTGAAGGATCCCAGGTTTGATTCTGGTCAAGGACATGTACCTTGGTTGTAGGCACATCCCGTTAGGGGGTGTGTAGGAGGCAGCTAGTCGATGTTTCTCTCTCATCAATGTTTCTAGCTCTCTATTCCTCTCCCTTCCTCTATGTAAAAAAAATCAATAAAATATATTTTTAATAATAATAAAAAAAAGAGTAAGGGACAGGTCACGTGGGTCAGGGGTTATAAAGCTGAGCAGATGGCTCTGTGCACATGCTTCCAGGCCATGTGTGTGCACCCTTCTATGTAGAAGTAAAGATGTTTCACCTTGCTGCCTGGCTTCCGAGTATGTTTTGTGTTCTACCAGGACCCCTGACTTGGGAGGCTCACCTTATTTCTAACAAGTGTAGCAATGGTGGCAGAACCTCTCCCACCTCCATGGCAGCGTTAGGGACCCCTTGGGGGTACTGGACTGCGAGAGGGCCCAGGCTGGGTTCAGGGACACCCCCTCCCCTGCCAGTGCATGAATGTTGTGCACCAGGCCTCTAGTTTATAATAAAAGTGAGTCTCCTTATTGAGGCTTTGAGACCCCATGTCAGTGGTTCTCAGTGAATCCGGCAACACACCCTGAGGGTTTTCTAGAAATTCCTAGGGATGTTTTCCATTCTCATTCTGTTGGTGAAGCCAACTGCCCTACCAGGTGTGAGTCAGCCTAGCACAGTCAAGAGTTGTCTTGTGTCCCACATGACTTTGCATGTCCCAAGGACATCCAAAGAGAAAACCTGGTTAGGGTCACAGGAGCCTGAAATCTAACTGCTTCACACATGTGTCCACACAGGGATTTTCTGCAGTGTGAATACACGCTGAAATTTCCAGGAATGCAACTCCTGTGCGTGTTCAGGGAAGACTATGGTATGTTTTATTTGAAACTTTACCTAAAGCGGCTCACCATCTTGGGATTCTATGCCACCAACAGTGAACCCACTTGTAGGGAGGCACTAACACAACATACCTGCACTGCCAGAACTGTGTTGGCCACACCCCATTCTACCAAGAGGTACAAGCTTCATTATCACTTGGCTGTGGCCCAACATTTGCATATTGAAATACACAGTATTTTTATTATAAATTACTTTCCCTTTCCCCCTCCTTTATATTACTATTAGGGCATTATATTGATATTTTTCAAATCCTTTGTGTATGAAAGTTATACTTTCGATTGGGAATCACATTTCAGAATGGTAAAAGGGTATTACAAAGTCTTTACTATAAACAGAAGCTGGGACTGACAGTAAGACGCAGGGCTCTAGGTGATCTGGCCCCTTCTACTTCAACAGCATCTCTCACCACGCCACTTTTATTCACACATTCCAGCCGTGGCTACTTCAACATTTCTCACCACGCCACTTTTATTCACACATTCCAGCCGTGGCTACTTCAACAGCTCTCACCACGCCACTTTTATTCACACATTCCAGCCGTGGCTACTTCAACATCTCTCACCACGCCACTTTTATTCACACATTTCAGCCGCAGCGGCTCTCTCAGCACATGCTGACCCCTTCCTGCCTCTGACCTCTGCACTTGCTATTCCTTCCATTTAAACTTTATCTCTGCAGGGCTCACTCCTTCTCAACATTCAAGGCTCAGCTCAAATGTCACCTCTTTAAGTCTCCCTACCAGTCTTGGGACAGTGTCACCCAGAGGTCCACCCTGCTGTCTCTGCCATTTTGCTTTGGGTAAATTACTTAGTCTCCTTGTGCATTAGTTTCTTAACCTGCAAAATAACTACTTCACCTGATTTCTATAAGAAAGCACTAAGAACATGTCTAGCACATAGTAAGCACCCAATAAAAGTTTGTGATTATTACTATCTACAGTAACCCACCTCTCCAGCGGCTCGGTCCTAATTATTGTCTGCATGGCTCTTATCACTACTCAAAACTGTCTGGCTTCTTTAGTTCCCCCTCTAACAGGGTAGGGACGGGACTGCCGAAGTTGTGTCCTCAGCTTCTCGCACAGGGTCCGTACAGGGCAAGCGCTCAGGAAATGTTTTAATAAGCAAATGAGTGAACTGGTGACATTGAGAAATGGTCAAGAATGGGTTCAGCAGTAGTCAGGTGGACATGGTCCTTCCTGCCATCCCAGCTCATCAGATTCTGAGCATCCCTGAAAGGAAGGACTAGATCTTAATCATCTCCACTGTCCTTCCCCACCCACTGCTAAAGCGGCATCTCTCGCCTCCCCTAAGCCTCTCTGCTCCTTTGCGTCCAGTAGATGATACTCCACTGGGAAACCAGAGAGGGAACTTTTACAAACAGAAATCACACTCTCCTGCTTCACACCCTCCATGAGCTCTTACTGCCCTCAGAACACAAGTCAGACTTGGCCCAGGACTACACGGTGCTCCCTGACTGGGCTCTCCTTTCCCATCACTGCACCCAGGCCCAGATCTTTCCTTCCTTAAACACACCAGTGTCCTGCCTGCAGCCTTTGCACCAACTGTTCCCTCTGCGTGTACAAATGCTGGTCTCAGCTCACATGTTCCCTCCTCCTGGTCTTTTCCGATCAGTCCCCACTCCTAACACTCTAGTTTGTCTTCACAGAATTCATTGCTGAAATTGTCTTGTCTGTTTAGTTACTGATGTACAGACTGTCCACTGGGAGGTCAGCTCCACGAGGTCATGGATGTCACGCAGCAAGCGCCCAAGAAAGATTTGCAGAATGAACACATGATAGACGCTCCCCAACTCCTTAGTCTTCAGAACTAAATGGAGCCATGGAGGAGAGGTCGGCCACCCAGCATTCCTTGCTTCTTGCTCCTGCAACCCCACAGCAGGTCCGGCTGGGCCCTGGGCCTTACCACCTTCACCAATCGTATTCCCCATGGTTTCCAGACCCTCCTTCCAATCTAGACTGTTCTCTCTGTTCCATGAATACAGTGTGCTCAGAGGCCCCCTTGCCTTTGCCCCCCACCTGTAATACCTTCCCTCCCCCAGCTCCAGGCCCACCTCCTCCTGGACGCCGTCTAGGTATCACTTTCTTGTCTTCTTACCTTTGAGCTCCTCCGGCCCTTACAATCTGAAGCCCAGATGGGATGCTTCATTACGTGCTTTCTGTAGGTTTTCTGTCCACACTGGGTGCTGGCCATGCGCCTAGTGCTCTGCACACGCTACCTAGTGTAACTCAGCTGCGAGCGAGCACGTGGGGAGGGGGTTCTCTGTGAGCAGATGAGGACCCTGAGGCTAAAGGAGGTGAAATGACTTTCCACGGCTTCACAGCAGGTAAGGGGTGGGACCAGAGTTCAAAGCCAGGCCCGCCCGATGCTGGAATCCAGACGCCTCCTCTAGCCACCCAGGTCTTCGGCTGCGGGTGAGTTTACGTGAGAGGTCACCCCCAGACTTCCCAGCACAAAAGGGGAGAGCGCCAACGCGCCGAGCCCGGCCCCGGGGAAGCCGGGGTTCCAGCCCTGGCCCCGCCTCTCTCTGGGTCAGACGCAGGCGCTGTGACTGGGTTTCTCCGCTCGGTCTCTACTCTGTCACCGCCTGCCTGGCTCTGAGCAGCTCTCCCGGGGTCGTTGGCCATCAGCCGGCGCGGGGCCCACCCCGCCCGGCCCGCCTGGGCGCCGGCGGCGCTGCTCCGCGGCCCCGGCAGGCCCAGCGCTGCGCGGGCGGCCCCATCGCACCGACAGCAACGCGGAGGCGGAGGCCGGGCGGCCACGCTCACCCTTGTTCTTCTGCGTCCGCGCGATCTCCTTCTCGATCTCCGATATCTTCTCCAGGATCCCCATGGCCGCGCTCTGCTGGGGCGCCCAGACCCCGCGGCGCTTCCTCCAGCCCGGCCCGCGCGGCCTGCAGCGTGCGCCCGGAAGCCTGTGCCCGGAAGCCTGCGGGTTACAGCGTCCGCCGGCGCTCGGCCGTTCCGAGTCCGGGCGGGCCACGTGGAGCGGAATGCCCGACGCGATTGGTTCCGCCCTCTGGGCTGGGAGCCCTGGGAGACGCGACACTGGACCGGAGGGGGGGTGGGGGTGGGGGGCTGGGGCCGGGCATGGGAGACGGAGGGAATCTTCGGGGATCAACTCTAACCTGACGTAAAGAAAAGAAGCCGAGCTCTTATTCTATGTGGAGGTTAAAGTGGGTCCCCCTTACCACATTAACCAAGTGCCAACCTTAGCCCTCCTCTCCACCATCAGATAGCTCCTGATACGATGCAGTATGCAGTAGACAACATTTCCTATGTGAAATTCTTGCAAAAAAAACCCACAAAAACAAACAAACAAAAAAACACACACACCAAAAAACAACCGTTGTATTTGAATTTAGAAACAAGAAAACATAAGATAAATCTAGAAAGTGATGCATTTTGTAAAACAAGTGGCCTGAGATCTTCAAAATTGTAAATGACCTGGGGGAGGGGAAGGGGGCTGTTCTAGATTAAAATAGCCTATATAATAAAAGCCCCAAATCCACTGAACTGAGGAACAACCCGGGAACGACCTTTGCTACGACAGGCACTGACCACCAGGGGGCAGACACTCAATGCAGGAGCTGCCCCCAGCTCGCAGGCCCCAATTGGCAGTGGTGGGGTGTGCCTAAATTCTGGTTGAAAATTTTAAAAGCAGCTATAAAAAGTAGAACAGTTGGGGGAACTTTAACTTTGGATAAGATATTGGATATTATGGAGTAACTGCTAATTTTCCTGGTGTGATGATGTAGGAGATGTTTTTGTTATTAGCAGATGCATGCTGTGGTATTCAGGGGTTTGCTCAGGCAAACATAACAAAATGCCACGTGTTGGGTGGCTTAAACAACAGAAACTTTCTCAGTTTTGGAGATTGGAAGTCCAAGATGGGGGTACTTAGTGTGGTTGGGTTCTCATAATGGGATCAGTACCCTTATAACAGATGCCAGAGAGTTCTCTCTCCCTCTCTCTCTATCTAATGCTCCACCTCCCTCCTTCTCTCCCTCTCTCCACACATTCAACAAGAAGGTGGCAGTCTGCAAGCCAGGTAGAAGGCTCCTACCAGGCTCTGAGCTAAGTAGGGGCTTTTGTAATTTTGAGTTTGCGTTCTCACCCACATTTTACAAACTGAGGTTACAAGCTTGCAAAAGAGCCTGGTGTGGTGGCTCAACTGTTCAATCAGGGGGCTGAAATTCAAAGCAAGAGTTTTCAATGCCAAGCCCAGTGGTCCGTAGGGTAACTTGGCCGAGCGTGGATAGGAATGTTTACATACAAGCTTTCTGTGAGGTCAAAGGTGATAGGAACGTGCTTTGGGACAGGGAAGCACATGCCGTGTGGGGGCCTGTAAGAGCCCTGGCCCAGAAGTGGATCTCTAACTCCGCTCTGAGCCCAAATGCTACGTGATGTGATTCCCGAGCTCCACTTACTGCCGCACTTGTGCCCACAGAAGTGTGTTCACTTCCAGTTTTTGTTTGAGGCGTATGACTCACCTTCCCAGAGTTCTGGCCTCTCCGCTATTGTACTGATTCAGTAGCAGTCCCCAGGGGCTTCACAAGCAACGTGGGGCTGTGCCTGCTTCAAGAGTTATGGAGCTTTGGAGCTTATGGAGCTTTCTCAGTCACCTGGCCTTTCCTGCTTAGAGGGGCTGGGTCCTCCAACCCCAGACTCCGGGGGCCAGCTGCGAGCCTCGTCTTCATGCTGCGAGCCTCGTCTTCATGCTGCGAGCCTTGTCTTCATGCTGCCCAAAGAGCCTGAGGTGGGGGGTCGGGGCATCGGAAGTTGCAGCAGTACCGCAGTACCTGTGGTTTCAGTTACCTCGGATCATCTCAGTTCAAAAATACATATTAAATGGAAAATTCCAGAAATAAACAATTCCCGAGTTGTACATGGTGTGCCACTCTGAGCAGTGTGCCAAAACCCGGCACGATCCCACTCTCCCTCAGGGACGTGAACCATCTCCATGCCGCACACCTGCCAGTCACATGGCCGTCTCTACTCTGTTCCGGGGTGCACTGTGGTGGTGTTGCAGGGTTGTATTCAGGTCACCCTTTTTCTACTTAGTAATGGCCCCAAAGAGCAAGAGTAGCGATGCTGTCACTCATCTTCCACAGAGAAGCCGTGAAGTGCTTCCTCCAGGGGAAGGCGTGTGTAGAGGAAAAAACAGTATATCTAGGCCTTGGTACCATCAGAGGTTTCAGGCACCCTCTGTAGTCTTGAAATGTATCCCCGTGGATAAGGGGGTGGGCTACTGTATTATCAACACAGAGAAAAGGCAAACCATGGAATGGGAGAAAATATTTGTAAATCATATATCTGATAAGGGGTTAATATCCAGAATATAGGAAGACCTGAAAGTCAACAAAACAACACAATTTTTAAAATGTGCAAAGGACTTAAATAGATACTTCCCCAAAGACATACAAGTGGACAATAAGCACATGAAAAGGCATTCAACATCACTAATTAGGGATATGCAAATCCAAACTACAATAAGACATCACTTTACATCCATTAGGATGGCAATTATTTTATTTTAAAATACAGTTTTATTAGTTTCCAAGAGAAAAGGAGAGGGAGAGAGAGAGAATGATGAAAGAGAATCATTGATCAGCTACCTCCTGCCTACCCCCCACTGGGGATGGAGCCTGCAATCCGCACATGTGCCCTTGACCAGAATCGAACCCAGGACCCTTTAGTCTACAGGTCGACACTCTATCCACTGAGCCAAACCAAATAATAGGCAGAATGGCTATTATTTAAAAAACACACACAAAAGTTCTGGTGAGCCAAAACCGGTTTGGCTCAGTGGATGGAGCGTCTGTCTGTGGGCTGAAAGGTCCCAGGTTTGATTCCAGTCAAGGGCATGTACCTTGGTTGCGGGCACATCCCTGATAGGGGGTGTGCAGGAAGCAGCTGATCGATGTTTCTGGCTCTCTCTCTCTCTCTCTTCCTCTCTGTAAAAAAATCAATGAAATATATTTTAAAAAAACTTCCGGTGAAACTGCACTGTTGTGGGAATGGAAAATGGTGCAGCCACTGTAAAAAATAGTATGTAGGTTCCGCAGAAAATTAAAGATAGAATTAACATATGGCCCAGCAATTCCACTTTTGGGTATAAATGAAAGCAGGGTTTCAAAGAGATATCTGTACACCATGTTCACAGCAGCATATTCACAAGAGCCTAGAACACTCAGGAGCAACCCAAGTGGCTGGCTGATGAATGGATGACAACATGATATGTACGTTCAGTGGAATATTATCTGCTTTAAAAAGGAAGAAAATTCTGACACAGCCCTAGCCAGTTTGGCTCAGTGGATAGAGCACTGGTCTGCAGACTGAAGGGTTCCAGGTACAATTCTGGCCAAGGGCACATGCCCAGATTGTGGGCTTGATCCCCAGTAGGGGGCGTGCAGGAGGCAGCTAATCAATGATTCTCATCATTGATGTTTCTATTTCTTCCTTTCCCTTCCTCTCTAAAATCAATTTAAAAAATTAAAAAAATTCTAACACAGGCTAAGTAAAGTCACAGAAGGGCAAATGCTGTACAATTCCATTTATATGATGTACCCAGAGCCATCAAACACATAGAGACAGCCTATCAGGGCTGAGGAGGGAAGAGAGGAGTTGGTGTTCAATTGGGACAGAATTTCCTGGTTGGCATGATATTCTGGAGATGGATGGTGATGATAGAGGCACAACACTGTGAAATTACTCAATGCCACTGAATTGCCATTTTACTTATTTATTTAAAAAAATACATTTTATTGATTTTTTTACAGAGAGGAAGAGAGAGGGATAGAGAGCTAGAAACATCAATAAGAGAGAATCATCATTGATCAGCTGCCTCCTGCACACCCCCTACTGGGGATGTGCCCACAACCAAGGTACATGCCCTTGACCGGAATCGAACCCGGGACCTTCCAGTCCGCAGGCCAACGCTCTATCCACTGAGCCAAACCAGTTTCGGCTGAATTGCCACTTTAAAATGACTAAAGTGGTAAGTTTTATATTTTACCTCAATAAAAAACCTTGTCACATATGATAATATAAAATAATTTGCCTTTAAAACCCTCCCAAACCCTGTGACTGCTTTCCCTCTCGGTGATTTCTTGTTTATTTGCTTTTCCTAGAGCAAATCCTGCCAGCTGCCTGATTTGTCTCTTTTCTCCTCCTTTCTCTCCTAAACCTGCTATGACCCCACTCTGCCCTACCATTGCATGGGAGCTGCTCTCGGCAAGGTCAGAGGGGACTGCACGTAGCTGTGCCGTGGTCAGCCTCCGTCACTGACATCCTCTTCCTTCCCCAAAGTCCCTGTCAGCATGTGGCTCTCAGGACACAGCTCGCCCGCCACCTCTGACCTCGTTGGCTGTTCCTTCCGTCTCCACTGCTCAGTCCTCTCTCCCAGGAGTTGCTCATGTTGGAGGGCGGGCCCCTCCACCTACCCTCACCTTGGTGATCTCATTCTATCTGTGGTTTGCTTGTTTTTTAATAGATTTTTACTGATCTTTTTACAGAGAGAAAGGGAGAGGGATAGAAAGTTAGAAACATTGATGAGAGAGAAACACCAAGAAGCTGCCTCTTACACACCCGCAACCAAGGTTTATGCCTTGGTTGAACTGGGGACCCTTCAGTCTGAGGGCAACCCTATATCCACTGAGCCAAACCGGTCAGGGCCTATCTCGTGGTTTTAAAGACCCATCTGGGTGCTGACAGTTGTCAACTCTGTATCTCCAGTCCCGATCTTTCCCTGAATTTCAGGTCCATATACCACCCCTCACCACTTGGGAGTCTATTGTGTATTTATCTCAAACTTTATATGCCGTGCTCTTCCTTCAGACCTGTCTGTCCACAGCTGCTGCCCCTGATATGTGGTTCCCCAAACCTCTTTCCCTGTCCTCTGGGCACCCAGCAGCTGGGTGTGGGCATGTGAATGG